TTTTATCGTCCTTCTTCTTGACCACCTGCGAGCTGGTTTTCTGCGCGATTTTTGATCCCTGCTTCTGCGCTTTCGTTGAGGTGCTGCGGTCCTTCTTATTATCTGCGGGGGCTACCTGCTTGGATACTTTGCTCATCGATCTTGGCGCCATTTTGCGTGAATTAGTGGTCCACGACTGTCTTGGTGCCGCACCGGAGATGAGACTGCTGAAAAAGATTAATTGTAATTTCAACTTATTATAGGGGTGGACCGTTATTTAGCCTTTTAAAACATCCTAAATTATTTTTCGACATTGATATAAAAAATTTTTTTCCTTGGGTGACGAGTTAGTGAACGTGAGTGAACGTGAGTAAGAGAACGTGAGTAAGACCTTTCCAGGAAACAAGGAGAAACAGGGTAAAATAGGGATTTTAAACACTTACCTTTTGAGAAACTCTGAGGACTTTTTTCTTGGTGCACTATATTTGTTGTCTAGTTAATTTTTCCGTCTTGCTTAATCGGGCTAGTGCTTATAAACCGTAACATGAGAACTTTAGTGGTTGTAGAAGAAGTAAAGTTTTGATCCTGCCATATTATTAGATGTTTGATGTTTGATGTGTGATGTGTCTTGTGTGTTGTCTACTGTTGATGAAATTTTTCTTGTTTCCTTCTCGAGATTCTTGAATTGTAGTTGTGTTATTTGAACGTGGACAGCGTGGTCTAAGAGATGTGGCATCTTGTCGTGTCCCTCTGGTTCGCATTCCGGCTTGCCATTTTGTTTCTATTCAGATGATGAACTCGTTACTTGTTTGAGAGAACTGTGTATTTTATTATTTTGCTCCCTTTATTTACTTACATATTCATTCTCATTTTTAGTTTTACTCATCATGAAAGAACAAACAGCCAACAGCTAGAACGCTAACTCCATTTGCGAGACCACTCAGAACGCCACATGCCCTTTTTATAGACCCAGCCACCGGGCGACATTAACTATTTGCATTTATTTATTGGATGTTTGATCTATTGGGAGCATACCAGGTCTGATTTAAGCTAATACTTCATTAGTTTGATCTGTGGCTGGGTCTCTCTGTTCGATTGGGATCACGGCAACAAGGACGCAGCCTTGAGCCAAAATGAGCTAGTTAAGATTGAGAAAACAAAAAGTGCAGCCAGACCCCAACTAAGTTGTTAGCGGTCGCGTGCAAGTCGCTAACCGTAGTGGATGTGGATAACTAACTTTCTCACAAAGACTTCTACTGCAGTTCTTGTGATTTGTTCATGATTGAGCGAGTGGTCCCTTCGCCGTGGTCCCCCGCCCCCCTCCAGGCTCGTGCTAAGAAACTCAACACCGATCTACTGGTCCCTCTGGTGTGCTATCTAGTACTGGTCCTCTACAGCTTGGAATTCAAAAAAAAATGTAAGCTATCTATGGTCCTTCCATAACATTTTTTGTTGCTGTCACCTGTCTGCCTTCCGAAGGAACAACGAAGAATATCATGAACGGCGCCACTAGTAGAAGTGCTACTATTAGACGTTCTTCGTCCAAGATTGCATTCATTCCTCAAAAAACTTTTAAGTCTGTCTTACCCCGTCGGGGTCTAATACAGATATAAATGCAGGATGCAATGTGGACGAAAGCCGTAATGGTACTAAGTTGTTGCGGAATCGTTCTAGTGTAGCTCCCAATGATCGCGGATCACGAGAACAGCGCACAAGTGTTCTTTTATTAGAGTCGGTCACGTACGTTCGTGTACTTGTAGATTTAGAGGTAGGTTTGTCGTTACTTGTAGATTTTGAAATAGCAAGATTTTCGCGTTTCCGTTTCCCGTTTGTGTTTATGCCCGTCCCTTAGAAGAGAGAGGCAAAAAAAACGCTATGTATAACAGGTGGAACGCCGCCTTTAGCCACGAAGAACCCTTTTTTCTCTTAAGTTGTATTTTTCCTCCGGTGTAACACGAAAGCGCAGAAGAATCCCGCAACGCAGCCTGCGTAGAGGTGGATTTAGATGAAGATGCTAGAACTACTTCTCCTACTACAACTTCTACTTCTTCTAAGTCCCAGTCGTCCACCTCAGGCTCAGGCATGCAGCAGCTCTCCTCCACAACTGCAGCAGGTGGTAAAAACCCATCTAGTTCCCGCATCGCAGCCGGCCGCGTAGAGGTGGAACAACTACTTTTTGTAGAGGCGGAGGTTGTTCGAGAGCGAAACGCAGCCGGCCGCGGGAGGACCATGGTGTTGAGGATGAGGACTACTTGTTACACTCTTGTTCGCAAATGCTGTAGTTCATGCTCAAGGGACTCACTTCCGCAAGAAGATGGCTCGGAAGACATGATCCAGGAAGGCTAACATTTTTTTCTAGAACTACCTTAATAAACCAGTTTCTATACTACACCTACTTCTTGTTGATGACACAAGACTCGTAGTACCTGCTTGAACTCAGAATTTCAGGTAAGTGCTTGGACTCACTGCCATAGGTCGATGGAGCTTCGTCGTCTACGAACCTGTAACCACGTATGGAGGTAAGCGTCGATCATCACAACTTTATAATACTAACTTATCGTCCTTGGACCACTACAACCTGACGATGAAATTGAGCTGTTCCTAGCTGGGGAGAGTCGTAGCTTAGGAGAAGAATCCGAATCTATAAGGAGAATCTACATCATGCAGCCCAAAGAGCTAATCAACCGTCCTACGATTCTAGCATATCAACCAGATACTATAACTTACATCGGTAGCAGCTACAGTCGCAAACTTTTTTTGGATTTCGGAGAGGAAAGTGGGGAATTTGCGGAGCTTAAAGTGGGAACGAGGAGGGGAGAGATCATCACCAGAAGGACTTCCTACAACTATAATCACCGACAGCAAGCCAGAGGAGGACCGAGATATTGCCACACAACGAGCACGCCGATTCAATCACCGAGATACTGCTAGACGTTTTGAAGAAGCCTTCACATCCTTCATACCGACTCTGTAAGTTCTTTTTTCCATCTACAGATGTGCGATTTGAGTTTCAAAGTCTTCGACCAAGGGGCCAGCGCACTAGCTGGGGTGGGCGCAAAGAAGCGACCGATAACACGACTGGAAAATATTACACTACATGCACCTCCTCAGAAAAGGCGCAGGTAATAACTTCACTTCTTGTTACTTATCTTCGACGTTGGCGGGGAAGAAAATGTCGACTCGCGAGAGAGAGAGAGAGAGAATTCTCATGTTCTCATGGAAGTCTCATGTTTTTGTCGTGGAAGGAAAAAATATTTGTTCAAAGTTATGTAAATGTACATGAATTGCAACTTTTGATGAAGGTCATGCTGTCGCCATGATCCGTATTTGATATGCGATTACTTTGAAGCGCCGTGCCACTAGTTGATGGCATTGAAGATGTTTCATCTGGAACAATTCTTGTAATATTATTGATTTACATCCAAAACTTCGGTATATGCTTAATTTTTCAATATTACATGTCCAATGTGAATCTTGTGTATGCGTATAATCCTGTGTATGTTGAATATGGTTGTATAATCATGTTTACTTTTATATATAAATACCGAAGATATGTTTAGCTATGAGAGTAGAATATCGAGAGTAGTACTACTGGTGTTTCTAATCGTTCTTAGTGTTCTTGGTCAGCTGTGCAGTTACATTGACGATCATCGAGGTAAATGCACTTCGTTTGTAATCAATAAGTGCATCAGTCTTATTAATACTCTATTTAAATACTATTAAAAATCCCCGAACACTCTTCGCCTTTAATGTGAACACTAAAGGACCTTTAAGACGCCTTTAATGTGAATGCTAAAGGATTCCCCTCCCCTTTAATGTGAACACTAAAGGACCCCTAAGGCGCCTTTAATGTAAACACTAAAAGACTCTTACGGCGCCTTTAATGTAAACACTAAAGGACCCGCGCGGCGCCTTTAATGTAAACACTAAAGGACCCTTAAGGCGCCTCTAATGTAAACACTGAAAGCCTTCCACGTGGGCAGCAGATGGCCTCGAGGGAAACAAGAGCAGCAACACCAACAGCAAAAACAACAAGAACAACAACAGCAAGAACAACAACAAGAAGAACAACAACAGCAAAAACAACAACAGCAAGAACAACAACGGCAAGAACAATAACACCGACAAGGACAACAACAGCAAGAACAACGACAGCAACAACAACGGCAACAACAGTAACCACAGCAANACTCATCATGAAAGAACAAACAGCCGACAGCTAGAACGCTAACTCCATTTGCGAGTCCACTCAGAACGCCACATGCCCTTTTATAGACCCAGCCACCGGGCGACATTAACTATTTGCATTTATTTATTGGATGTTTGATCTATTGGGAGCATACCAGGTCTGATTTAAGCTAATATTTCATTAGTTTGATCTGTGGCTGGGTCTCTCTGTTCGATTGGGATCACGGCAACAAGGACGCAGCCTTGAGCCAAAATTTATTTTGTTCTTTCGCATATTGTGATTGATCCTTGAGGCTGTTTCTATCGGTCGTCTAACAACAATACCTCGTTGTTGTATAAAAGAATTGTATTGATATTAAGTTTAGTTTGTAGTCCAAACACCTCCTGCCGACTCAGTAATTGATTGAAAGATTTTTTTACACGCAAAAAGGTCAACCGTGTATTTGCATAGGATTGCGAGTACTTAATGCATGAAGAAAAACGACTGAAAAAAGTACTGTTTTTAAGTGTAGATTCGTTGATTCTACTTGTTAGTCTTTCTACTTTTCAACAAGATCATCTTCATCGATGACTCTTCCTACGAAAGTACGAAAAAAATACTGAATGAATAAAGTTAACTTTTCAACAAGGAAGTTGACCTATTTTGTGTGAGAATAGTACGAATTGAAATTGAAAATACAAATCTCCATAATTATGGAGTCTCCATAAATAACGAGTGTAAAAAAATCAGTTAAACTGGCTTCTTGTATTGTTGACGACCTTAACGCCATCGTAGTGATGGCATGTTGCGCTGCTCAGGACGACTGATGTTATAAAAAAATGTAGAATCAGAATTACTCCTTTGCTCCCATATTTTCCTTAAGCCATGCTACTATGATGTGCTTCATCTCCTTGTCCGGAGCACACTCGTCGAGTCTCAGAGGCTGCTGCGTGATCGGGCAGACGGAACCACAACTCTCGATCCATTTTTCCAAGGTCTTCTTCTCGAACAAGTGACCGAAGGGCGAGCGCACCGGGTTTGTCATCACCTTGCCGTCGATGGCGCACCTATATTCCTGTGGAGCGTCGATCAAGCTACGCGACGCAATCTTGATCGTGCCCTTGTTTTTTTTCTTCTTCGGTATGAAGGGGTGAGGAGGGAAAGATGGGGAGTAGATGGGACGAGAAGGATCATGGATAGAAGAATGAAGACTGATGAATTCATCAAGATTAATAGCGAGGAGGATACTAGCGAAAAAAAAAACAAAGTACAAGATATTATCTCATTTGTGGAAATTATAACACCTGCAATTTCCTTTCTAATTTTCGTTTTGAAAGCTTGATGTGACATTTCCACATCGAAATTGTAAAAATGGAAAGGGAACTGAAAATCCTTCAAAACCAAAATTTTTGATTTTATTCGCACTAATCCAAATTCAAATCCAAGGGAACAAATTGTAATCTAAAATGGGCAACCTACCAGAAATTTCACGAACTAGCACAATGGGCATTGGATTTCAAGTCTCAAAAATATAGATGACCGAAAATTTTGATTTTATCAACTTTAATTCAAAATAAATTACTGATTTACGAATTAACATCGTATGTCAAAATAAACTTCATACAAGACCCGAAAATTAATCCAAAAAAATATCTACTGTTCTACATCAAATACACCACAAGCGTCCATAATTTCTTTTTCCTCTCCGAGTGCAGGTAGATCGCCCAAACTAGCTGCATCGTAGTTGTTTGCTGGCAAATTCACAGGCATGCCTACCTGCTCCGCCTCTAGATTTGGCTGTTCGGCTGCTGCCATTAGATTCCTGAAAAACATGAGTTTCTTTTTGAGTGAGAAAGTACACATACACAAAATTGAATCTGTTTCTTCACTGTTATTGAATTCACCAGCGGGTCGTAGTCATCAAGTCCGATATCATATCACAAGTGCAAAGACCACTATTAAGGCTACTTAATGAAAAGTACAGATTTTCTTTTTCTCGCTCCACTTCCTCCGCATTGTAGTCGGTGTTGAGCACTTGCCCGCTCAAGTTATTGAGCTGATTTTCGAATATTTTCTGCTGCAATTCCGTGTATGGGACGCAGTCGTCTATTGTGAGTGGCTGTCCGCATATCGGATCCGTCTGCGAGAACTGCAGCCAGTCTACTAGCGCGTTTCGGTCGAATACCTGATTCCGATTCGGTTGTGGTCTTATGGAGTAGTTGATGACAGATTGATGAATACTAATAATGGGAGAAAAGCAGCTGGTGGTCGTGGACGACGACGAGAGAACGAGAGAATGATAAGGTACAACTACAACAAATATCAGGAGGAGCATACTAGTAAAAAGGCCAAACGTTGTAAACAAACATCAGACTACAATCAATGTAGTACATGTCCGTATGGCGTTTTTATCGGATCCGTCATGAAAGTTCCGCTCAACTGACAAAGCGCCTCCTCGCCTGCACCTGGTGCTTGTGGCTCCTCCTGCTCTCCATCAGGTTCTTCATCCTCGCAACTATCTTCGTCTGAACCGAAAACTCCGTCTGGTTTGGGTGGTGATTTGAAGAAGTACTTGTTAGGTCTAAGTATTCGAAAAACTGAAATAAGCGAGTAACGACTGAAAAGAACTGACGAGATACTGACGAGAAGGACGAGTCCCCCTGTCAACGCTGCCTCCCTTACTTCAGTCAGTAACTCGGTTATTTTCAGTTTTCGAGTAAGTACAAGACAGATGATTTTGATTGATGTGTGGCAGTATAACACCAGCTAGAGAGTGAGAGATCCGCTTATGGTCATTTTTACGTAATAACCTCCTGTTCTACTATATTAACGTAATTATTAATCTTCATAACCTCCTGTTCTACTAGCATAGTAATGAAGGTAGTTACCTTTCTCTTTTTTCCTGACCCATTGCATTCCGAATCGTCCTCCTTTCTTTCTCCTCTGTCGTCCTCGCTTGTCCCTGCGTCTCCACGTCTTACTTCTGCCTCGGTCTTCCTCGTTTTCGTCATCCGTCACCTTCCCCATGCCACCTTCACCTTGTTCGCCGCCCATCACGTCGGCTAATACCTCATCAAACAGCCATGGCATCATCTGCATTGCAGGGACGTTGGACCGAGACGAGAGTTAGAATCTTCAGCATTCTAAGAGGCGAGAAAGAAGAGACAAAAGCGTAGGTAAGGAATAACAGAACTGATAGCTGATTCTTTGAAGATGGCACGACATGACAGTGACAAGAACAAGAAAAGATTCAATGCAATCTTTGATGGTAAGCTAATAGAAATGTTGATGCCTTGTAGTTGTACGTCTTCTACACCTTTTATGTATAATAATTCCGATCATTTCCACTCATCTTCTTAAATTGGCAGTGAGTGTCCGTGGCTCTCGGTAACTCGTCGTTTCAGTCGTTTCTGCCTGTCCTCTGGTAGAGAGAAGAAAGCGTTTTCGACTGAGGCCACTAGGTCCTCTTTGAACCTTGCTTTCGACACGTCCGCATTCACCAAGAGCTTGAAGAGCAACTCGAGGAAATTGATACTTCCTAGGACTAAAATTAGAAAAATTGTAGTTCTTGATGTTGATGTCCTCGTTCGCTGTACTTCTTGTTCGAGTACTAGTGTTCTCTGCGTTGTCGAGGACAGCAAACTCTAGAAAGCTCAACATATTTGCAACCATAACAAAGGTGCTTCCATGATCCGCAGTAAGAAATCCGATTCTAAAAAGTGCGTTCGAAACACGTTGATATTGAACGTGATCACTATGAAGGTTTGCAACGTGCTCTTCAAATTCACGTACTCGATTGCATCGATGGTCAACCTCTGGTTCTCCATCAAAGCTGGCAAGATGTTGTCCACATACGGGAACATGATGTCCTGGATGATCGTACTTTGCGTCGCGAGATGCATCCTAAGCTTCTTCTGGTTCTCAGAGCAGTAGAGGAGGCAGTTGTGCAGAGAGGTGAGGAAGTAACGGATGATGATATCAGTCCTCAGATGGCTCTGCTGATGTTGGCAAATGCATCTGCCGAAGGCGTCTACCAATTCGAATTCAATCACTGACATGATCAGCCCATTTACGTGCTTGTTGAGCATGTGAGTGAGTTTCGCGATGTCCTGCGAGTTATAGTCTTCATCCATCTTTTCGTCACGGAAGAACCTGAAAGATAAGCATGGTATAGAAACAAAAAAATGCTAATACTTTTACAACTTTTTGTTCTTTTTCAAAAATAAATCCTATAACAAGCGTTTCTTGTACACAGCATCCGCCGTTGTCAAATCGACCAGACATCTCGCTGCAGTCTGCTGTATTTCGAAGTTGCACTCTCCGCAACGAATAACAAAACAGACTAACGAAACAGCTCCGGCCACATCGTTGTTCGTTAGCTCCATAAGGTGTTTGCCTGTCACGTTCTCGAATCCGACGCAACAGAAGAGGACTTGAAGCATGTACCTGACGGGGGCATAACGAGCGGGTAAGCGTAAGGTAATCACAACGTGGCGCTACGAATTTTTTCAACAGTGCTAGTAATTGATTCGCAATAGCATCAGCATTACATTTTCCCACAGGAGCATAAAAAGTAGATGTGGCACAGGTGCCCTTAGTACATTCTCAACAGCCCGGTGACTCCAGGTTGAACCCATTCGTAGGTCTCGACGCAATTTAAAAGCACATCGTATATTTCGTTGATGTTCATGAGCAATCCCACTAGGTGTTCAACTATTCGGTCGTTCCCTAGAAAGACTCCAATTTTCGTCAAGGCACCGAAACAGGTTTCGTACCTGAAGATGAGGAAGTCGTTATAATCTGAAGGTGCAGCTGGTGCTGGTCCTTGATGTTCTATCGAGCACATTGACACATTTGATATCGAGCACATTAACACGTTTGAAAGAAGTTCTTGTCAGACCCAACCCCGACGACGAGGAAGGGAATCACGACTGAAGATAGACTCAAACGAAAGAGAAGAAAGAGTTTGTTTTTAGATAGAGTCTCTAGAGGACAACCCGATGAAACGATCTTAAAGTACTACATTTCGAAATTCTCAACTTCGGTTCCGCATATGGCGAATTCGAGACAGTCGTAGAGCCGCTTCGTGCTCACGGGATCTCCATGCTTGCTCATGCTCCATGCTGCGTAATTAGAGGTGAAAGAAGTATTATTTGCACCAGCAGCGGTGGGCGCAGAGACAATTAAACTAAGTAAAGTCTAGCTGCAGCAGCTCTATCGCGTGGCTTCTCACCCCTTCTACTGAGACGAGAGTCTCTTGTCTTCATGAAGATGAAGACCATCTACATTAATATTTTTAATTATCTGGCACATCAAGGTCTTCAACCACTCTCCCTGAAAAAACTTAACTATCAAATCTCCAAAGTCCGGCTGAAACTCATCTCCGTCCATCTTCGCCTTGAGCTCTTCTTGAAGGGTTTGAAGGAGCAATTCGATGTCGTCATTTAGAACGTCGAAGTCCACCTCGTCGCGCACGACCGAGGCGACCTGCGCGCTCATAGGCGCCGCCATTTTGAATTGCTGGAGGCTTCGGAGGTCAACCTCCAGATGAAAAATGAGTTTCGATAATCGTTCGGGAAAATGAGAAAGTCTAAAATATTGGTCAGATTGCTAGGTAGGAGTACTCGAAGTATTTTTTTTGTCAGAGGGGGAGTGAAGTAGAAATGCATGCGTTTTTCGTTTTTGGGGTTACAAAATGCCTTTCGCTTTGTGTTTTCTCAGACTAGAGCTACGACCTACCTTCTTTTTTCGTGTGGGAGATGAACAGGGAAAAGGGAAACAAGTAACAACGAAAGCTCGTCCTGGGTATTTTGAGAAAGCAAGAATCTTGGGATTGTCATCTCTCTTTCACTCCTGTAATTCTTCTCTCGGTGTGGCGGGCAGCTCGTGGCTCTTGAAGCTTTACAACTCAATGCAAATAGGCTCTTTTAGGAGCAGGATTATAAGCGGTCTGTGTGGCCGCGTCTAAAAGTTGTAAGTATTTCTATCGCGGCCTGTCTTAATTCATGCATTGATCCGGCGGGAACACGGCTTAATGAGCGTCTGCGAGAGAAGACCACAGGGTGGGGGAAAATTATCGGTACTATCTTTGCTAGAAACTAATAGGATCCTCGTTAACACTGTTTCAAATTCCTTATGCATCGTCATCTTCATCTGATGAGAAATCTGCCGCTTCTACTCTCTCACCTCCTCCAGTTCCGGCAGATGAAGTTCCCTTCTTGCTCTTATCACCAGTCTTTCCTGAGGATGCGTCCAGCGATTTCTTCTTTTCCTTCTGCCGTTGTCGCTTCAGGGATCTCTTAGATCGCTCGTCCGGCATCAACTCCATTGCCGCAGCTCCTTCGACGTTTTCGTCTTCGTCATCTTCGTCGTCTTCGGCACTCTTTCGCTTCTTCTTCTTCTTGTCCGCTGTACTAGATGCTGCTTTAATAGGTGCTGCGGTCTCCATTTCTACTCTAGTCTTCTCGGCAGTAAGTCGTTCGTCGAGAAGTTCACGACGCCAACGTGCCAACGCGACCTTCTTTTCTTCGAAGACTTGGAACTTCTCAAGCAACTGCGAATCCCGTAAGGAAGTAACTGGAGATGGTGGATAGGAGGAGATGGATTGGTGGTCAATATGGATTGGTCGGAAAGGAGAAGCAAGTTGTACTTAGTTTTGACAGAAGTTATCATACACTAGAGTGACATCAAATGGAACTAGATTGTAGAAGATGCCTTCTAGTTGTAGCTTTAGTACACAGACGTAGTACTATTCACAAATAATGTAAGAAAAAGCAAAAGTACTTCCTTGCCGCAACTGCGTGACTTCCTTGGACGTCGTGTCCACGTGTTGCAGCAGTTGTGCGAAGTCTTTTCTCACGACCTTATTTCTCGCTGTTTTCGTCAGTTTTTTTACCAATGTCGTTACCGGATGCGTCAATTCTGGAAAGCCTACTGAACGAGCTAGAACGCCCAAATGTTCCACGAAGAGGAACTTCAAATCTCTGACACATCCTTCGAGTACAGGCATGCTGAGCTTGTGTCGGTCGCTCATTCGCAAGGTTACGTCGACTTCAATGGGTCTGAGCATAGTGTTGCCGCCGTCTGGTCCATCACCCTGACTACTCTTACCTCCACCTCTGGCACCAGCAGCAGCCTTGTCGAGTTGTCCAATCAACCGTTGCAAGAGTTGCAAGAGTCTGTCCGCAGTAGGAACGAAGAGATCGCCCTCAGCACTGACGCGGTTCAAGCATCGCAAGCAGTGGTAGACATACGGAAAAAAGTTGAGACTTGCACTTCGCGTCTCCATCGCCATTGTGATTACCTGAAGATATAGATGTTGTTCTTGTGGTGAGAAAATACTAAAAGATTTTGTACTTTTGAATTTCGATTCAAGTCTTTGTAGCTAATACCATGCACAAATGATGACTGTTCTTCTAACTAGAAGAACAACTAATAGTATTATGATGTTTTTGTTATCTGCGAACCAAAAATAAGTGTTTAGAAGCAGTACCTTGCACAACGGATTCGCCATTTGCTTCCGTAATTCTGGCAAGCTTGCGACTACTCGTGACCACAAGTACATGGACCGCACGAATTGCCACTGATAGAGCATATGCACTTTTTGTTCCGTACTCGCTTTCTTCTTCGCCAATTTGCCCCCACTTTTCTGGTTTTGCTCTTGCTTCTCCTTCGTAATGGCGCCCATGCCAGTGGAGTCAGCCTGGATAGAGTTGCGCAAGACGATCGCCATCTGTCTCACACATGCGTAGCTGACGCGGAAAGCAGTATTTGAGTCCAACTTCAGCAGTTCGAGCACACAGTTCTCCATGAACCGGAAATTAGACATCTGTCGCCAACCATAGTTCGAGCGACGACCCGCATCGCAGAAAGCGCGGCAAACAGCGAGAATAATAGACTCGAGCTCTGCAGCAGCAGAAGTCTGTTTTGATTTGGATGTGATGTAGATAATTGAGTTTTTAAATTTGAAGGAATCCAATTTGAGCGATTCCAAGTTCAAAAGCTCTTTGAGAAAAAAAATTTCAGAATTCAATTGAGAAAAAGTTCGTCGTTGGCTCCTCAGCGATCTTGGTGGTTAGAAGTGTGATCTCACTCGCCTGACAGACGTCAGAAGTAGCAAGTATTCTATGTACTCATCAGGGGAGACGACGAGAACGATTCTCATTTGCTCCAAGAACGTTCTACTACTTAATTATATAACTTGAAACAACCTGCTTCTGTAATAGTAGTAGTACTGCTTTTCCTCCCCGACCGAGTCCTTTCTTCGAATCTGCACGTTTGTTTTTCTTTCCAGCATTCTTCTTGTTGTTGTTACTAGTTGTATCCGACGGGTTGTCAGCTCCTCCACCCAGAGCTTGGTCTCCGATCTGGGCTGGCAGCGCACAGGCATTGCGCAGGAAGAAGAAGGCAAATTCTCGCACACGCATATCCGCGGACATGGCCCACAAGGTTGCCACTGTTTTCGTGTACAAGTGCCTTACTTTCGCGAAGGGGAAGACGTACTTTTGCAACTCGATTCTCTGCAGTTGCGACAGCAAAGCGACCAAATGAGTAGGGGCAGTGCAGCAGCGGAGAAGGGTCAATGCTTCTTGAACGAAGATGCGTGCAACAGAATGGACCTTGTTCCAACGTTTGGGGTTGCGGGTCACGTCGACATGGGCAGTCGCGTTTTTGGAAGAGGTACTAGAAGATGATGCGGACTTTTGTTCAGCGGAAGCTGCAGCGGACATGTGAAAATCCAACATCTCCGCCATATGCTGAGAAGTCCACGTGATGACACTTGTGCAGACATCAGCGTCCTCAACTTCGAAGATGCCTCGTTTTCTGTCCAAAGCTTCTTCCTTTTTCTTCATCTCCATCTTCCGCAGTTTTCGCTTGCCAATCTTGTTGTCTTGGTTCTTAGAATTACTGCCCTTTGGTCCCTTCTGGTCGCCGTAGGAAGCCGGTTTGAAGATACCATCAGTTCCTTTAGTGCCGAAATCCGAGGTCATAGCTGCGCCTCCTTTTAACGTGTGAGCGACCGAGCGGAAAGCACCGACAACAGCGCGCAAATTCGGGAAGGACTTGCGATCTAGAGCGCTGGAGGAAATCAGCTCCCAGCGATCCATAGTAAGCAAGCCTGCAGCACCACCACCACTCTTCATCGCCTCTTCCTGCGTCATTCCGTCGGTTTTCGACGTCTTCTTCTTCTTCTTCGTAGAAGAACCTGCGGATGCATCTTCTTCTCCTTCTCCGTCATCTTGAGCATCATCATCGCCTTCTCCGTCATCTCCCTCTAAACCACCAGCGGGGGCAGTGAAATTCAACAAATCTTGGTCGTTTTCGAGCAAAAATTTGTAGAACTCTGGATCTGCTGTCTTCAAATGCTCCAACTCTTCCTCGTGGCTGGTGAATGTTGCACCAGATGAAGAGCCTTGTGCAGCATCTGTTTGTTTCTTCTTAGCACCTTCATCTTCATCGTCATCCAGGACATCTTCTTCGTCTTCATCTTCCAACATGTCCGACTCTGACAAGTCTGAAAAAGCATCCTGTTCGACATCGGAATCGTCATCAGATAGGACAGCGAGATTACGATCGTCGTCCTGGTCCTTTCCTAGTCCGAAAAGATCAGCAGATTCTTTCAGGATTGTATCCACTGATTGGTGCTCTCCTCGTACTTCTTGCTCGTCGTCATTGTGCTCGTCGCCTGCATCTCGCTTAGATGAGTTTGCTGAATGCTGATTTTTGTTATTTTGGTTCCTAGCTTGTTTCTTGGACTCTTTCACGGCATTTGCATGTCGAATCTGGAACGTCTTCTTCTGCTTTCCGCTCGTGCCTTTTTTTGCAGTCTTCCGCTGCTGCTTGCGGAAATTCTTAGTGCTCTTCGTTGCCTTGCCCATTTTGTTTGATTTTTATACTGTGCCGTGAGTGCGGCTATTAATCTTGAAAACGAGGACGAGGAAAATGTTTTACGAGAAGATCATAAAGAACGTGGGAAATAATTCTATGACGTTAGTACGGTAAACCACCGTCTCTGTTTAAAAATCAAGGAGGACCATATTGCGAGGTGACAATAGTCAGTAAAATATGTAATTGGATTTGGAGGTCCAGGTCGCGATCTGAGAGAATGCCCAATAGAACAAGTTGGATCTCTGATCTTTCCTTGGATCTCTGATGAATCAGAAAGAATCTTCAGTATGAGAAGTTTGATCCTTTTTATTAGAGGACTCAGGCAGAACAGATCTTCAAAACTCCATGAACCGTGAGAGATAGAAGAAGACGGCGGCAATGTTGAGTCCTAGTCCGAGCAGCATGATACTTCATGCAGCCGAATCTGTAATGAATGAATTGTGATTCTCTTTTAACGATGAAATTTGATGATGATGTGAATCTATTCGGCAAAGACCCTGCCTAAAAAGCGAAATTCAAAAACATCGAATAGAAGGTTTATCAAGTAGCTGCCTGAAGGCAACAGTCTCTGTTGAAGCTGTGCACCACTCTGGAGGTTGACTGACACATGTACAAAGGCCACACAATATCCATGAGCACCAGTGATGTTGAATCTTGTTTCTGCATGATGGAATATTTGCTTGGCATTTGGTCTTATATCTATCCGTCGTGGTCCGTCTCCTATGATCGTGACTGCGAAGATGGATAGGAGTACACGATGTTCAAGATTCAAGTTCCGCTCACTTAGAAGTATGCCTTTCAATATGGATCTCCGAACTATAACCCATGCTACCCAGTCATTTTATTCACGACAGGCCTCAGTCAACAGAGGCAGAACGACAATAAGATGTTTATTAAGCGACATCATGACGGAGCATTCTCCAATAGCGTCGAAATGATATTTCTAACAAATGGGTAGATAGCCGGCTCCTGTGCTTGTGAGACCTAATTCGCACTACATGCTTTGCGTGTTCCACCAGGGAAAAAGTGTAGAACTGAATAACCAAATCAAGAACAGAAACTTTTCGAGAGCTAACTCTGCAACAATATGCACGCAAAATCAAAAACTTCAAAAAAAATTACCAAGCTGAAGATGTTAATCTTAATCGTAATTCCGAGTAATATCTTCTCGCTACACGGCTGACCAAATTTGATATAATTTGTTAAACGTCGATAGCACACGGTAGGTTAGGTTAGGTGGGGGCCCGCCAGAAAAACTAGCAAGCTTCATAATTGGCTACTGACCTGGTAATTATTTATACATAGTTTCGTTTTTCACCTAAACCTAAAGAGAAAAAACTGATCATAATAATTTCAACACACGCCAAAAAATTATCATGACCCCTGACTTACTCTTGCTTTTGCTCCACAAACTTAAGACCGCAAAACAGAACATACTCTTGCTTTTTGAAGACGAAATGCTTTCATATGCATGGAAAGAACTACCACGTGAATCATAGACAACCTCCGAAAAATAGAGAATAGGTTAGGTTAGGTTAGGATCTACCATCCAATGTGGCAGACTTCGACGGCTTTATGCAGTATCCACGAATGTGGTACGACGTGTTTAATACCATTGTTCTTCTCCCTCAACCCCCTCCTCTTTTCCCTTACTAGGATGGGCGCATTATTCGCCTTTCTTTCATTGTCATCGACTTTCCCTCTGCTGGAAACCTTGTTGAAAAACCCTTAATATCATGACATTCGTTCTGTCGAAACTTCCTCAACAGTACGATCTACTCGATATTTATGTCAATCCTGCTTTTGTACAGAAGTACCAAATTAGGTCAAGTATTTAATACCAGACTACACCGAGGGAGTACCCTGGATGAATTTGCGTAAATACCTGAAAATAAATGATACCTCTCCACCAGAATCATACTCATTATTTCCCTTATAATGGCGCATAAAAAACGACTCTCCGGTCCAAAGCGAAAAGGACGGAAGCGCATGGTCGACACTTACACGTTCTAATAAACTTTTACTTTACAGCCAAGTTCGTAGTACGAGGACGAGCACCATAGGATAATAAAGTAGCGTAATCAGACAAGTCTATGATCTACTAAGTAGTTGCAGAAGTCAGTCAGACGCTTGACAAAAATTGCTTATAGCCACAAGAACTGCTCCGGAGAATGCTATGTCAGTGGAACACTCACCGAGATGCCTTCTTTTTAGCCGACAGGAGTTCACGTTAGCCTCCGTATTAACCGGTATTCCTCGGCTCTGTTCTTATGCGGCAAGACCTCGCTTCTTTAATAACGAAGACACGGAGTAGTTATATCACTCTTATCATAGATCATATATAATACCACTATTAATATGTGTCATGTTCTTCGTTAAAGTTATCTCTTCTAAGAGCTGTACGGTACTACAGTTCATGTGGTCGTTATGGGTGAACAATAAAGCGCAATAGTAAACTAGTGGGACTTAGTACACCATTCTTTTAGAGGTAGGCTTTTGGTGCTCGTTTATCCCGTTTGTTATCATGCCTTTCTAGCTTAGGAGAGCCATAACAAACGGTAACAAAAGCACCTTTACCCTAACATTATAATTCTTGGAATAGAAAGGCAAATCATGTGCTTGGCAGCTTGTTCTTCTTGATATTTTGCTTCAAAAAGGTGGCAGAGGTACAACTTCATTCGGCCAGAGACCCTCACAGTATGTCGACAGGGTATTCGTAGAAGATACTTGCGGCGCAGTACCTGGGAGAGAGTGAGATGAGAACAGCTACAACGGTAAGCAGCTTCAAGTTCTTTTTGGTAGAAGATAAAATGGAAATTGGTGGGACGATTTGTAAACCGAACAAGGGAACATCAGAGGACACCAGCATTTCCACCTATACCCACATAAAAAATTGAGCAAATAATTCAAACTAATTTACGACCACTGGTTTTATTATTCCCCACAGGAAGTGTCGTATTTCCAGCCAGCAGCGTGGCGCTGTCCTTGAAAACGGCTCCTTGCCGCTCTCCAAGCGACGCTTGTGGCGAAAAAGCTCCTGTATCTGGCAAAGTGTCAAGCAATGTCGGAAGTTGCTCCCTCGTCCCTAAGGGTGGAAAATCGGGGAGTTCCGCTGAAGGTGGTCGGAAATATTGCGCTAGGCTTGGGATTTTAGGGCAGCAGGAGGTTCGTTGAAGTTCTGTCATGTAAAAGCATAAGTACAACAAGCACAAGATCCGATATTGACTTTGACGACGACGGGCATAGTTGTATATAATAGATGTTCCCCTTCCCCAGATGTAAGATTATTATGTTTGGCGTGGTGCGTTCTTGATCCACGTTCGCCTTCTGCTGGCTGTCTTGGGCTATGGTAATGGATTGGTGTTGAGTACTAGTGGGAGTACCTGATTTGGAGAGTAAAATTATGTCATAAGTACAAGCACAAGTACAAGATCCGATATTGACTTATTTTTGTCCATAAGTGTTGGCGTCCAGAAGGTCAGTGAGGAACTAACTGCAAGTCCAGGGCGCAGCGTCTGCGGTGACGATGCCTGCAGTGGTCCTGCAGGACCTGCTTGTTCAGAAGGATTCGTATTCAGATTGAGCTGCTGCTGAACTTCTTCTATCTGGTCTCGGCGGGTGCCATAATTGTTCTCCACCTTGAAGTTGGGGAAAAGATTGCTGTTCAAGTTCGACGCCACAACAGGAGCAGGCTGAGGCAATGTTGGGAAAGTGGTGTTCGCCGACAAAGGAGAAGGAAGGCCGCTGGGCTTGGAGGTTGTGATAGCAGATATCTCGTTCGAAATGGTACAAATGCTGGGAATATTATCTTTCTTTTGCAAGTCTCCACTTCCCGGTAAGACTGCTGGTTCCTCGTTCGACATGCTAGGTAGGTTGCTTCTGTGCTGCATAAGTCCACCTCCTCCAATACAGGACGACCCTGAAGGATTACTATCTATCGAGGGCGAAGAGGCACAACTAGCGAAACTAGGAAGGGCAACCAGAGACGGTAGGCGTTGCTCCTGTTGTCCTTGTCCTTGCTCCACCTCTTGTTGGTGCTGTCGTCCACCAACATCCTCCAGCCGCGTTAAGAAATTACTCAAAGAAGTGGACGGCGGCAACCCACCCAGCATTTGGGAAAAAGCTGGCAGCATGGCCTGGCGCGGGTCGCCTTGCTGTTGAAGCTGGTGTGCGTGTGGTAGCAGCTGCTGTTGCGGTAGTACTAACGCCTGTTGTGCAGCACGTGCAGCACCTATCATGTTGAGTAGGTTATCAGATGAAGATGTTGATGTCGAACCGGAAGAAGCTCCTAAATAAATGTGTCCACTTGATGATGGTCCATGACTAGCAGCTCCTAGATGTTCATCTTGAACCATATTGAGATGAACCCTCATAGCTTCTTCTAAACGTGGTTTACTCTCTGGCCGCTGATTCTGATTCTGCATGTTGCTATTACAACTTCTGGTCATGCTAGAAGCAGTCGACTTCGCGGACAAAAACCTCTCCATCAAGTCCTCTGGTTGCGATGATATCGAGACAGGTCGGTTGTTGATGCCAACATCTTGAAGAAACCCTCCAACATTGCCATGATTTCTTATTTGCGGCTGCATACTGATGGGACCACTGGGAAGTGGAGGCGGCGCCATATCGGACGGGTTTGTTACTAGTTGGAGTCCGCTGTAGTTTCGTGACGCCAAACCCAAAGAAGCACCCACTAAAAAAGCAGACGCTGGTTCTGGTGCGGAGCTTGTTCCTATTGCTCCTGGACTATTCTGAATCTGATTCTGCATTACAGTTGGACTCGTGCTACACATTGCTGGAGGACAAGGATGGGGATTGCGATTGGATGTAGTGGGACCAGCTGTCGAGGATGAGGTAGTTAGGAACGGAGGACTCAACAACTGCTGCACGTGAGAAGTATGTTGAGATGAGGATTTTTCTTGAGAAGACATTGCAATTGCTGTAGTTGGAAAATTCGATGCATTGCCGGTCTTCAGGGTAGTCTGAATTGGCTCTCGCAGGAGTCGTTGATCATGCTCCAGGAGTCTATCGTTCGTGTTCGTTGTTGTCGTCGCCCCAGTATTCGTTGCGGTTGCTCCATTTCTTCCCAGCACCTCGATACCTTGATTGAGCAAGAATTGGTCAAGCACTTTTCGAGCCATTTGGTCTAACTCTTCTTGCTCCCTCGTCGTGGGAGGTGTCCTACTCGTTGTAGCACCACAACTAAATCCATTTTTGTTTTGTTGTTGTCCTCCACCATCGTTTACAACAGGTTGCTGTTGTACATTCGAGATGTACTCCCGAAGCTGGTCCTCAATCTGCTGTAATTGATGGCCTGAAGAAATCGTTTGCCCTTGGTATTTTAATTGTGTTTGTCCAACCAGAGGTGGCGGCGGTGGCAGTGGCACAATCTGAAGTGGGTGTAAGTAGGTGTTGTGGTACTGTGATAGCATTGTAATTATCACAGAGCAATTTATAAGGTTTCACGGCTCGCATGGCATGGAGTGCATGGATCACATGGAGTAGCATGGAGCTAAAGGGGGAGCTTCTTGCGCCCCTTAAAGCTCTGCGCTCCATGCACTCCATGCTACTCCATGCACTACGCGTGCTATAAACTACTCTGTTATCAGCATCTAATCGCAAATCGCAAAACATTAAAACCCTAATGAGTGTGGTCGTGGAGCCGACCTAACTAGAAAAAAGAAAGACCAGAGGAAGATAGAAAAGAGAACAAAAGGGTAACGATCTCGATCAACAATGATGAACATTCATAATTAAATAGCAAAATAGTACCGCGTTGCGCACACCGGAAGAATCATCTCCATTACCACGCTCGACTGCACCACAGGAGCTGGGTGGAGAAGAGTAAAAGATCCCGGACCCTCCACCCGATCCACCGCGCACGTCATAGGCAACTAATTTTCCGCTCCGCTTGTCCGGTGCAAGCGTGAACGTAACTGGATCTCCACGCGCAAGTGGATTACCTGGTTTTCTTAATTAGATTTTTTCTGAGTTTTCTTGTTTAGATTTTTGAAGGTGGTGGTGGTGTACGCGGACGAGAAAGCAAAGTTACATTGGTGTATTCAGAGGAATGAGACAAACACGATGAAGACCAACATGATGAATCTTCACAGAAGATCACAATTTCAGGTACCCGTAATCCGATTTGCATGCACGAAAATGTCGGCTCCGTTTTCAATCGTAATAAACCCGTAGCGTTCACTAGCCATGAAGAATTTCACCACACCAGGAATACGCTCGCCAGGTCTAGCTGACTCTTTCAACTTCTGTAGCTGTCTTGCCTCGTCTGCCTGTCGTGCGCAGATGTTGAGACTAGTATTTTCGCCAACAGGGACTGGTAGCGGAGGTGTGGGAATAACTGGCTTGCTTTCGGTTATTCTTGTTGACAACATTGCACTAGTGGTCCTACTGGCTGATTGATGACGAGGTGGTGGACCATGATTATGATAAGGCGGTCTGTTTTTTGTGTTATAGAAGTTGGAAAAGCTTCCACCATGCCCGGCGCTGCAATTTACACTAGAAAACGTTCTTGCGCCCTGCCGACCTTGTAGTTGTTGCTGTTGCTGTTCTTCTTCTCTGCTTTTTTTGAACATGTTCCTCGAAAAACATCGCCAATCCTCATCCTCTGTATCTACAGTGTCGTAATCGTCATATCTACTTGAAGATGTAGTTTGACGCCTTCCCCCATCACGCGATCCTTCCTGTTGTCGAGAGTTATACCCTGAGGAAGTGGTAGTCGTTCTTGTACGCGTTGTAGCGTTAGAAGGTGACTTCGACCGCCACATGTGGTGGGATTGTGTATGTGTGTTGTAATTCATGATATCTTCGTAGTGGAGGTAGTTGCAATGTTGTTCAAAAGAGAAGAAGATGAACGAAGAGGAACTTCTGTAGTTGTTCCAAATACTAGTTGAAATTCCTGAAGTTGTACTTTTGGTATGATCTTGATTTTCAAGACGGTATGAAGATCTTGATTTTCAAGACGGTATGATCTTGATTTTCAAGACGGTATGATCTTGATTTTCAAGACAGAAAATCTAAGGATTAGGATTAGGATGTGATCCGCCGTCCGCAAGGTGTAGCTGCAAATCTAAATGATCGTGTACTCCACTTTGATGTTCCTCGCCTTCATCACAAACGTTGCCAGCAGAAGACTTCCTTGGGAATAAGTTCGCCGTGGTCGTGCTCCTTTTTTTTGTCTTTGATGCCGTGCTGTTCGTTGTGACTGCAATTGTAGGTATGTGCATAAAAACACTCGGTGTTGTCAAGCCGCTTGTAATTCTTCGAGAAGTATTAAATTATTCTCTTTCTTGTCGTCTATCCTGCAAGGATCTTCGTTATCCTCGAGTAGATGAATGAGATACTAGTACTTGTTCTTCTCCAACCTCTTGGTGTATGTTGTTCTCGCTTTTGATAATCTGATAATCGTAATCGTTCGCACTAGTATTATGAAGTAGAAGAACGTGTATATTGTTATTTCAGCAAAATCTTGCAAAAAAAAATAGTTTAATTGGAAGGACTCAATCGTCCTCATATGCTGGCATGATCGGTTCTTGCAGGTGAGTCACCTCGTCATCGTTTCTAGATCGATGATGTCCACTACCATGAATATCAACTGCATGCCTAGTTCGTCTTGTCATTCATTGTTCAACGATGTCGTCTTGTCAAATTCAAACTATTAACATCTTTTGTTCCTATCTAAACTATACATGTAGGATTTACAAAGACCAGAATAAATCCCCGATCCTTTGTCGCCCTAGTGGTAGTGAGTGGAATGGTGAATATGATTGGATACTTCCAGAAATGATCGACTCGGTGGAGTGTAGATCTTTGAAGTATGATAGCTACTGCTACGTCTTTCTCTAAGTCTATGCTGATTATAATTTTGCTTTTTATCTATGCTGTGTGCTATCTTCTCTCGGTCAGTTTGCTTGTTTTTTTCCCTCTGCTCTCCGTCTCTCGCTCGTCGAGAAACCAAGTCATTGTCATTCTATCTCCAGGACTTGACAACGTCTTCAAATAAATGTGCAGAACAACACAAGTGCTGCCTCTCATTTCCGCGGATCATGTTTCCGCGGATCATAGCTGCAAAATATGAGAATGAGCTACGCAGTACATCAAGAACTTCAACTTTCTATCTCTGGAATCTCATTCTTTAAGAACTTCATTTAGTCTTTCATATAGTCTTAGTCTTATCATCCTCATTTCTCTTTTCATGAAAAATGTTGTGGCACCCAGTACCATTAAAACGTTGTTGTATACAAAAAAGGTGGTAACTCAACCGTTGTATAAGTCTACAGAAAAAGGGTAGTTCTTCGTGCCCTCATCGACATCCAGGAATTCTTATATGAACTGCTCAATGGTCTCCCATGATAGCGATTCTTTCTGATAAATCCGTCGAACCCCGTCTGCCACCAGCACTGCTGAAGGTTAGAGCAAATTCTGGTACGCAAAATTCTGTGTAAGTGCATTCGGGTACTTAGTAAAAAAAATGCTCGACTTCATCCGCCCTTTATAACCAAACCTCGCCAACGCCAGCCCTCATAAAGCTCTTCACTTAATCCATAGAGATCTTCACTTAATCCATAGAGATCTTCACTTAATCCATAAAGATCTTCACTTAATCCATAAAGATCTTCAACACTTAATCCAAAGATACTACAAGCACAAGTAAATCTAAGTACTATCCCGCCATAAAGCGAAATGATTTTGATATTCTCGACCTTGAACCGGCCATCGTCTCCGGGGATGGAGTCGGTGACGACGAGCTCCTCTAGATTTGAACTACGAATCCGTTCGAGAGCGTTTCCACTGAGAACGCCATGAGTGATGAACGCGAAAATACGCTTCGCACCAGCTAGCTTCAAATGTCTGGCCGCCTCACAGAGCGTTCCCGCAGTGTCGACCAGATCGTCAACGATAATCACGTCCTTGTCGCGGAGGGACTTAGAGGTAGATCGAGGCGAGGAGGTACTTGTTGATCTTCATCAATGTATGAATTGTTTGAAGGGCTAGGCCTAACGATAGAGGCGAAAGCTAACCGGTTGCTTTACGTTAGTGCTTTGGGCGCGGCTGGACCTAAGAAAGCCCCAACCTTATGAAAAGGAAGAAGCCAGTCTAGATTTGCAGCACACCTCTGAGAAAGGGGAAACTCTTACTTAACAAGATCCTGCTATAGCTATGGGAGGAGGTTACGTAATCTATTATTTCCAGATGGAATTTTTATTATTGCCAGATTGAATTTTTTGTTATTGATATTGTTTTTAGTTGCTCAATAAAGTTAAGCGGCTTAGAAAACTCTCGTCACGTCCTTGTCGCGGAGGAACTTAGAGGTAGATCGAGGTGAGGAGGTACTTGATATTTCAAGTTGAAGTAAGTACGTAGCAGGCCATAACAGTGCCGATCAAATCCATTCGATCGATTTCGCCAGGTTTGCTCCTTTGCTTCGTAATCAACGCCAAAGAGGCGTTGCTTTGGCCCATCTTGATGAGCCTCTCCTGAAATTGTCTGGCACGGTAAACACCACCAGCGTCAGGGGAAGGCCGTTAGAAACGAATTGTACCAGTGGGATCATGCTGCACGAAGAACTAGGCTCAGTATCTCTTGCAAGACAGCCATGAGAAACATCATGTTGAAGACCACATTGTTTTGAGTAACAGGCGAAAGATCTTCGCCAAGAATTTTCATGCCGTCATGTCATGTCATGGTGCCTGGTGCCTCTCGTATAATAGCATTATGAAATATAATGAATCTATGTATATTAAGGCCATAATTATAAGATAAACCTAGCAGGACTTTCTTTTTCTAAGACCAGTATCATAAATGACAACACAATCCTGATCGACCTTCTTCTCTTTGCTAAAGTACTCGACGCCCAAACTCATCGCACTCAAGTTATCCAGAGGTATATTCGGTGGGAAGAAACCCTGGATGGCGCGGATGTTAGAAGAAGAGCTGGCACGTACTTGCTTATCGTGACGGCAAAAGCACTGCTGCATGTCGTGCATAATATAAATATTTTAATTGGCGAGGAGGAGGACATATTAAAGAAGCGACCATCATCTTCCCAAGGACTGCACTAGTTGTACTTGAAGTTGAAACACAATTGATTTTTACAAGATAAAATGAACCAAAAAATAAGGCCTTAACATTATGTAAGTCGACTGACACTACACGGTCTGCGCCCATGGCGGTTATGAGCTCTGCGACGTCCGCTGCGGCTATGGGGACCCGACTACTGTTGCTTGATGAAGCTGGGCGGCCAATTATCTAACACATGCAGAGATCATGAGGGAGGGATTCTATTTGTCCTTGTCGGAGACCACAGGGTCAGAGTCGGACGAGATTAAGATTTGTAAGCTTTGGCTTAATAATATCTTAATTATAAAGAATTTGAATTTGATGTTCATAACTTTCTATCCGCTCTAGCATATCCGTAGTAGGGCACAACTGCCGTAATCCGTTTCGCAGACGCACGTCTACAGGTTGAGATCATAAGTAGCAAGTCCACTAAGTTCTCATTGACGGGAGGACATGTTGGTTGGATGATGAAGATGTCCTTGCCTCGACAGCTCTGCTTGATGTGGATTCTAGACTCCCCATCGTTGAAATGCGTCAGCATGACTGGAGAGAGCTCTACTCCTAGATGCTTCGCTACTTTCCGCGCCAGTCGCGGGTTCCCGTTTCCAGCTATGATCATGAAGTCATTCTTGTCCTTCTGCGCTTTATCAGGTTTCTCATTCAAAAAAGACCTAGTCAGCTCTTTATGATGTTCTTGACTGGCCTCCCACTCGTGCTTCCCGTCGACACCGCGCGACAATTTCTTGTCCATTTGTGAGTTCTTCTGTTGCATCGTACGAGTTCTTACGGAACTCGGGATCCCTTCTGCAGCTTCCGCGGTTACAGGCAATGCTTCACTAGAAGTATTGCCAGCACAGAAATCCGACGTACTAGATGTTTCGTCCAAGGGATTGCTATTGGATGCATGCTCATCGTCCACTTCGCTACCGATGCTTATCGTTCTTGAAGAGGTGGATGTAGTCGATTCCCGGCTGAGAGGTTCCTCCTGACACATTACAAGATTTGATGAAGATGCAGCGCCAGACTTGAACATGATGTTCTTGTAGTTCGGAATTGTGAGTCTGCTTTTCGGATCCATGATCTGCTTGTCACGACTTGATGACACTTCGTTGATATTGTAGATAAGAGCTCCTCCAAGTACCGCGGATGCGCCAACCACCGCTGCCGTGGATCCTGACGCATTCGCGTGTGCACCCGACTGCTCATCATGATGATGACCTCCATTTCCGGTGCTGCTCGCCGTGGCTGCTCTAAATCTCGCAGTAGTCCTGGTCGTGAAATGGCGATGCATCGGGCGCAGCCTCTCTGACGAGGTGCGGCCGATTCTCGAACATGATCGTGCTGCCCACATGATGTTTCCTCTTTCTCTACTAATACCGGTGGAGCACGTCTATCTAGGAAACAAAATAACATAAAAAAGAAGAAATCCGTTCTTTCTCTACTAATTCTTGATCTTGGTTTTGGTGGGTGCTGTTCTTGTAGTCTATCTTGTTTTTCAGTAGCTAGTAGGAGTAGGTACCTTCAAAAAATAACACCTGCAGGAGGGTTTCAGCCGTCTTTATTCATAAAAATGCTTTTGTCTTTTTCAGGCTTTCCTCTAGTAGTGGACTACAGCACACGCAGCTGTGGCGGGTTTGGGTAAGTAAGTCCATATATTTTTCGTGGGTTAATAGTTCTCTAAATTTATTCCTGTCCTCAGTATTTTCCCCAACATTAAAGAACTTTTTCAAGCCTTTTTTATTGAAAAAAATATCTGTAAGCCGTTCCAGCTAAAAACAGAACATCGTTCTTCTGAGCAAGTAAGCAGTGAGGAAGCGGACAACAAGTAGTCAGTAAAAAATTATTAGTGTTGTAAGTACTTCATCAAAACAGTGTTCAGCTATTGCATGAGCATGTTGTTTGTGTTACGTGTCACGATCTTCACGTGTGATATCATCGAAACACAGGTTGAAGACTGGTGCTAGGCGCGACTCGGTATTGTGACCGTCGGACCTCGGTTCAAACTCGGAGGACTGCTCGCAGCGTACTGCGAGGCCGTCGCTGGTGTCTGCCATTTCCAGTACATGTCTTCCAGCAATGTCGTGAATATGCCAACGCTTCCCCAGTTGATCCCACGTATTACACCCTTCCTCAGGCCTGCCCACAAGGCACCTCGGAAGGGATCTCGGGCAGCCTCCAAAGCTGCATTGTAAAGGGTCACGCGCTTCGTGTGCATCAAGGTTTTTACTCGGTCAGGATAGTTCGTAGCGACTTCCGCGAAGGAACCAGTGATGGAGCCGGCTAGAAATCCTACACCCATTTTCTGGAGCATGCTCTTCGGAGGCGTGGAAGTGGATGGGGATGAAGAGGATGAGGAAGAGCTTCCACTTGAAGCCGAAGAAGATGTTTTCGTACTAGTTGTGGATTCGTTCCTACTGAACAACGGAGACAGCAACAATTTGGTAGGCCCAATGCTCTGAAGGACGATCGCGTTAGCTAGGGACTTGCGGACGACGCCGGCGAAAACACCACGAAAGAATGATCGAAAGCCGTCCATTGCATACAATTTGCGAGTGGCCACAAAGGGAGAGCTTTCTAGATGCGCTATCTGGTAGTTTTTTACGACTACTGGAGGCATGGCCAGGAACTCGCCGGAACCTGTCATATACAGAAGAGTTTGGATGATACAAAATGAGTAAATATTTCATCATAGTCTTCTTCATCAACCCCCATATGTGCCGTTGAATCTTCTAGTACCTGCAGCCACCATAGACCCACAGAAGGAGACTATCCGGTTGTCTGAGTGTTTCTTCAGTTCTCTCTGCATATTTTGGTCGATAACCAGAGTCAGTCCGAACCGTTGACCCTGCGCAAAAGCACCCATACCAATCCCAAGAAGATACGTACTCGCGGTTGGCGGGGCTCTGATAGGGATAAAGAGAAAGTGTTGATTCAGAGAAGGCAATGATTGAAGACCCTAAAAAAAACAAGTAAGATTTTTCTTTTTGAGCAGGGAAATCATTCTTCTGATACTTGTCGTGATACTTCTGCTGCACAAAGCAAAGTCTTCATAATTCTTCACCTTGCACCAACTTGTCGTAGCACTTTGGCGACGTCGAGCCAGTGCGTTAGCGTTGCACTCGTTATACCAGCTAGACAACCGCCTAACATCGTCGTCATCTGCTTCACTTCTCTAGGCATTATGGCCACCATTGTGTCGCTGCGCTTTGCTATGAAAGGAGAATGGGCCGCTCATCATGCTCATTGGTAATATTTTTGTAAGGATCTTCATTCAAGCTGTAGCGTATCCTGCTATGAAAATTTTATTGATTGGTAATAAGTAGGTTCCCGTTCTCATGCTCATGAAGTTGCAGACTCAAAAATTCTGTCCTCATTTCAGAGAGCATTCTATTTATTCAACATAACCAAGTCTGTCGGCAAGAAGAAGTGTTGTCCAGCAACTAGTTCCGGCGTCGCTGACACTGTCCCTAGCCGCTCAAGCAATGGCACCAGCTGTGCCTCTTTCAGGTCCAAATACACCTCACTGTCAGCACATGGTGTCGTTATCACACGTCGCCTCAGATCTGCCAGTAACGATTTTTGGCCTGCCCATGTTAGGTGATCGGAAGCGTATTCCGTACTACTGCCTGATGAGGACGCTGAGCTTGAGGAGTGGTCCTCAGCACCTGCAGGAGTGGTCACACTTCCCAAGGAGCTACTATTTCTCCTGGACGATTTCGACGCAGATATCCCGAGAACCGGATCTTCATGTACGGGGTAATCGTCTCCCTTCGCTGAGCCTACTCCAGGTCGAGCACTATCGTCTCGTAGCGAACTCGAAGAAGTTGTGCTACTAGAACTAGGAGAAGATGAACATGAAGACCTCTCAAACTCGCTTTGGACACTGAGATACTTCTCGACTTTTGCCCGTGTCTCTTCCGTTTGCACGTCGTCCCCGATGTAACGTCGGATTTTTCGTAACTGCTTCTTCTGTTTCTCTAGTACCCGAACGCGTTGCAGCTCTAGACGGTCCAGCAGATTAGAGACTAAAAAGCTCGAAAAAAAGAGCGTTGCAGCCCTAGACGGTCTTCTATGGGACGATTACAGACCACTAAACAAAAACAAATCCTTGACCTTGCTTCGTTTGATTAAAAATGAAACGTGTGCCCCAGCAACATAACTTCTTGCAACAGTAGAAATCGTCGCTTCTCCAAGGCTTGCTCAACGCGGTCACAATGCTCAGTGACACTTTTTCTGGCTTGTTGGATGTGCTGGGATACTTCTCCCACCCTCTTGTTGATTCCCGCTTCAGCAGTATCCAACTCGTTCTGCAACGACTGACGTGCTTGGAGCAAGTCATCAGGTGGCTCATCTGCAAGGTCACGAGTTTGGTCGTTCATCATGTGGGTTTTGTTTTGTTCGGGCATGTTGATATTGGCGTGGTAAAGATGGTGGGTGCAGTGCTCCTTGTGCTTTAACCTTTTTTCGTAAGTACACAGCAGATTCAATGCGGCGGTCTTATTCTGCTGGAGATTCGATGTTACTCATTTGTTGTGGATCCTTCGTTGTCGCTCGTCGGTGCATATGCGTCGTGCCGGTCTCTGCTTGTTGTCAAATAGCTGCAGCTAGTCACGAAACAAGCGCAAGCAGGTCGCCGAGACAGTGTTCGTGAGATAGATCCTTATGTTGCTTTGATGCTCATTCAAAAATTTTTTGCACGTAGTTGAGTCAGCCTCTGATCCCAACATCATGATGTTATTTCTAGCTAGAAAGTATGCACTACCAGCACTCGCTTTTTCTCCTGTACTAGCAATTTTTTTGACCAGAGCAGTGCAGCGAGTATAACTGCTTCTCCTTCTTTCTAATTGTCAGCATGCCTTGGCATAAATCTACTCAGTGTTAGAGTCAAATCACGTGGGTCCAAATTCAGAACTAGAAAGAGGAACGCATCAAAAAAGAAAATGCGCTCTTGCTTTTCATCTCTCTTGCGATCCACGTCCTCTTCTCTCTTGTTGGTATACTAGAACAGTTTATAAGGGTTCCCAACACGGGTGGGCTGGGCACGCTGGGTCGCTGGGCGACCCAAATCTGCCAGATCGGCACGCCCAATGTGTGGCCCTCCCCTAAACCCTAAACCCAAAGAACACTGGTTCGAGCTTTTTTAGCTGCATGTTCTAACGCTATCAGCCAATCAGCACCAAGTAGAGGGAGAAGGACCTTCGTCTCCAGGGGTTTCTCTCTTGCGATCCACGTCCTCTTCTCTCTTGTTGGTCTTGCCTATACGTGTACTTTTGGACACAAATAAAATGTTGAACTACCTATTACCGCGATCACTACCGGTCGTGAGCCGCAAGTACTATCAAATACAAGAAACTTGGAAAATGAACTTGGCCTCCACGACACTTTTATCCTTAAGATCCATGTTGGGCATTAGCATTAGATCGAAGTCGCTTTTTTCATTAACCACTCAGACCACCTGAACATGTCTTAGCAGGTTTCAGGCGATTCGTCTATCTGTTCCATGATGCTAGTCGTGTGTGTGTGCTATTGCTGATGCAATTCATAATTTTCTTCATCGTAAGTTGTGAAAGTGAAACCTAAAATATTATTGAATGATAGAGAAATGCGACATAGATGGCATTTCACAAAATATCTAGCTAGTACTACTTCTAAGTTTATTGATTTCGCTTTTGCAATATCGACTCTTGTATATATGTTTCAAATTTTATTCATTAGTTTGAGACTGGATATCGGTCTAAGATTTTCGCAGTAGTGCCCTTCTGCGTGTTCACGAGATGTAGACGGGAGAAAATCGAGGGAAATTTTTCTACAGGTTATGATATAAAAAAAGCCTTCTAAGGCCGAAATGATCAACACCGAATACAAGAATGCGACCACCTGCTAAGATCAAAATTGCATCTTCTTCGACTACAATGCTTTTTGTCTCAATGTTTTCCACAAAATTGGTGGCACTGTGGCACATATGTCCCTGCGCACGTCCTCCAATATGAACAGGAGTTTGTCCACAGCAATCGCGCATGCCCACGCAGTATTAGTTCTTGGTATGCTGGTGTCGATTGTGCCTGGTGCGCTCGGGTACCTCCACAGAGTTGAGCACCACTGCTTCTGTGCGCCTCTTAACCGCAATTCAAAATCCCGCATTGATATCCTCTCACGACGCAGCATCTCCCCTCCGATGCCTGACCCTTGGTCGGTTCCAAGTAGTCGAGACAGAAAAGACAATGTTTTGGAACAAAACGAAGTACTGCATTGAGATTCATCCCCCTGTGCCTGATGTGAAGCAGAAGACGTTGAACTCGTTGTTGCAGGGATTCTACTCCTTGATGCAGCACGGCTAGAAGAAGAGGATGTTGCAGCTGGTGTAGTTATGAACACCGAAGAGGAAGGGGGAACTTCTTCTCCAGGATCCCTAGTTGTACTGCTGTCCCCTGCTTGAGGACCTTCTCCTACCCCTTCTAAATCCATGGACCTCATTTCGTATGGAGGATACCACAGAGTTTGATCAACTAAGGCTCTTACTTTCTCCACCGTCTGCCGCTCTAGGTTCCTTCGCAATGCTGATTTACTTCTGCAAAATTTTCCAGGAGCATCTTCCCTTGTTCCTGGAGCTGCTGATACCCTTTTTCCACCTGAGAGTATGTTGTCATGACAGAAAATAAAAATGTTGGGTGTGAATAAATAATACCTTTTACTCGAACATTTCATGGGGAACAAGAACGCAGGTGCATGGAATCGGAAACAAACTTTTAAGAATCAAAATGTTACCAAGTGAGAAAAGCCTCTCTCCGAGGCCTCGTCCCTCGTCTTCTGCGCCCGCCTTCTTTGACTTCGGTGTTCTACAAGACAGGTCATGTCGCGCCAAAAGCCCGCGATCGTCTTTTTTTCGAAGATACTTAGCACCGTTTCGATGTCGTCTCGACTTTGATGGCGAGGTTTCTTCTCTCAACTGTTCTAGCTGCGATCTAGAGCCAGGAGCTTTACTTCCTCTTCCAAGATCTTGACCTTCTTTAGTAGAACCTCCAGTCTTATTAATAGAAGCTTGTTGCAAAAGTAGTTTCTTCTGCCAACGAGCTATATCTCCGCATTCCCACCGAGCTAGGAATTCATCGATACTATCGACCGAGAGCAGTCGTTCGGGAAAATCGTCTTCATCTTCGTCGGATTGTGGTTCCTGGTCAGCTAGTTCAGGAGAATCAAGACGATCGGAAGCGGATATCTTCGATGACCGTTTACCCCTCGACCTCGTCATGTTGTCTTCATGGGGATCCTCCTCGACACTGGAACTACTGGTTGACGCGGAACTTCTTCCGCTACCGAAATCTTTCTCAACATCGGACTCCTCTGAAGAAGAGGCTGAGGACTCACTTGAAGATGCTCCAACGGATGAGCCTGCTGTAACGTCGGTTACATCTCCTAGTTGTACAGAGGAGCCTCCACGTGCACTTCTTCCTCTCCTTTCATCCATCTTCAACCCTCGAGCTTTCGCTTCCTCACGTTGCCATCTACGCCGTCGTATTTGCTTCAATAGACGTCCTTGTCGGTATAAGAGGTCTATTGCTGCATAAAGCGCAAAATGCTGGACCGTGTTTCGGAGGAGGAAGACGGTCAAACAGTGAACGCCTACAGCGATAGTCCAAACTACACCTAGGGTCAAAGATTTGGAACCACTGCAAAAGGATTGGAGTAGTTCCAATGCGAGAGATCGAGCCGTCTCTACTTTGGCTAGACGAAGTGGAGTGCTAGCATTAGAGGTAGACTCTTGGTGTTCGTTTATTACCCCGTTCGTTATGCCTTTGTTCCCCTTTCAGAAAGGCAAGACGAACGGTAACAGGAACACCTTTAACCGACCCTTAAAAATAGTGGAAGATTGGTCTGCAGCAGATGAATTATCGCAGGTTGTTCGTGAAACGCCTGCTGGTCTTGCATCCTGTTCTGAGCCACCACTAAAAATACTAGAGGAAGGAGTTGTAGTACAACTCCCCTGAGCTTTCGCACTAGCACCACAAGAATCATTGGCGCCCACCCCCTCCATCACTTCCGTCACATGACAGGTCAGTGGCGGACATCCAAATCGTTGCTGTTGCCTCTCATCGTGCGTCCAGCACGGACCGAGCCTATACCGGGACAAAGAACGTGGCGCCACGTGGTCATAACTAAAAAAGTTTTGACTCGTCCGCATCCACTTTTTGTTGCCGTTGTCGTTCGAAGATGAGTGTGCTAGCGGACCTCCACTAGGCTCTTCTGAGGCACTGGCTATCATAGGATCTGCCACAGCAGCGGCTGGGGCCTCTTGATGATTTCGTTTTCGTGCCCAAGTAGAGGGAAAAGTCCCAGGAATCGTTCTACTCAGCAAGCTTCTGCCTCGATTGAATGCGCGCAAGCTGTCTACCTGACTTCTGTCCTCCGTTGAGGCAAACGCTGACGCTCCCAAGGCATGAAGAGGATTTCTCCCACTACTTGCTGACCAGGGACCGGGGATTGGATTGCTGAGAATCGCAGACGATATTGACCCGAAGTATGTGCCTTGTTCACTGCAACTGCAGGCGAAGGACGACCGGTCGTCGCCACTGGACCAGGAACTACTTGATACTTGCTGCTCACCAACACCTCCACTAGGGGATCCGTTGTAGCCGCAACTACTACTACTAACTCCTCGGACCCCGTCACTTACGGTACTCTGTGGCATTTCGGAACCCTGCGAGAAAAGTGGACCGAACCAACTCCGCAGTTCTGGTAATGATGGGTGCATGTGGTTCGTGTTTTTTTGTTTGTAAATAAAGCGTGGAAAATCTCAAGCACTTCTTCAGGTTGTGACTCAGTAATTTTAGTCTCAACTCCTGCCAGTTCTACTCCAACTTGAACTTGATTATTTCCAGTGCAAAGAATGAGCTCATCACGATTTAAAGCTAAACTACTGTTCTTTCATCGAGCAGCCACTCTTACACACCATTCGTGCCATGTAAATGATCATCAATAATGTGTGTGGACTAGTAGACGGCGATTAATCAAAGACTAAGAGCTGACCCTGCACTAGAAAATACCATTCCTCCCCACAGCACGAAGCTCTCGCTCAGCTCTTTCCGCGGCGGTGTCAGTCGGGCACAGGTTCAACACTTCTTTCATCACAATGCAACAGTGCAGCAGCAAGATGAGTTGGCTCGCTAAATTAGAGCTCCTACTCCTAATCCATCACTGCAAAGTTGGAGGGAGGTGCGGGTTTCCTCCTTGTCTCAGATGGATTAGCGGAAACCTTAACTAAAACAGAGACCTCGGTTCCAATGCGCTCGAGATAATACCGATCGTCGCCTCTTTCTCTCAGCACATCGATGGTTCCCGTCCGATCCATCTCGTCTAACAAGGTGCAACTGTCCTTCTTCGGCTTCGGTGATGCTCTAGACGTACTATTATGGCGATTCCCACTGCGTCGTTTTGAAGAGGAAGATGATGGTGCAACAGAAGATTGCATTGATCTTGATCTTTCATTTGGCGCGCGAGGTGTTGGAGACGGAGATGATGCATACCCTTCATGTTGTTCGTGAGATGATGCGTGAGATGATATCCGACGTGTAGTTCTGCTGGACCCTACTGGTGCAAGAAGAGCATCACCCCTCCCAAAATAGACGCACTCTTCTCCCCCCGCTTCGAAGATATCAAAGTTATGTCGTCGGTGAGCAGAGCTACTTCCCTCATCTTCAGTTCTTACTGTCCTGTCAGCATCCACTCCACCTGCAGTAGAGGGCGGCGTCGCTCTCACATCACTGGAACCTGACGCCCTCTCACGTCCATGGTCAATAGATTGTCCTTCTTCTTGCTCTTCATCTTCATCTGACTTTCCAAATCGTCCTCCACAAGCCGAGTCTTGCCCTTCATCGTCATCTGACTTTCCAAAGCGTCCTCCACAAGCCGAGTCTTGCTCTTCATCGTCATCTGACTTTCCAAAGCGTCCTCCACAAGCACCCAATGTCTCAGCACCAGCTTCCGTTTCACCATCATCGTCTTCCGCCAAGTCAATCTTCAACAGAAACAAGACCCACTCAGCGATGTGCAGATGCTTCTCGTCAGGATTTGCAACGGCGCGTCTAAACAGGTCTTTTTCCTTTTCTGTGGCTTCCGTTATTCGTCGCAAATAACTTCGATCAGACACAGATTTTTTTCGCTTTTGCTCAGCACCACAGGCCGCTTCGAGAGCAAGGCTTTTTTTAGTTCCCTCCCGACCGTATATGAACTCAATGACGCGCGTCACGACTGAATCTGGCAAGCACGTGAAAGGAACATCAGCACAACTTGCTGTATTTGAGCTCGAAGCTCGTGTGCGCTGAGCACTAGATGATGATGGAAATCGTGTCTCGGATTTTGTAGTTGAACCTAGTCGTGGACGTGGTCCTTCTTCGTCAGCTTTTGTCCGCTGAGCAAGAGTATCTACTTCATGCCTTTTCCTCCGTCTTTCCAATGCACTACCGCTTGTCCTGACCACCTGCCCATCCTCGTCCAAAAAAGACGTTTTCTCAGGCTTGAAGATTTCTTGCTTGGTTCCCGCGCGTGGTCGACCACGGAATCTTCGCATACGCCATACCCCACCTGAAGCTGCCTGCCAGTATGTCATTTGGTTTAGCGGAGTTGGGATTGCAATTCTTAAACGTCGTCGATCACTTTCCTTGGTTGTTGAGTGAGTGGCTTTCTTTCCCCTTTGTTCCCCTCGAAATCAAGGCGAACACCCCTCGGGACACTCACTCCACACCGGATAGTGATCTGCTAGCCTTAATATCCCATCCGTCGCAACTCCTACAGGAACCTCTACAACAGGGATCATGTACGCAGCAGCACTTGGAATTCTGCCGAGACCAAGAGCTCTTCTCCTTGCAGCTTCACGATCGCGATCACCACGACTGGCATCGTCCTCCCCGTCTGTACCGTTGTCTTCCTCTTCGACTTCATCTTCCAGGCTTGACCTAGAAGTCGGTGAACGTGAATGATCCGGTGTAGTTGTTGTATTAATATTGTTTGTAACTCCTGTAAGTCGTGGATCATGTTGGCCATCTGCATGTACTGGCGCGCCGTCGACTTCTTCAGTTATGTTTGACAGCAGCACCTCTACTTCAACGTCTACTGTATCTGCTATCGTTCTATTGCTATTGGCTTCTTCGTGTCCAGCCTGTTCACCAAGATTCCCTCCCGAGACCGCCTGACAACGAGACACTATTGGGAGTGCGAGCGCGCTTGTTCCGTCAGAAGAGGTAGAAGGAAGATGCTCATCTGCCCTATGACCAGTATAATTATGTCCTTGGTGAAAAATCCACGGAGCAGGACTTCCTCTTGACGCCACCGCAACAGCGCTCTCATAAACTCGAGGTATCTTCCGAGATGAAGCCGCGGCCTCTGACAGGTAAAACGCACTGCTTAAAAATTGCATAGCATCTTGTTCTGGACTGTCCACCGTGTGCGTGCCCAGCACATGGTTTGCTGGCCTCTCGACTGTACTTCCAACTCGATCCTGCGGGTGCTGCGCAGGTCTCAGAGATGGCGAGGAACCTTCGACGGCGACAGGCCCAAGTGCAGGAGAGCCATGCGTTGAGGAGTTGTATAAGGAACACGAAGACGCGGCCGTGCTGCCGCAACTTGCCAGTCTCCTCAGCGTCGGAGGAGACGAGTCGTCTTTGTCCATTTCAACATCGTGCTGGTCTCTATCAGGCGGACTGAGGAAACCTTCATCAGGCGGACTGAGGGAGCCACGCACAAAAAGCGTGGGTAATGCGTGAAAACCCAACAGGGCAAGCGAGGAAATGCGGCATGCGTCGCGCAACATCCTTGATCATACATTTCTTGTTCTCATGTCAGCTAGTAAGTGAATTTCTTGAGCAAGTAATGCAAGTTATTCCGACATAAAATTACCTAAACAGAAGCCTCCAATATTACAATTACTATTTGTCGATGCAAAAATAAAAAGTGACAGCCTAAAAGACTGGGAGCGAACGCCTTACGACGCCAGCGTGTATCATATTGTCCTGCTCTTTCAGAAGATGGGAGCGCGATGACCGGGCACAGCCACAGGCATAGGGTTCTTGGGGAAATACTTTTACTTGCGGGCTCCTTGGTACTACTTACTTCTGGAACATGTGTGCTAACCTTGTCGTTTACTCTCGCGTTCACCAGTGGCATCTTTGCGTCTTCATCACACAGGAAAGTCCGAATGTCTTGTGTTGGAACTGTGCGTAGAGCTGTCTGAGCGGTTAAAGATGCACAAGTCGATAGAAGCGACCGGGCAAGTTGCGCCACACAGGTTACTCTGCTCCCTATGTCGACCACAAGCGTGGATGAAGAGGCACACGATGTGGGAATAAAATGGGAGCTATCATAAGTAATCCACACTGACGATGAGTCGGATTGAAATTGGACTTGAACGAACACGGACAACGAGTTTACGAGTACAGGCAAATGCAGGTACTTCATGTGGTGCGGGATAAGAAGTCCTGACTTCGGATTCAATGAAAATTAACGAGTAAAAGCATTGAGGATTTCGATTTCATTTTTCGCGAAAAGTAGTGAAGAATTGTCGTAAATTAGGGATAGTGCTAGCATTGTTGTCAGAGGAAATCTTCAATCGTTGGGATTTCGAACAGGCGGGATTCAGAAAACTGTTTCGCACGTAGAAGCAGGTAGGGTCCACTCACCATTCCGTCTCTCTGTAATCCTTCAGGAACACACCATACGGAGGCTCTGCAGGAGCTTTCGCTTTTCCACTCGCTCCCGCGGTCGTGCTCGTGACGCCAGGTCCACAGAGTCCTGTATCTTGACCTGCTACAATTCCATCTGCGTCTGGATCCTCTCGTGCACTCATGTCCACTACCCTCTTTCCCTCTACATCAGGGATAAAAGCGAAAATCGGGTCTAAGATCCGAGCTGCCGCATCAACCTCATCAATCGGTGTCTGCCACTGTTGGCTGGTAGCGTGAGCGTGTGCCATTTTTACTGGTTTTTCGTCATTAATCCAACCAGTATCGACACTATTCATATAGATCTGGCTCTTCTGCGCATACTCTCTTGCAGAGGTTTTGGTCATCATGTTCAGCGCCGCTTTCGCCATGTTGGTGTGTGGATGGTTCGGTGTTTTGTACCGGTAGAACTTGCCTTCCATAGCAGAGACATTGACGATGAAGCGGGGAGTGCGGAGCTTGGTGGGCTTTGGGAGGCCTGTCGTGAAGAGAATGGCACAGTCACAGGGTAAAAGACAGAGAAAAAGTTTAGACCCTTCCGAATTTCAATTGGAAGGGTCATATGGAAATGTAGTATATGTATAGTCAATTGCAAAAATAGAGTTAAACTCACGAAATCATTACTAGTACCTGCAACAACATCCGCCGTTACGCTATGCGGTGCTTTCTCTAACAGCGGTTTCAACCTTCCGTTCATCACGAAAGGAGCCATGGCATTAATGAGAAAGCACTCGACCAACTCCGGAGTCTCGACTTCTTCCAATTTGAAGACCCAAGAATGTCGATCCCTGTAGTCAATCAATTGACCGTTGACGTCAGTGTACCCAGGCAACTCTCTTGAACCCAACTGAACACGCGCATCGTCCTTGGTCTGGAGCAATAGTTGCTGCGCTTGCGTGGTGGCATCGAGTTGGCGCTCTATTCGGGTTTCGGATGAGGGAGCAGCGCTGGTCGATGGCTGAGCAAGGCCGTTAGTGCGGTCAGCACTTTCTTCCGGAACCGAAGATGCTGTGCTCGGAGTCGACGCAACGGATTCGCTTCCTCCGCACCCATTCGTTTTGGTTGGGGATTCGAGGGACGCCGTTGAAGCGATCTTGGACCACCCATAGTCGTAAAACACGCCTTGTGTTGGACACATCGATTTCGACACACCACAACCCGCGAAGTCACCCGCATTAACATGCGTCAAGTCCTCGACTCCGTTTTCGACTGCCTGTCGTCTCAGCACCTCACCAGGCATCAGCGCCTCCTTCTCTCGCAGAGGTTCGTAGTAGGCTTGCGGTCTACGGATCGTCTGGCACGCGTTGTGAATGACACCGTTTAAATACGGGAAATTCTCTGTCACATAGTCGCACAATGCTTCCACGCGTGGTAAAAAGCGAAGGTCGACGCCGAGAAGGATCAATCGGTCTGCTATACTCTTTGAAGATGATGCATCGCCTGTTGTCGCTTTCTCGAAGAACTTCTCTCGTCCAAAGAAGCCAACGAATCTCTCTAGAGTGTCATTCCGAAAACGCGACGTGACCAAAACCGTTGCACCTGCGTTCAGCAACTTCACAGCTGTGTGAAATCCGATTTTAACCCGACCACCCGTAACGAGAAAAATGTAGGAACTATCCAGCTTCGGTTGCTGGAATCGCTTCGAAAAGTTCAAAGCGGCACAGGGCGGACACAGGGAGTCGTAAAAGTGGTGTAACTTCCAATACTTGGCTTTGCACACGTAACAGGAACGGGGTCGCTCGAGGTCTGTGAGAGGACCATTATTGTCATTACCACAGCCGTTGGAGGAAGAAATACAGATCTTTTTTGCTGGTGGTTCATCTTGTTGGTCTGGGCTCTCGATGTTGATGGGCGTTGAAGACGATGAACTGCTTCCACCTTCTTCTTGGCTGGGAGCGGAGACAGCTGCAGCATGCTCAGCGACGTCTTGTTCCGCAGCTACTTCTTCGTCCTCTACAATCGCACTAATGCCACCCTCTCCGTTGTCATTTTCCACAGCCTCTAATACGTTAGGCTGGTCGAAAGCGTGAAATGTCGCGCCGTCCGGAACTAACCGCAATTCGTCGGCTCCTGCTTCGTTGACGTCACACAGGCTTGCCATTGCTTGCAAGCGGCCTTGGCGGAGAGCTGAAAGAAAGTTGATTTGGGGAGGATACGAGACTTGATGTGATAGATCATTAACTTAGAAAAGGCACCTAAAATGGCAATGAAATACTTGAATTTGATTCCTAGTTTAAGAGATTCAAGGTCAGACTATGGGTGATGTTGAAGTGTCTCATCACATCTCTCAGACGAACGAGACCTATCAATTTTGTCATCATGGGAGTGGTCTTTTGCACCGTAAGCCTGCTACTTCAGGCTGATTTAACGACACAGAATGGCTACTGTAGGGTAATTTCGCAGTTGTCAGAGTGGTGATGCATGGTTGTTGAGATATTCCACATCGTTCATTTTCGGAACAGGTCTGTGGTATGTCAAGGTTGTCATCATACTAAGCGAGACGTGCTTTGAGATTTTTTTACTATGTAGCCTAGTTAGATTCATCTACCTTGCTAGCTGTTAAGTCCTGCGATCATCATCGTCCGAAGCTAGTAGTCAAAATGATCGCTAATGATGTCAGAACAGCGGAGAAATCTTTGTCAGCACAACAACCCTACTAAAAGAAGTTCAGGTCTGTTGAGCTTGAAGAAAAGGTTGCTCATCATGCTAAAACGGCTTCCGCGTGCCTGCTTGATCCAGCACGCAAGTTGCGTTGCTGTATCCCTACTAGTCTAAGAGTACTGTAATTGTAACTGGTTCGATAGGTTCAGAATTAGATCATGATTCTTCTTCTACTGGAGTAATCTTCAGAACAGCGGAGAAATCTTTGTCAGCACAACAACCCTACTAAAAGAAGTTCAGGTCTGTTGAGCTTGAAGAAAAGTTTGTTCATCATGCTAAAAAGGAGGCTCCAGTAGCAGACAGGATCTTGACCTGATACTGATCCTCACATATGCACACTCCTGGTGTGAGTACTACGGTCCGTATTATTAACACTAGAGTGAGTACTAGGATTTAGTCGGTGTTCTTTGACTTCGTCAGAGTGGTGCATGACATTTCTTCCACATAGTTCATTTTCAGAACAGATCTGTGAAAGGTGATGTATGTTCTCATCCTGTCGTGATTGAGATGTACTATTTTTGTGCTTGTCGTCGTTGAGCTCGTGATGATCGTGCATGTGGTTCGTCTAATCCGAATCGCTCCTGCTCAACATTGCAGAAGCTGTATACAGGCGAAGGTGACCAGTAAAGATAATAAGTCTAGGATAAATCGCTGTGTATTTCGCAGAGGTCAGAGTGGTGCATGACATTACCTTCCACATAGTTCGTTTTCAGAACAGGTCTGTGAAAAATGTATGCTCTCATCATTCTCAGTTCTGTACAGCATTGGGCTCTCTTTGAAGAGCAATATAACCAATCACAAATAAAAGGTACCAACACTCTCCATGCGCTTCTGATCGACCGCCATCATCGTTTGCTTTCTCCATGCTTTTTTGATTTTTTCCTCCTTCTTTCTGGCTTTGTTATCCAAAGTCTTCTTGTTGGGCAAGCTTCGCGCCGCTAACTGGTTTACTAATCGTCGGATAGCTTTGAATTGCTTCCCTCTGGCATCACCGTCCTCGCCGAGAGCGCACTGGGTTTCGAGCTCTTCTGCATCTAGGGTGTAAATGGCGGAGAGGACACCCTCGCAGGTCGCGAGCTGCTCATCTGTTATTGCGTCCATGTTGTCGCGGCTACGGCTTCCTCTAAAATCGGTGTTCGCTGGTCGTCCTCGTCAGAGGCTTTAAACTCATCTTGATCATGTACTTGGATTGATATTCCTCTAGTAGCTCACGAGCGTGGACAACAAGTCAACACTATCTTCTAAGTCATTTCCCACCCATAAGCTCAAAAAACGAACAACCACTGTAGCGAGTGAGTTCACAAAAAGTGGGAGAGTGATACTTGCGCGTAGACTCAACAAGCAGCCGATCTACTTGTTTCTGTGGCAAGGCTGATCTTTGCTTTACCTGAGATCGCTGTGACTTGTCTCGTCAATCCATGGATCTTAGTTTGGGGCCATCCCATGGAAATAACGATCTGGATCTCACGATCTGTTTTCAGGTGTACTACTTCTCTCGCGCTCAAGAGTGGGATCTTCGATCGTAGTGTCTGATATCATACGAACGTATTTTTACCCTTAGTGGGATCTGGGCAGATCCTGCATGATCTTCCGGGAGGCCAGCACATCTCAAAGAAAAATATCATTAGAAATAGTCCGTAAGTCGATTGCCTGCTCCGCCGCAAGACTGTCGTCACGCTATCCACCGAGACAAGCGCGCGAAAGCGGAAACTGCGTCGATGATTCCCTTGAAAAACTCTAGTATGCGTGTCCATCTGCCATAAAAAGTTAGCGCGCTGTGTGAAGCATTCACGTTTTCAGTTCTCAGTCCTTCCATTCCCGCAAACCAAAAACTTCCTGCCCTCTAGAGAAATCCCTCCAACCACAACTACTTCATCTTGCACACAGCAATCATCCCCCCCTCTATGGGTACCGTCGCACCGTTCACCATCCCACTCTGTTCCGTATCCAGGAGAAAGAGCACCGGCTTCACCACGTCCTTCTCCTCAGCAAACTGGCCTAGAGGTATCCTCGTCAACATCGGTCCTCCTTTTTCTGGATTTCCCCAAACTTTCTTGCCCATGGGGGTCATGATTACCTCATGTCAAAAACGGGAGTGGAAGTAGATGATGCAGTGCAGGTGGTCGAGCACTGCAGAAGAACATCTACGTACAAGAGGAATCCGCCTAATTATACAGTATGCAAGAGCCATGTCGTGTAATGAATGTGATACGAAAAAAGTACCGTAGGATTGACCGCATTGCATCGAATCTTATGTGGTCCTAGCTCCAGTGCGGCCGTCTTCGTCAGCAAATCGATCGCTCCTTTGCTCATACTATACGTCGTATGCTCTTCTAATGAGAAGAGGCTCGCTTGCGAAGAGATGTTTACCTGGCACAGTTGACGGTGGTAGAAGTGACTCGTTTTTGGCAGGAGCAGGTCTGGGTAGCTTAAATGTCATACCAGGTCACCTCGTAGCCTGCCCTATAAAGGGCCACACTTGACTTTAACGAGGCAGAGCGTTAATCAACATGTCAAGGAAGTTACTATCGCTTTCCCGGGTTGTTCGTTTCCCGTTTCGAGCATCTTCTTGACTGCTTTCTGCGTACACAGCAAAGGCGCATAGGCATTCACGCTCATCACCTCATCAAACGCTGCTTTTGTTACGTCCATCATCTTTTGAGGAATCGAGATCCCTGCATTATTCACGAGAAAATGCAACTCCATCCCCTTCTGCTGCAACACTTCGAGAGCTGCATCCATCGCTTTTGCCGGGTCCTTGCCTAGGTCTCCCTGTATGGCTGCGACACGATCCTTGCCGTATTCGGATTCGAGGGATGCGCAATCATCGGCGGATCGCGTTATCCCGATAACAAGCCCGCATCCGCCTTCGACAAGTCCGGCGACGAGGGCGCGGCCAAGACCCTTGCCTGCACCGGTCACGATGGCGGTTTTACCCGCGAGAAAGGGCATGGTGGTGAAGGATGTGGTCAAGTACGTATTTTTTTTGTTTTCTTGCACCACATAAAGCTGTTTTCAATGACGTAGTTTAAATTGTTTTTTGTGCCTTTTTTGAAACTGCTCGATTTTGACAGGTTTCCCTTTTCGATCTCGCGACACACACTTTCAGGGTACAAGCGTTTGACTTTCTTCGCTGTACAGGTATGCATCGCTGGACTACACCTGACGCCTGCTCAAGCGCTTATGACGACCTTGCCCAGTAGCTGTTTGCATAATTCTCGTCGAGGGACAGAATCCCTGAAAAAGAAACTTCAACAAAAAATTTAGCAGCTGGTAGGTCGTATATGATACGTGCTGGTAAGTAATGGTTATCGAAATCCTGTCAAGATGATTATTTTGCAGTCACTTTTGCGTCTGAAATCTCTCTATTTTCTGAAGGCAGAAAAAAACGCAGCTAGTCCTAGCCACTCCCTTTTCTCCCCTCAATCTCTGGTTTTTCTATGCTATGAAATGTACTACTATACTTAAGTTATTATGAGTCTTTAAATGCTTACAACTTCGATCAACAAAAAATAAGCTGGTAGAGGACTACGTCAATCTGGTTCATCTTACGGTTGCTTTTATACACAAGAACTATCAGGCCATACTTGCGTTACGTTAAAAAACAAGAACTACGTGTTGCATAGTCCAGGCGGTAGATGTTCCAAGGCAGTGCTCCTCATGTTGATCTCCATGTTTTTCGTCGTACAACTAACTGAAACTCAAAAATATTCCATCATTCAACTTTATTCTATTGTGTGTTTCAGTGCAATGAATTTGACTACTTGCAACTTAAAGATACTTACTTCTTCAACAATTGAGAAACAACCATCCAACACCTTCTTTTTCTGTTTCTGTGTCAGATCATGGCATGTTATGTTGGCGGTGGCGTAGGTGCCCGTAACAACAGACCGGCATGATGCGTTCCAGCTCCCGGCGAGGCGAAAAACTGGAGTCCGCTCTCGCCAGAGGAACTGCTGCTGCCTTGTTGGGTGTTCGCATAAAACAAGTGCTGTGGTGATGGTTCAGGCAGGCTTCCATGATCATGAGGAAGCGTACTCGCCTCAGTAGGTCCGGATGTCGGTAGTCGCTGATAAAAAGCCCCTTCTGTTCCGGTGGCCACTTGTCCTCGCCTATTGGGGTTGTGCAATAAAGGTGGGAGACTCAATCAATGTCAACCTGAGGAGCATTACGGTATTTCTTCTTGCAACTACATGACAATGATCGGTAGTTGTTGGGTAGTAGTTACAACCAAATGAAAGAGAAGATAAATCCAATCCGTTTACCTATTTATAATCCTAGAACAATAGCACTAGTCTTAGTACCTTCTCTTGAGACCACCAGTGGACGGTTCGCCAGCTTGCTGTTGCATATGCTGCGCAGTCATTTCAACCTCAGAGGATGACGTTGCGCCTCCTTCAAATGTTAGAATTTTTAGCGATGATACTAATCATGATTGTTCTTGACAACTAGATGAGATGAGATGCTCGTCCTCGTATTGTGTTTGTGTGCTCATCGTGTCATAATGAGAAATATGGAGGCTGGTTCTGGACTTGATGACCGCCTCCACCTCTGAGAGCCAAGTTTCCCACTCCTGCTCCCTGTGCGTCAGCCTGAGCTGCAGCTGAACTCGAAGACCGACTTCCGCGTGCACTTGATCCTCTAGCTGAAAATGAGCCAGTTACAGCGGTCGCGGTGGTGCTTTGGGCAAAGCGAAGAGGGGAGCCGACCAGTTGCTGACTCTGGTCGGGATCTTAGAGGTCAAGTTTCGTTGTGCGCCTTCCTGTGTTCACATCATAACATTCAAAATATAATTATGACGTTGAAGCGTTATACTGCAAATCATAATTACCAACAGAAGTGACTGAGTAATCTGGTATTCAGACCAACAGAAGTGAGTCAGTACCAACAGAAGTGAGTCAGTACCACCAGAAGTGACTGAGTACACGATGCAGAAGTCCAATTACAACAATGACCTTTTCCACTCTGCCTTAAAGTTTAGCAATACTTCGTTCCAACAAAGCCGAACTTAGCTCCAAATGGCCGTCGTCATCACACCAATGCTGGTCGGAATGACAGCAAGGTAGCCATATGCATTCGAGACAGGAACAAGCACCCGAAGCATTAGTTAGAAAGTGAACGTGAACAAGGATGCGCTCGTTTAGCTTACAAGAACAGCTTCTCCTTTAAGTAAGTGTAGAAATCCAAATCAATCAAATTCAAGTTCAACAGCACCATGACTTCTCTTTTAAGTATAAGTAAGTAGTGTAGAAATCCAAATCAATCAAATTCAAGTTCAACAGCACCCTTTCATAAGCTTCCCGTCGGAGAATTCTCACCTCCCGCAGCAGCCGCTGCCGCTCCACTGAGTGAGGAAGCGGACAGACCAGCAGCTGTGGTCGCTGCCGTATTCATAGTCACATCGGTCACGTGATTTCCGAATAAGAACTGTGTCGTCTTCTTTAGTCGACCATGCAAATGCCGATATCGGCATTCGAAGGCGAGCCATACACTCGAAAACATGATAGTCGCTCCAAGAATCATGGCACTGCTTTCACTATTGTAGAGGACTCCGGGATCGACCTAGTATAATTTTTGGTTTGCTGTGAGATTTTTGAAGACAGGCAGTTCTTTTCTGCAGAAAGATACAAATTGAGATTAGAAGTCCGGTTGTTAAGAATCGACGTTGAAGTCCCAAACCTACAGTGTTCTAGCAAGGTGGTATACGTCTATCCGAAAGCAGAGGCTGTCGTCATTTTTCGAAGCTTGGTTCGCTGAATTCAGCATGAAGCAGGGGAAGGGGACTTCGAGCACGAGCAGGATCATGTTCTAACAAATAACTAGCCTGTAGTCGCGGGGCAGAGTCAATGCCTGCTGCCTATATGACCGGTGTTGTTTCCCTTGTTCTTCTTAGACAAGGCCTTCTAATCCACATCACCCAATTCCACATCACCCATAACTTCCAACAATTCCCTCAAGTCCAACAGACTACGGACTTTCAGAGGTGGCTTCGCTTTCGACCGCCTTGTCGTGTCCAAAAATGACAACTTCCTGGCAGGAACCTGATGATCGCCTTCCTTGAAGAAGACGAGAAGACTGCTGCTGCCAACTGCGTGGAAAGCAGGGTTGAAGATGCCGAAGAAAAGACCCACGTAACCCATTTTCAGACGGCAAAGTTAGAGCTGCTGTGACAAAAGAATGGACGAGGATGATTCATTCCCGTACCGGCCGCTTACACATCGAAGATCTCGTCGAAAGCTCTGCCGACTTATACGACACAATACAATAAATCTCGCACAAAGTTCAGTGCAGACTGCCTCAAGGGCGTCGTAGTGTTTCGTCACGATGTTACTTCACGCAAGAGATTAAGCTACTAATTCGAAGCGGCACGGAAATCAGTTAGTTAAGTGTTGGATAATTTCACGGATTCGGTGTACTCCTAGGCATAAAAAAGGTCATCTTCTTCCGAGCTCGCACCGCCTTCACCACTCTGTCTTCGTTCGCGAGCTGCAATTTTCTCAAAGAGTGGCAGCAAAAAGCCCTGCAACTCTTGTATCGTCGTCTTCAAGTCTTCAAACGCTTGTTTGTCTTCTGGATTTGCGAGAAAGAGTGGCTCGAAGTGCCCTAGCGCATGGAGGACCTTTTGACCCGTCATGGAGGCAGCTACGGATTGGCTGAAGTTAGAAGATACGAGGAGGAACATGGAAGTGGTTTTTCATCCTGCAGCTGGCTAGAGTTGTGAGAAGATACGAGGAGGAACATGGACGACGAGTGGTTTTTCATCCTGCAGCTGGCTAGAGTTGTGTGATTCATTCAATGAGTGTGACAATGCTCCAATAAGTGCTTGTTGCCAGCTCTTCAAGCTTACCTCGTGGTCCCACGAACAAGTTCAACTGAGGATAGATTGGTCGTGTGCTTCCTCGATGAGCAGTTGGATCCTATAGTACATAGTTCACAACTCCCCAGTCTTAACTAAACCACAGAAATTATTATGAGTTGGATCTTTTTTTCTTAACTAACAACCTCCTGATGCTTGAGATCGGAAAACATGGGCCCATCTCCAAATTCGTGGCAGCTGCTGGTGCTCGACTCTGCTGTTGGTCGAATATCCCTTGTCCTCCAGCTGGAGGTGGAAAAGGTTCTCCTGCACCTGGTGCTCCACTGATTGGTTCTAGCCGGTCTGCTATGTTATTTTCAGCGCCGGGTTCACCTTCAGCAGCTGTACTAGACGAGGAAGAGGAAGTCGAAGTTCTCGTTTTCGTTGTTGAAGAAGAAGTTCCACTTTTTAGGAGGTCTACGGAGAGATGTTGAGTGTCCTCCAAAGGTGATGATCCTGACGTCTCGTCAATAACTACATCATCTTGCCCTTTGCTTCCGTCTACTTGTTGTTCGGCTGACGAAGTAGAAGGGTTTTCTTTTTTGACATTGACGTTCTCTTGGCTATCCTGATTAATACCAGGTCGACCTTCGACTTCGTGTTTACGTGCAGCAGGATCTTCGTCAGGCGATGCACGACTAGTACTCGTCATTTTCTCTGTTGACTCGTCCGGTTGGCGCTTTGATCCTCTGGTTGTTCTCTTGCTCCTGCTGGCGCTTTCCACAGTTTGTTGTTTGTCCAGAACTTTTTCTTTTGCTTCTCTACGTTGCTCGTAGTTGCCCTGCCTCTCTAGTGCCTGCCTTTGCTCCTCTGCATAGGCAGCTTCAGGCATGCTGTTGCCGAAGACGTCGTCGCTACCCATCGGCGACGATCCCACAAGTGGTGAACCTGCACCGCCAATGGATTCAGGATAGAATGGTGAAGGGGAGCCGCCCGGAGGAGTCTGGATTAGAGAGGGTTTTTTCCCCCAATCAATAATCATGTAGGTAATTTTCATTTCCTGTCCCGGCGTGGAAATGACACACAGAAAACAAAATTAAAGATGAATGAAGTCTGAAGCCAGCCTTAAATAGAAACTTGGTGAGGCACCGAACGAATTCACAGCATGCTGTTCACTTTTTCCAAGTACTAGGGGCAAGGCCTGTGCCCCCGTGTCGTCTTCAGACGAAGCAGTGGCGCCAGTCCTCCTCAAAGCTGCCCCACCTCGTTTGACGTGGTGTTGTACATGTGTATTGGAACGAGGCCCATGACCATCTTGTCCATTCACACCTCCATTGTCAAATCCAGTTCCTCCAGCTATCCCCCGCTCTCCATCCAACATCGTCATCCCATTACTAGACAGCGACAGGGACATCAAAGGGAGGCCTCCAACATCATCCCCTTGTTCACCTAAGCCGGCGTCGTTTGGGTTTGGAGGAATAGAGAAGCCGCTATCTCCCAGAGCGGCGCTAAGAAACAACATCACACCCATTGCGAAGGATCGACGCAGACTCTGAGGAGTTGTAGGACCGCTTCTGCAGATCATTCCATGTCGAGGAATTCCCATCTCCAAGTCGACGTCTGATGCGTCGCTATCCGTCTCGGATCCTGCGGTGAGGCCACCATCAATAAGAACCGCATTTCCATCGTGCATTGCCTCTTCTTGGTCGTCTTGATCTCCGCTTAACAATAAGCTCGACGTACTTTTTTCTGGACTTTTGCCACAGGTAGACGCCGGGTTCAGCAAGAGGCACAAGCAGAAAACGAAGATACGATTCATCATTTTTTGAGGAGGAAACATGATTTTTGCTCTTTATTTGCAATAAATCTTTGTACTTGTAGTTCTTCTTCTAACTACATGAAAAAAAATAGTAAATCATCTACGAAAAATACAACTACTTACACTATCTCTATTCGTGAACGATTACTTGTTGTAGAGGACCTACAGGAGTAAGTATCTTCCCTCACCTCTTCTTGAAACCATTGTTTGTCCAACTCCAACAAGTCTCTGAGCAGCTCAAGAAGGAATACTTGCTGGGTTATGCTGCAAAGCATTTTAAAGCATTAACATTAGCACGCTCCTCAGCCCTACTCTCTCTCCCTCTCTGTTCTCTGTCCAAGTGCCACCTTGTCGCTGATGTGACGCGATCACAACGACCGATGTCACATCGACGGGAACAACTGCAGAGTTGATGAGTAAGAACATCCATCGACTGAGCGGGGTATTATTTCTGCGTCCGCGAGTCTTCAACTCTAGCTGCACCGGGAAGTGTCGGGCGGCTTCGTCATCTATAACCGCATATCAAGATTCAAGAAGCAAAGTACGTTTTGTAAAAGAACTAAAATGCAGAACTGAAATGAAACAAACAAGGAAGGAGTAGTTTCCATCTCGGTGTTGAGCAGAATCAGAGATAAACGTAGAAGTTTGAGAGAGATACGGCCTTAATCAACATAGACGATCGCTTGTTCATTTAGTAGAATCATAGATAAGGAATGCAAAGCAGGGTTGTTGGTACTATACTCGAAAATTTGAATCTTAAACTTTGATTGAGTCACTGATAATGGTTTATTTTTTGCTTCCACCGGGCTCGGACAACCCGTTAATTTCACGATGCAAATAGGTTGCAAGTGAGTCACAACTCAACTGGTCATTTTCTGTTAATACAAGTTAGGTTCAGCACTACCGGCTACGAAAGACAACTACAAAAACTTCAGAAAAAAAAGATCGACAAGACCACTGACCATAAGCACAACATGCACTTATGCAGCGGTCCCTGGTACATTTACTGAAAAAAAGATCACGACTATGGGGGTAGCAGGAATGTGCTTGTCGGTGGAGAGGCATGAAGTAGGAAAAGGAAAAAAAGTACGTTTTTAATTTTCGACGATCTCGTAAATGGCATGCACATCAATCATCCTAAAAAACCTAATGTCAGCATGAACAATGTATCTTATAGTACTCTATTGTGGGGTGCATCTGCGTCACGCATAGAATTGTTCAGGTTCATTGAATGTTTTAGGATTAGGAATTTGGAATGTTAGTTGTCTTAGTGAATGTTTTGGGAATACTAAATGCGAAACTGGCTATTATTCTTCATCATTGCAACGTGCTACCTAATCACGTGACTCCCCCACCATTTGGCTTCCCTGAGCCTGACGACGGCGGATTGCCTTTCATACTTTCGCTTATTCTTTTTTCTAGACTTTTAGGATCTCCTGGTTTATTACTAGCTTTCTTCCCAGTGTCTTCATCGCCAATCCCTCTCGCAGCTTTTTTGAGATAGTTTCTGACTATCATTTCTATGGCTAGATCGTCTGGCTTCGATTCTGCTTCTGTCGGTGTGCCATGCCGCTTCGGCTCCCCTGAAAACGTCTCAAATCCGTAAGGAACGGGCACTGCGGATAGTCCTGTCTTGTCGGTTGGGAACGGCTGCGTTGCTTTCGCAGTGGTTTTCGCGGTACAACTGAGAGATTCAGCAGGACTCGACTCAGGACTCTTGGAGGAAGATGCGATTTGCACTGCTCGCCGATTCATTCTCACGTAATTGCGAGGTTGACGAGGGGATTTCACCTTTTCAGGTGGTGACTGAGACTCTCCTGCTGGACTACGACTGGTACCTCTCGGCTTCTGTTCTTCTTGGCCTTGATCATGATCTATCAGAGGTCCTGCTCCGGAAGACATTGTTATTGTGCCTTGCATTCCTCGACTGCTCCTGCTCTGCGTCGTAGCAGCTCCTGTAGAAAAGAAAGTTCCACCAGCACCTCCTGATGTATTTCTGGTTGTATTGAGAGCAGCGCTTAGACCTACTGCTGCTCGACTAGAGGTTGTTGTGACTCCTTGCGTGAATCCACCTGGCGGTCGTCCACTAGGTAGAGTGCTACTAGGAGAAAACACCAAACTTGCACTACTACTAGAAGCTGCTGGGCCTTGCCCACTGAGGACGCCACCTGCATGGACGTTCACTGGCACGGGGGAGCACACTGGAGACGCCTCCATCATCCCCATGGTGGACATTGATGTAGTAGACGCCATAGTCTTGGTCCGACTATGCTGGTGTTGTGATAAGAGGCTACTCTTGTAGGGACTTCTACTTCTACTCCTGGCTGATGGGCTCTGTCCGCCTATAGGAGTTTCATGCAATCTCTTTTCTGGACTACGGCTTCGTCCTCCGCGATAGGGTGAACTTGCGGTCCGACCGAAGGCTTTTCCTACTTGCCACACTGGTGGCGGTTGGGCTGCGGCGGGGATTAGAGTAAGAATGGTAGTCCTGCTAGGAGTCGGGAAGAACTATTTAACAATGCGTTTCATCTTGGTGCAGAAAGAAAAATGAAGATGCGCAAAGATCTTTTACTAATATTCAATGGTCACTGACTCTGAACGGAAGAGACCCCTTTCCAAGCTCTCCCCTTTCCCTTCATATATTTTCCCTGTTGGTTCTCTCAAGGGGAGGTCGCCTCTTCGATCCAATGTTGACCATTGAAAGTTGAGCCTTTTAATAGTAAGCCAAACAAAGGCTGCTTTGTAGTTACACTCTACCTCACACACCATAACAGAAACTCCGTTGTCATCCTCTGATATCCTTCTTTCTCTGCTTCCATTTCGGCTACCTTCTGTGGTCCCTTCTTCTCCAGCAACCCGTCTCGTCTCACGTCGTTCACTGTTCGACCTGTCTTTTTCGGGTTTAAACCGTATTCTAGCTCTTCCGGGTCTCGGGGGCTTGGGAACGCCTTTTCGTCCTTGAACTCTTTCGCCAGTCGTCCCCTGGCTTCCAGACTCAAGTGTTCCCACGCTTTCTTCGGAGAAGGTGATCTTACCATCGCCATCAGGTCTTTTAGAGCTCACCCTTATCCATCTTGAGGCGCATTTTGATGATCCTTTCTCCTTATGAAACTACAGCCTCAATCATATGCTTCCGAAGGAAGATGGATCATTAGGGAAAGCCTTAAGTCTTGTGGTGCTGGACGTCCGCGTCTGGCTTGATTCCTCGGACGCATCTGATACGGATCTTGTTCGACTTCGATCAAAGCACGGTGGATCTTGTCGTTGGGATTCAAGCTGCCCTTCAAATTCTTCCTGTAGAAAGCGCTTTCGGTCGCTTGCATGTCCTGCTGACTCACACTGAAGACCTCCTCACCCGCCACCCGCGCTAACCGCAAATCGCCGGCCATCATCAGGCGGAAACATGCCTGACACGCCACACCACGACCTCGCTCGACTACTTTAGAGAACGCTAGAACGCTTTAGCCCATCTCGGTTCCACCAACATCTTTTTAGTACCCTTAATAGATACCCTTGTACTCCAGACCATGGGAAAAGAGCACCAAGATGGACGATGAGTAGATCATGAGATGAGATGGATAAAAGCCGACCATAACTACTCGGAAGTCCCGCTTGTTGTTCATGTCGCGCAAATCCTCTATCATCTTTTCGAGATCTTCCGCCACACGATCGAAGTCCTCGATCATCGTGTCGATTCGCTCTTCCCAGTCGTTGTAGGTGCGTTCGTATCTTTCATCCGCCTCCTGCGTGTATTTTTTTCGTGCCAAATCGAGCTCGATGCAGAGAGCATCGAACTCCTCAGCGAGGTCTCTGTCCCGCTTCCGGAATTCTTCCTCCTTCTCTGGGATTTTCACATCGTAGATGATCTCCATTTCGAGCTTCAATTCGTCCATAGCTTCGTAAAGCTGTGCTTTCTTCAAGTCTATGCCATCCGCGTCCGCCTGCAACTCTTTGTACTTGATGCGCAACTCTTTCAGATAACGTTCGGCTTGGGTTAGAGCGGGCGGGTGAGGGCGAAGCACATGCAAATAATGTGCTCCTTATGGGAGAAGCAGAAGAAAGACAAACAAAAAGCACAGAAGCAGAACAATGAGAGAAGCAGAAAAAAGACAAACAAAAAGCACATGACCATGAAACGAGTAAAACAAGGTCGACGATATTTCAGATCTTCGATAGTGTTACAACTACTGCTACTCAAAGAGCAATATTTCTTAACTTCAGAAGTGGCACGACACAACACCAAGCATCCAGCGCATTCATCAATGCTTCGCGAGGTTTGCGATTCGTCAACCCGAGTCGAGACCTGGAGAGGTGTTTGGTAGACGACGGAGTAAGTTTTACATCTACACGTTGGACTTGATCTCAAAAAAAAAGATTCTTCGAAAAGAAATCACGTCACTTGTAAAATCAGATGACAAATCTAATAATTGGTAAAGAGAAATCTATCAGACAAGAAATCTAAAAATTTTTGGTATTGGTAAAGGTCGTAATTGTAAGTAGTAGTACTGGATAAACGAGCTGAGGCCTATCGTAATCTTCGTGTTTTCCCTATGTATTTTGTCGTAAACGATGTATTTCTCTTCCATTCTGTCGCACAAATCGTTGAAATAGGTCAGATCCAGCTTCTTTCGCAAGCGCTTGTATCGCTTCTCGCGTCGACAATACCACATCCAATGGATGAACATCATCTGTGAAGTTTTTGGTGGACAAGGTTCATGTCGGTGGAGTTGTATATCGATGTTATTCATGTTAGATTGATATTGTAAGTAGAAAAAAGATTCGTTTTGTAGCTGTTGCAACAGTTCTGTTCTTCAGGGTCAACATTTTTGAGCGATTTCCTCCATATCCAAAAGAACGAACAAAGCAACACAAGAAAGAAGAAATATTTTTGTACCCGACACCAATGTCTTTTCTCTTGTGTCCACAACCCCTCTGCAAACACCTCCATAGCATGCCCAAATCTTTCCGCCTTCTTTCGCCTCAAATTAATCCGTGCTGCCAGTGTTTGAAGCAAGCTAGCGCGTTCGTATCTGGTCTTCAACAAGAGCTTATCCAATCTACGGCCTTCACGTTCCAACTCGCGGTTTTCGGCGACCTTATTGTCGATTTTCTCATTCCAACGTTGGACAAAGGTCATCGCGTAGTCCAACTTGTCATCCCACTTGGCCAGCTCTTCTTCTAATTTTCCGATTTCCTCTTTTTCGAGTTCCGCTTGTTGCAGATTAGAACAAGTGATTTGATCAGGTTATTGATGACTATCCATCTACTTACTTCGTCTTATCTAAATCCATCTATCTTCAATTATATCAAGACTACAGCTACACTATCACCCACCATGATCTTAACTTTCTCATATTCCTCCTTCAAAGCCTTCTCCGCTTTTTCAGCTTTCCAAGCCTCGTATTCCTCTCGGCCGTCGTCTGAGAGATCAGAAGGCGTACCCAAGCCACCCCAAAAATCGGAATCAGATTCGTCCTCGTCGGATTCTGTGGAAGTGGGAGGAAGTCGAAGTGGAGGAAGGAGTGACGAGGAAGTCGAAAGTGCTGGAAGGAGTTGATTTTAACTACTTAGTTTCTCCTAAGTAACAAGTATTAATAGACTTCTACTAGTACTTTAGTATCTATTCGGTAGAAGCACGTTGTTGTAAGTAGTCTGTAATGTTTGTCCTGGCAGATTCTACTTATGAGCACAAAATCACAACTACCCGTGATCGTAGTGTAAAAGAAAAAAACCTTCTTCCTCCGCGTCCTCTTCATCCTCGCCCTGCTTATCTAATAGCGATCGTCTTCTAGGTTTCTTCCCCTCCTCCTTCTTGTCTTCTCCGAAGCCGTCTTCTAAGGCAGCTGCTGCCCTTCTCTGAATCTCGTCCACCTCAATCTGGCCTTTTGCCATCTTAGGATCGGTTCTGGCGAAGGTTTTGTCGGTGGCGACCTTGTGAGGTGGTTGTGGATGGGAAGGTGGAGAATGGTTGTTGGATTTCTACTTGACTGAGGTAACGATATACTAGTAACTCTACTAACGCCTTATAACGTAAAAACTAAATCAACACTAAAAAAACCATGACTGGAGAACTACGTCACTGGTGTAGTTGTTGGATTTCTATAATTTCTAAAGAAGGTGGCAAAAGAAAATACTGACAATGACATGTCTACTAGTCGCATTTGGATTTGGAAAGGAAATCCATAATACCTTCGCATCGAAGATCCGCACAGTGTGGCCACAGTGGTAGCAAAAAATCCAGTTTGGCTTTGGCAACAAGTGGTCCCCCAACCTCCCACTTCCTGCGACTGATACGTTCATCTTCTTAGCTTGCTTCTGGATTTCGGCACGAATTTGTTTGTAGGAGAGTCGCACTTCGACTGCCTTAAAGGAGAAGATGGCCTTCTTGCACTTGATGTTGCTGCACTCAACGGCCTCTGGAACACGGGCACCGACGTTTTCCTCCTGCTTAATGGCCTTCTTGCTCTTTTCTTCGACGTACATGGGAGGCATTTCAATCGCCTTTTCCGTGACCTCTGCCTTCGAGCGCTCACTGTGGTAGATCGTGCCTGATGAGATGGTGATGATGGTGTGAGCGAGGTATTAGGACCAACGCTGCATTGAAACAAAAGTGAAGTAGTTCACCTGACGAGTATAGTCATTAATATGATGTTGATATTATTTACATACAAGAAGAAGAAAAGCAAAAGGTATCAAGTTCAACTTCAACATCGAGTAGATGAATCCTAACAAGCTATCATGTCTTACGCATCTCCTTCGCGCTTCGTATTCTTGTCTCCACACGAGCCTCATCTCTTTTTCTTTTCCTCCTCTCCACCTCCAACTGTTTCATTCGAGCATCCTCCTCGCGCTCTCGCTCCGCCGCTGTCGCTGCGGACACCATCTTGCACCGCTATTCGTGGTGAGTCACGTGAAGTGAAGTCTTCCTCAAGACGACGCGGAAGAGCAGGTTGATCTCCTGCTGCAACCACGGTTCTTTGCTATAGCTGCGATGTGACCTCCCAGAGTCAAGGAGCAAAGATTAAATGCACACACGCAATCGTTGTAGATTGCGGGAGCATCGCTGGGAAAAAACAGGAGGACATCGACATGGACATGCTGATACTCATGAAGAACTGTAGTCTATGGGTCTAGGTGGGAAGCGGAAAGCATCTCTTATTTTCCGTTTTTGCACATGATCATAGGTCACAGCATAACTAACAAACCGGGGACCACAACTTCGACAGCGACGTCCACGACAAATGATGCAAACGCAATACCGAACAACCGAAGACAGAATTCCGAACGTCATATAAAGCTGGAAAAATACCGAAAAACGAGGATGAAGGACAGACCGAATAATTAACCAGTCAGAGGTTATGAAGACCGAACTCGATGAACAGATTTCTACTTAGCAGATGATGATTTATCAGAGAGAGGAGCGATCACCGAAAGCTTGGGGAGACCACTGAGAGCTCCACTAAGATCGCCTCTTCGAGTTAAGCGCTCCGAGAACGAATATTCGAAATGCGTCAAATGAAGTTCAAAGTCTCTGTGATTGTGACTTTGCGGGTCTTAATAGATATATCCAAATATATTCTGGACCTTTACAGGGCCGTCGTACATGGCTTCTTCGAAACGGTTTCTATAATACGATGTTTGTCTCTCTTCTTTTCATGGCTTTCCAAAGCCCGTCACATATCTTGATGTGGTGTCACTAAATTTTTTGCGACGTCTACGTCTTCCTTAGCCAATTGTTCATGATTGTCCACGACCTGTTCGAGCTCTTGCGATAAAACGGGAAAAGACTAGCATCGACGAGATAAGATTAGCATCTACTTCTACGTCTACGGAAAAGAAAAAGATGAAGATGATGAAGATAAACTGGGAATACGTGGTATTTCACATCAATCATTCTAGTTGTGCAGGAATTAATTTCAAAGTGCTATGGGTGTCCTTTGTACAACTAGTATTCATTGACCTAAAGAGTAGCAACAACATCAGGACCTTTCCCAAGCGGATTATGTATTGATACATGCAGGTACCATTGATCAATAGGATTAAAACTGGTACGATGACGATCATCTTCAACACAATTACAATGAAATATTTTTTTACATTCTTTGCAGATACTTGTAACATTAATACAGCCGACAACAGCTCTAACATCAAACAGCATTTGATTTCGACGGTGATGACGGCGTCACCACGTAGGAAAAGGCGGTTGCGCTGGACGCAGAGTTTCCTGGAACAGGTGAAGCGGATGAATTGCTGAAGTTAGAGATGAAGAGGCAAAAACGAGTCAAAAATATACATTTTCGATATATATAATGATAAGCAACTACTTTCTTACTAGCTGCCGGTGCTTATCGTTGTTGTTCCACGAAGATCGTCCTTAACTTGACCAGACGCATCTTTCGACCCTCTTCGCTTGCCGTCTCCTTGCCCCAGCAACCCTCGTAAGCCAAACAAGCCTGCAAGTCCACGGTGTGCATGTCGTTCGCCTGAGTCTCCACTAGAAGTACTACTGGAACCAGAGATATCTTCCTCAAAGAATTCACGCAATTCTTCTGCATCATGCACTTTTTCGAGTTTAAACCTAATCATGTTGATGTTGAGATGGTAATGATCCTTTTTTTTCTGGGTGAGAGTGCGAGAGTTTGAATAGGACGAAAAGAAATAAGTATGCTCACGAAGATGCGGACGAAAAGAAATAAGTAAATGCTCAACAGCACGACGATACAAATCGCAGCGTAATATGCACACAGCAGGGGCGTGTGAAGCTAGTACATTGTGAATTCCAATTGCATATCCACAGTGCTGTGTCTCTCGTCCCATGCCTTGGATAAGGAGTCTTCTCCCCCTATCTTCTGTGGTAAGTGCGCAAGTTCTGATAGGGTTCCACTCACAGCTCCCTTCGCAGCACCTGCTGCAGCTGCTATAGGTGAGGGCGCCACCGTTATCGGAGACGGCGGATTTGACGTTGTTGCGCTGGATGGTGGCCCCTGAGTATTTTCCACAATTATGAAGATGTTCTTGATCTACTTATATTATCGGTGGAGCACGCCTAACTATCTACTTATATTGTTGGTGGAGCATATCTAACTAGAAAAAACAAAAAAACAAAAGAATCAAGTAATCCAATTATCTAAAAAAGAACTATACAGTGGCCACGTTATGTTCTTGATCTTTTATTGAAAAAAATTTGTAAAAAACAGGAGAGTTCTTGTGAAAGTGAAACTACTTAGGCCCTCCATGATCAGGCACTAATTATACCAGTAAATTTCCTGCCTCGGACCCTGGAGTTTCTGGCGCCGACCGCCTTCGAGGACTGAGAACGCCTGCGACACGTGCGCCCGCTCTAATTGCGGTGACGACTACGCCTCCTACTTTTTTCGCCGCTGTACTCGCTACTGCAACAGCGCCTCCAACAAGGCCACCTGCCTGCGAGTCAGAGCCGCCTCTTTTCAGTTGAACAAGGTTCGCGTATTCTGGCGACAGCAATTGCGCCGCACTAATTTCTCCTGTGGCGTAGGGTCGTTTCTTTCCACCCACATAAACTTTTATCTTCAATGTCGCGTCTCTTGGCTTGGCTAAGAGGAAGGTGCACCCATAATTGAATACGGTATCGAAACTTGGTTTTCGCTTCAGTATGTCGAATATAATTTCCGGTGGATAGTGCGCGAAGCTGGCAAGATTCTGCACACTCATAGGATGCACATGATCGTTTCCGATGGAGAGATTTTCGGAGTTTAGATTTCGCGGTGGGAAGGAAGTACTAGTCGTTGCTTGTTGAGAATAGAAGAAAAGGGAAAATTGAAATTTCTTGTTCTGTATCGATCATCCCCTAGAGGGAAAGGAGACGGTAATTTACTAAATTACTTGATGGTTATGCTTGCCGTAATATCATCGCTTGCATCTCATGCGGTACCGCGTCGTTCACTAGCGCTGGTACTGTTTTTGCGTGGCCTCCTCCGGATTGTTTCACATCTTTGAGGCATGCAGGGTCATCTAGTACTTCGAAACTGACGGTCGTTTTTGTCTTATCATACTTCTTTGGGACGCCCCGAAGCGCTCTGCATCGGATTTGTATCATGCCTACTGCGGTTCCGCCAGTCGGGTCGGTAGGATAAGGAGCTGTAGTGGTTAATGAAAATAGATGATGTTGCAAATCTAAATCGTTTAGTAAGCTAAACAAAAACAAGGACACTGCGAAAAAATTGAAAAAAAAAATTCATTGATCCTAGCACCACAACAAGCACAACATTTTTACGCGTAAGTAGGTAACTTTTTCTTCATCAGTACGTGGCAAATTCATCATCGGCTCCGGCAGTTCCGAATATCTGTTGACTTCAACAAGCTTATGAGTCTCAAGTCCGATTTCAATCTCGCCTCCCTCTGTTTCCCCGTTTTCCTGTACTAGGGACAGTGGAAATTAGAGCTACCGTGGTCGCATCCCCAAGAGGAGCATCCTCTTCCTTGCCTTCATTTTCAAATAGAAAAAAAGCCAGGGACGATGCTGACGATGCTCCAGCTGTAGCCTTAAGGAAAAATGCCTCGCATCACAGCGTCTCCGACAGCTATTCTGACTTTTCCTAGTTTATCATCGGAATCGATATCCTCATCGAAAAGGTCGATGTTTAGCAGTTGCCGTTTATTAAACATGAAGAAATCGTAGCTGGCTTGGCCTAGTTGCCAAGTGGGGTTGACGGTGCGCTTCACGGTTTTTGTGCGGAAACGGGTGTTAGAAGAAATACTTACGCGAAGAACCTTTTTTGCGTACCAACGTCAAGTGGTCGTAGTCGTGAAAGAGGAAGGCGTTTTCTCTCAAGAATTGGTAGTCATATTTATTGGAAGTGGTCAGTCTACATTTCAACATGATTTTGCCCTATTTCTCGCTCCAACTTTTACTACTGCATAAGGATCGCTCGTCGCTGCACCCCAGAAGTTGAAGTCTTTTGCTAGGAGAGCTTTCCCACTGTACAGACGGAACCTCAAAACTGCTTCAGGTCTCGGAAAGGACAATCTTGGCATGTCCATGTCTGCCTCGTCCGCAACTGGTATAAAAATCCGGTTTGGCAGCACCAGAGAGTACCGATTAGAGGAGGAGAGGAGAGGTGGTAGCGGAGGAAAGGTAGCAGAGGAGAGTGAGTGTGCTGGACGTGTTAGTTCCTTTCACAGATCGTGGTCATTGTTGAACCCTTAGGGACCATCCAGCCCAGACAATGAATGATGAAGATGAAGTGGCACCACAGACGAGATGACTACAAAATAAAGTTGCAAGCTGTAGCTAGCATGCAAATGCAACAATATCCATCAAGATCAACAATATCAAGATCGACAACAACTTTAGGGAATAAAGCCGTAACACAAATTGCTCCATTAATTATGTTCCTGATCGTCCCTGCTAAGACTGGAAAGTCAACAATGTTGGCTGCTCCCGAAAAGTTCACATCGACGACAGGTGGATTTATCATGAACAGCTGGAAACCTCCTATGACCGGCATCTGCTCTAGCAATGGTCGGAAAACTAGAGACACCGAGCCCTCGATTACAAGGGATTTTAGACCTGGTGTGGAGCGATTGTGGAGTTGTGGATGTGAAGGTTGTCGTGGTCGTGGATGTTTGAAACCTTTCACTATGATGTACTGGAAGAAGATGTAGTTGATAAAAAGCTGAACTGTCTGAATCGGAAATCATAATTGGCGGTACTTATTTTCATTTCGGAAAACTACAAGCAAACGTACTAGCTCCGGATAACCTGAAGTAGAAGATCGAAGCAAAATTGTAGTGAAGTAGACCTAGACGTTGACTTGTACCTAGTTTCATCTTCATTACACTGAAGGTGATGTCGCATTTTGGTCTCCAGCTTATGAAAATATCGATTTCGAAGCCTTTTAGGTCTTGTTTGTCCTTCCGATACGCGCTTATTGGTCCTAATACTGGCGCGTCGTCTCCTAGGTGACAATTAGAGCAACCGCGTCCGCACAGTCGTCCCTTAGTCAATTCGACTTGGCTCCATTTTCGACTAGAAAAAAGCCCAAGGATGGTGTTGCGGATGCTTTAGCGGTAGCCTTAAGGAAACTTGTGATCTTCAGCGTGTTCAATCCCATAGGTAACTGGGCTTGTAGCGTTGGTTCGACCTCATCTTTGAGCAGTTTTAGGACTGCCTTGTTCACGTACGGCCAGAGAGTTTTCATCTAGAGGAGGACAAGAGTGGTTTTCGTGGGGGTCTGAAACTGAATGTTGTTGTAGCAGTTATCAAGTTCTTGATTATGACTCAGGTTGCAGAAGCTGTCAGCCCTCTCAGGGTTTCAACCAAGTAACAATACTACTTAGTGAAATTACCATGTGATTGAGCCATCCAAGTCCTTCATTACCATATGATTGAGCCATCCAAGACCTTCCCCGGTCATGTTCCCTTCCCCGCCTCCCATGTCCATGAGCTGCGCTATTTCTTGTTGTTTTAAGTCTTTGGTTTGCATGCGAGGCATCGATGGTGCGGACGCTGGTTTTTAGAGTAGAGCTAGGGATATCTTCGGGTGGTGAGTATTAGAGATGGAAAACGCGGATGAGGCTTCAATTTCAACTTGTTCCTGTAGTAGGTGGGTTACCATTTGTAGGACTTTAGTATTTCGTCGATGTGATAGTGATATCATATATAGCGTCTATGTCATAACTCGAAGCCTTGTCTTCCTGTACAACCACCTCTGCAGTAATAGTTTCTCTGCTGGCATCTTTCGAAATGGCACAACACGCAGGAAGGCACCCGCCACCGCCCTTCTTTTTGGATTTTGCCATTTTTTCTGGAAGTGAGGACGAGCGCTGGTGAGGTGGAATAGGAATTATTGGAAGGATCTTTGGAGAGCACCAATGTGAATTTTTCTTTTGATGATGGTAAGTCTCATTTCGATGTGCTTTATTTTCGAGGATTCCACGTTTTACTGCTCTATTTTCGATGAGCTGTTGTACTCATCTGCAACAGTCCTCGCAACGCCTTGCTGTTTCTATCGATCCGTGACCGTCCGTGGCAGACACAAGAAACGCCAACACAGCGTTTTGTGCGCCTGCCGGGGTAATGTCATATGTACTAACTGTTAGACAATGACAGCTTTTCCTCTTCTTGTCTACTATCACTACGATATGGAAAAGTGTATACAATGGAGGACATCTTGAAAGGTACCCAATCAGCATTATGGAAACGTGTCTTCGTCGTCTCATGATTGGAGGAGTCTGCCTATCTCTGGTGCGTGTGTGACTGAAGATGTGTACAAGATGAATCTCATTTGGGCAGAACAAGTGTAGAAGTCGATTACATGATCTTGTTCAATAAAAATGTTTTTGAAAAACAAGAATAAGATTTTTATATCTTCTATCATCCCCCACCCTGGTGTGTGAGCTTCAAATTAATATCAATCGCAATCTTCTTCCGAGTTATCGCCGTTCACGCCCCCCTAACTCGATCAAACCACGGCCGCGATCGCGTATTTGGGTCATACTTCGCCTTCATTTTCTGGTATTCTCCTTGAGTGTCGTACTTCGCGTAGAACTCCTTTTCGTTGTAGTAGCATGTTGAGTACAGCGTTTTGATGGCCCCATTCGGATCACACGCGGCCTCCAGTGCACGGTTTACCTTCCCACTAGCATTGCCACCTTTTGTAACGACGGAATCCTCGAGAGCATCCCAGAACCCGAAGTTGACGTACAGCTTGCCAGCCGCCATAGGCAAGAGAGGACTACTCGTGCCACGCACGGGGCATAACCAGATCGGAACGGTTTCGGTGGAAGAAGATGATGTGGATGCTTCGTCACCAGCTCCATTTGTGATCCTCGTCCTTGGTGCGTTCGCGTCTTTGTAATTGAGCTTGATCTTGCTCAAATTAGACGCGATTCATTTTGCCATGATTTCCTATGCGAGGACGATTGTTCTTTTTCTTACGTGAGAAAAGTAGATTCTAATTCTATCTATGTATACCTAAAAACCAACACCTTCCTCGCAGTACCTTTGCCTTAACATACAAATCACTCCTGACCAATCTACAATGTTCGCGAATCCAATGGGCGCTTTTTTCAACCGGCACTTCGATATCTTGGATGACGAGTTCTTGATTCCGGAGTAAAAAATTTGGCACCATTCTGGTGAACTTATCGTTGAAGACTTTGTACATGTCTGAACGGAGGAGCGAAGGACCGAGGAGATACCTGGTTACGTGGTGCGAGTAGGTTGTACGAAATTGAACTATTGAACTACTATTGATATTGAACTAGCTCAAGAATTATAGAAATGGTTGGGACGAGCCAGCGGTCCAGTGCTGAAGGAATGATCAGTATATTTTTAGGACGAGTCAAAGTACCTAACAATCCTCGATCCCAATCCTGGAAAGATCTGTGTACACCAAAACCAATCTGCGTCCCACCTCCAGATATATTCTTCCGTTTTCAAATATTCCACCTGTTTCTCCTCCAAGTCTAACAGATTGCGATAGAAACAATCGCCGCGCCAGCTATAGTCGGAGACGGGTTTGGATTGCGTTTGGGATTGGACGTCGGGTATATGAAGCCGGGCGGAAGGAGATTAACATAAATGGGTCGTTTGTCTGATTAAGAGAGCGATGTCTTCATCTAGTGTTGGAAGGGAAAGACTCTACCCTAGCTATGAGGATATGACTATGAGGAAGATATGACAACTTCTACTCAATAAACTCATCTACCGAAAGATGAACTGTTTCAAGAACTTCCACCAAAATCATAATCATCACCGTCTCGATCGCAGAATTTTCCTTCCACAATGACACCGCCTGTCGTAGACAGAGCCACCGCGTCAACGAAGTCGTTCCCTTTTTCTGGCGCACTCGCTTCTTCCAATTTCTGGATCAAGCTATCTGGACTATCAGCCCACGTCTTTACGATCCTCACCAGTGGTTTGATAGGCTGAATGCGCATTTTCAACCGAAGCAAGTAGCCAAAGCTACCAAGGGAGTTAGGCACAGCTCGAAACAGATCTTTGTACTCATTGTCTGCTGATATCGTGACAACGCGCCCATTGCCAAGCAAGATATCCGCTTCGACTAGACCTTCGTGGAAGAAGCCAAATTTGAAACTGCTACTTTCTACGCCAATCCCAACGATTGCGCCACCAACCGTGATTGTGCGTAGTTCTGGTACTACTAGAGGCATGTAGCCCATTCCCAAAAGGACATCGACAAAGGTCTCGAAAGTAGTGGAAGCTTCGACATCGATAGTGGGCAAACTGGAGAGGTCTTCGGGAAGCTTGGTCGGGTGCAGGAGACTTTAGAGCATTAACATTATATAGGTCTTTACATCAACTAAACCAATAGAGGGAAACATCTTCAGCATCCTGTCACTGTCATGTGACGATAGATCGGTAGGTCGGTAAAAGCAAAAGGAAATAAAGCAGTACTTTGACTTTAAGTAGTCTGTAGATCATCATCATCATCATACTTTTTGATATCTTTCCCTTCAAGGAAAGTATCCTCCAAGACGTGGCAGAAGCTGCTCAGATCAAGTTTGCCTTCTTTCGTCGCCCTCGTGTCGATCTGGTCGTGACGAAAGGTGTTCGACGCTGTCGCCTTGAACATGCGGAACTTGGCGTTCTCAGGATCTTTCTTAACTATGCTCTGAGCTATTCTCTCCACCTCTGCTCTCCTTCCTGAATAGCACTTGCTTGTGGTCGTCACCAAAGAAGTGGCACCAGTGTCATTGCTGTGGATGTCCTTCTGCAGGAGCTCTTGCTCCCGTGCTTTTCGACTATTTTCGTCCTCGAAGAGGAAGCGGAGGTACAGACCCATGCCAAGGGGTCCGAATAGAAATGCCCAGAAGGATGAGACTCCGAAGACGAAGGGCAGAAGCTGCGACAGCACCATCATGCTGAAGCATGTTGCGCGCAGCTTGTCGTACACGACAATCGGGAAAAGGGGCCACACCATTCTTTTTGTCCTCTGAGGAAGGCACAGGCAGGTCCTCTTCTACCACTACTAGTCTATTCTTAATAACTTGTCGTTTTGGTTTTCATTCACCAAGCTAGTACTTGTTCTTCTTGGTTGTTAGCGATTATGTTTATGTACTGCAACATTAAAACGATGTAGGACAATCAAGCATACCCTCGAGGAGTTGTAGAGGCTGCGTGTTTTGTTGTATTCCACTCAGAAACTTGGTCGCTGTTTCTCTTTCTGTAGATGCCAACATTGTAACCGCTGCTGCAACCCTTATGAAGCGCTGCACTGCTGTATCAGTCTTCGTGTATGCTGTCACGACTATCTTCAGGTTCTCCAGTCTCGTCTAGTTTGTACAAGTAGTACCATTTTTCTTCACAGTTGTTCTCGTACGTACGTATAGGTGTAACAGTTTCTTTCAGCATTCAGTCACATTTAACAGGGGGTGCTCCTTTAGAGCTGAGAGTAGGGTTGGGCCGTGGTGAAAGGGGAGACAATCTGGTATGTTGGGTGAGATGGGATCTAAATAGAGGCGTGATGTGTATTTCAGTAGAGTGGAGATGTAGTCTCGTACATCATGCTGGCAAGCACATCTTTACGCACATCAAGACTCTAACTCTATTTTCTGATGCTCTTTTTAGTGAACTACGAAACAGACATCCATGTAATAAATGTCAAAAACCATGTTCTTCAAGTGCGAAACCTTTGCAAAATGAATCACATTCATCTCCATGATGTACTTATATGCAGCTTATACCTCTGGGGAAGTTGTCATTCATTTTTAGACTAGGATCTTGTTCTGTACATAAAGCCCTCTCGAAATGGTGCATTCCAGAGAATGCTTATCTATCACCAAGTTGTTATTTGCTATGCTGGGTTGAAAAATGAATGAGGTCCACGACTGAAATCCATCTACGTCGAATGCTTTTGCTCTGTCAAAACAAAGGAAAACGAAACCAGTATCAGTGAAAATCCCAGTTAAAATATCCATTTTTACTACCTGTGCTAAACAATTTACTTACGGCTGCTCAAGCTCAACACCACGTTTCCGAAATTTTACTGTCAACAAGCAACGGACATTGAAGTTTCAGCATCATGCCAACTTGCGCATTCTCTGCAAGTCGCACAACTTCTGCCCTTGCCTCTTCAGCATGCTCCTTCGGCCCCTCTAGAACTAATTCGTCGTGCACTTGCAGCACTTGCACGAAGCCTAAGTCGTGTAGGAGTTTCGACTTATGCAACTGAATCATCGCGCTCGTGACGACATCAGCGGCACTTCCTTGGACCGGAGTATTCGAACATACGCGCTCTAAGTGTTTTCTCCTCTGCCAGGAAATAGGACCACGCCATGGTGTACCAAACGGGGAAGAGTTTGCTGAGTTGTTGTTCGAATATCCCTGCCCCTGGTGGTCACCTGCTGCAGCTGCACTGTAAAGCGGCGAGGTCACAGGTATACCAGCACGGTTTGCACTGCGACCCCAGGCTGAAAGCAATCCTGCACCTGAGGACCCCTTATACGGAGCCATCATATCTGGGATCCAGCGACGACGGCCTAAGAGGGTTTCGACGTAGCGATCCTTAGAAAGAGAAATCCAGAGGCAAAACATCTATTTTTCTTTTCTACAACTTTGTCGTGTATCCGAATGACGCGACGAGGGGAGTTGTTGGACGACATTTGGATTTGAAATATTCTAATAAACTCTACTGATGGGATACACAGGGATGTGCAAGGAGCCTAAGCCATAACATATCTTGTCGCATGTTCAACCGTTTGCTGCTGCCACTTCAAAACCTCCGGGAAGTTTTTGTACCACAAATCAATGATTTGTTGTGCTTCCTCAGTACCTCCTTCCAACTGGAGAGTCTTGGCTAAACCGTGTTTTGTTGCACCATACACTACTGAGAAGTTGAGAGTTTTTGCCTTCTTACGCTCAACGGGGTACTTTTCCTTGACGAAGGCTATGTCGTCTTCATCTTGTTCATGTGAACCTTCTGTTGTACTACTGCTAGATGAAAATGAAGATGAATTGATGCTTGATGTGGTCGAGTGATCTCCACCTCCTGTACTCGTAGTCAACCTTTTTTCCCTACTTCTTCTCTCATATTCTTCCTTTATGTGAGGAAACATGTTCATCGCCGTCCGTGAGTGGAAGTCTCCTCCTCGAAGAAAACCGTCTAACATGCTGCGACAGCTCGTTAAGTGAGCCAGAACCCTGAGTTCTAGTTGAGAGTAGTCCACGATCACAAACGTTTTCCCAGGTGCAGCTGAGAAACACTCTCGCAAGTTGTATTTTCGTGTCGCAGTGGGTACGTTCTGCAGGTTAGGGTGTCGACAGGCGAGGCGTCCAGTCTCTGTGTAGAGATTCAAATTCATGAAGATACGAGGAATTTCCCTTGCTCGGTCGTCTTTGGAGGAGGATGTCGAAGATGATGTCGAAGATGATGATGTCGAAGATGATGATGTCGAAGATGATGTTGAACCACCTCCAGTAGAAGTTCCCCGTTTTGTATAGCTCTTCGCGTAGTTAGCTAGCGGCAACATGAATCCCTGCAAAATGCCATTGTTCTCAAGCCAATCAGTCAATGATGGATCGAAAGGTGGAGGACTTGTTCGCGTTGGTAGTCCTTGTTCTGACGAGGAGGACGCCTCTTCGTCATCGTCTTGATCCTGCCCCTTCTTCTTGTTGTACTCTAGTTCAACATCTTCATCTCGATCGGCACTAATTGTGGCCGTCTCCGCATCCTTCGTAGCTTGTTTTGCAACAGCTAAAAGACTCTCGCGGCTGACGCTTGGCCACCCTTTTTGCGTCAGAGCTGTCGGTGTTAGCCCAAAACCTGGTATGACTATCTCCTGCGTCGTGCGATCGCCGATCTTGATCCTAGCGGCCTTATCTTGCGCAGCTATGACGATTTCTTCCAGTCGCAATAACTCCTTTATCAGGTCGGCTTTTGTGAGCTTGCTTCTCGGTTTGAAGTCGTTGCTAAAACCACGAAGCACGTCAAGCCAGAGCCTCAGTTCGCCAACCTTCAACTCCTTGAGCCTGTCCTCGGTGATGCGCGGAAACATCGGAGGTGAAACGTCGCTACTGGTTGTGTTTGTAGTTGGACTAGTTGAAGTTGATAACGGAGCAGTTGTACTAAAAGATGCGGCTGACGTGGAAACCTGGGTTCCTCCTTCTAGATGATTCAGTTCGTGAACAACTTTCTCAGCATCTTGCTCTATTATTTTTCTCCGGCGTTTCCGTCCTCCACCTTTCCTACCATTATCCTCCTGCTTCCCCTCCAGTTCTGCAGCCCCTACAGCCACTTCATCGTGTTCTGCCAGTGCTTCGAGAAACTCTTCTAGTTCGTGGCCAAGTTTTTTCATTTCCTCCGCACTCGCCTTGGCTTCTATACGCGCTTCTTCGACCTCTGCTTCGGTGAAGAATTCCGCTTGGGGTATGAAAGAGGCTATATTACAATTTACCTCTGCTTCTGTGAAGAATTCGGCTTGGGGTATGAAAGGGGCTACATTAAAACTTCAGCTCCTTTGGATACACTGGAAAGGGCCGCTAGGATGTACTGCCGCGAGTTCAAAGAACCATAACAACAGTAAACGTTTCGAATTCTGGCAAACTCTTGTTCACCGGATCCCTCTCGCTTTCCCAGCCACCGAACAAAAGCTGCATCACTTGTTTGGTACTGGACAGTTGCAATAAATGCGCTTTGACTTCAGGATAGTCATCGACGCATTCCTGTCGTTTCTTAGCCATGGTATCGAAAACCCACTGACGAAACCGTCGCTCTGCTTCATCCCGGTCGGGAGTTAGATGAGATTGAGAACAGATAATTAACAAATAAGGATAACGAACAACATCAAGGAGCTCCTTAATTATATACACAACTTGAACTTTTCTTCATATCTTCATCGCATCTTTCGTGATTGTTTCTAGCTTTTCCACGTTGATTCCCACACCACGGGATTCGATTTCCGCCAAGACGTCCGCAAAATCTAGCCAGTATTCCCGATAGAGCTCATAGAAACTTTCGCCTCGACAGTTTATACCCTGCAATTCTCGTTTCAGAGTGGAGAAACGTTGAAGAACGTCTTTATTGCTTGAGGTGGTGGTGGTTTTGTTATTTCTTGGTGTAGATGTAGTGGTAAAGGTGCTTGATGTTGAACAAGAGGCTGACGAAGCTGAGGACGACGAACCGCCTGTTATCTTCTCCTTGTTGATGTCATCTTGTTCACTCATCTGGAGATTTTCCACCTGCTCCACTTCACCCGCACTTGTCGCAGAGGCTGCAGCAGGTGTAGTCGAAACACAACTACTACCGCCAGAGAGCCTCGCCATATGCATAGTATCAGCATGGAGCCCTGCGAGGTTGGTAATCCCCAGTTCCTTCTCGATGTGGAATCGGTGCCAGCTATAGTTCTCATACACCTTCGGAACCGTCGCGTCAGTGAAAACAGCTGAAATTTCGGCATCAATTTCGTTCCAGATGAAGGAAAAACGCAACGACGAGGGTAAAGGTGAAGGTGAAGGTTGATTATATGGATATGTTGGAGGTGGAGGTGAGGAGGAACTAGAGTGAGATGATGAAGGGGTACTAATATTACTAGCAGGGTGCTGTCCATCAGCTGCAGTGATGTGTGCAGCCCAGCTATGTTGTTGGCGGTGCAGGGGTTCTCTTCTTCTGCTATCTGCTTCGTCTGAGAGGGAGGACACGCTCTCTGGTTCTGGGACGAAGAATGTGATCCCACGTGTATTCCCGAGCACGCCCAGGAGTGCTCCTCCTGGTGGGCCGGGGGAAGATGATAACGCTTCTGCTGGACGCAGAAGTCCAACATTTCTCAATGCGTCTAGAAATCCCTTCTTGCGTTCCTCAAGCGGTTGTCCGCGAGCGATACTAGAAGTTTCAAGAGTGCTGTCCAGGCCGTCTTCATCCTTCTCCTGGTTTGTTCGTTTTCTTGGTTTTTTCGTTGGCTTTTTCTCTCCACCCCCGCCACCTCCTGAATGACCTGGCCCACCAGAACCGGAGCTACCGGTGCTTTTGCTTATCGCGGTTGATGCTCGTGCTGATTCAAGGAGATGGTCTTCATCCTGAGATAGTGTGCTGGGAGGGTGAAAATGTTGCGGTGCAATCGCTCCCGCCGCAGACGCAAACCACGACTGAAAAGGAAAAAATGACGTTGACCTTGACGACGCCGCTAAGGAGCTTTCTGAAGACGGTTCCTTTTTGTCATTACTAGATGTTGTAACACCTCCACCGCCAGTAGATGAGCCCGTAGGAGTTCTGGATGCTTCGCTTTCTGCTTCTGTGCTTATCTTCTCAGCTCCTGACCTTCCAAATAACGAGGAAATAACCCACGAAGGTGTAGTTGTCGGCGTAGTTCTGGGTCTTGTTCTCGTTGATTCTGGTGTCCACAGGTAGCTCAAGGGTATCTCCGGATGTTTATTAGGAGTCCTCAGTCGACTAGGTACCAGCATGTCAACTGCCTTCCGCAGACTCTTGCGGAAGGCGTTAACACCGGAGGATGAACCAGACATGCTCTTCGTGTTATTTGGAATAGGACTTGTTTTACCTACTTTTCATGATGTAGTGATGTCATGCGTATGCGTTCCAAGAACTACATGTTTATTAAGTTCCATGGATGACCACGATGGAGCTATGATGAGAAAAAGATTTATTAACGTCTACATGAACTATGCGATTTTTACAACATCTATTGGTACCGAAAACAGAGACAATTTTGCTTTTTCGATTACTTATATCAGGGCATGTTGCGGATACGCGAAACTTCTGAGTATTACATCCAGAAGTGCTCAAGCTGGAAAAATCTCCTGTGCTGGTTTCTTGCCGAATTTTTTAAATCCATTTCATCAAATTGCACGAATGCGGTCACCGCTCATGTACTTCGATTGATGACCAGACTGGCACTTCGAATTTTTAGGCCCTTCATGTGAACAGCTGCATCTGAGAACAAACAGAACTGCAAGGGCAATGCGGCGCGTCCACCCAAGACGCTGTGTTGCCTTGAAGCGTTCATATTCTGTTGTCGTCCATTAAATTTGAAGTACTAGTTGGAATTGGAAAAAGTGGGAAAAAAGATACATCGGAGCCAAAAAACCTCAGAGCGGAGGAGGCATAGACATTGTGAGCAGGAGCAACAAAGGGTTACTTGAAGAGGAAGATTAACTTCATCATCATCTCAACAGTGCAAGATTATCATTCTTGTATTCGTCCTTCAAGGTCCACACTGCTGGTAACATTTTGTTGGCCGGTTTGTCCAAGGTGCACAAGGCCTGTAGGACGTCTTTAAACAGCGCTTTGTGGTGGGCCGCCACCTGACCGTCAAAGTGATCCAGGACTTGACTGGTACTTGCTGACCTGTGCGGACAGACCCTGTCATTGAGGAAGAATGCGAGGACGTTTCTTGCCAAGCTGACATCTGCAGTATGGACACCGCCTCCGTAAGACATGGTAGCCACAGCACTGCTCGAGCTAGATTGTGCCTGTTGTCGTTCTTGTTGTATTTCAGCATGTTCGCGTTTGAACTGTTCAATCTTGTTCTCCTTTGGTCGCATTCTGCGCTTACTCGCCTGCATTTGACTCATCTCACCGCCTCCTTCAAACTCACGTAGAGCCTTCAACTGCTGATACTGTTCTAGGGCATTGGTGACCCGACCAGTGTCAACTGTCCTATTCACCTCGTCAAATTTCTGCTGCTTCTCCTGTCTAGCCGCGCGCTCGATCCGCAGTCTTTGCAAAGCTGCATTCTCACTCTTTGTTGACGCACCACTTGGTCCTCCATTGTCAAAGCTGCCTGAGGCAAGACCCGTTGCAGATGACAGTGACGAAAACGATGCTCCTGCATGTAGTCCACTTACTGACGAAGACGACCCACCTCCCAAAACGCTGTCAAAACTGCCATGATTGCTAGATCCCGCTTGCCCACTCTTCCCCGTCCAGGTCGGCACTGAAACGGCGTGTTGTCTACGCGCGTCACGTGAACTCTCCAAAGCTCGCAAGGCCTGCAATGCCCTCTGCTGTCCGTGGAGGACTAGACCGGAATCCAACACCGGTTGTTCGACCTTGTCGTGGGAGAAACTACTGCGCACCAAGCCACGGGAGGGGTCTAACAGATTATTCAGCATTTTCTTGTTTTCGGCAAATGCCTCACTCGACGGCTGGTTTCCTTCTGGAAGGGGGTTTTGAGCGACGTCTCCGAGGATTCGTAAGGTTTCGACTGCATCCCGGTTATTCTCGGCATCCTCAGCACTGGGATCGCTATCTTTGACATCGTTGTAACGCTGGAACAGACTTGGGAATTAGAGCTAGGGGTTGCGATAGGTACAAGCTAATCGATTCTCTCTGATTATAAAGCTCAACGTTATAATCGACACTCTCAGAAACAGAAACTACCTCGGAGGAAAAAAGGAGAGGCAAATAAGAGCTCAGACGAGTTAGACTTAAGTCACTAGTCTTGTAAGGAAATGATTGATTCAATATCTCGATCTGCCTTAATTGAAGCGTTCCTTTAAGGCGAAAGACATCCGTTGCTGCTGTGGATTCTCGCTCTTTACCTTGGCTTCCTGTTCTTCGTCAGATGCAGTCTCATATTCATCTGAATCCTCGTCCCTGTCATCATCCAACAATGCGACCGCACTATGCGGATCGATGTTGCTCATCTTTGCGGCTTTGCGACTAGGAGACTCAGACTTTACCTTCTTCCTTCTCTTCTTCTTTTTCTTACTTTTCTGAGCAGCGCCTGGTCCTCCTGCTTTCATCTCACCATTGTTGAGTTTGAGCATCTTGTTCTTACCACGAACGACACCTCCTCGTCCACCTTGTAGTTCATCCAACATCGCGCTTGGGTCCCAACCTGGTGGGGCCGGCGGCTCTTGCAGCAAATCATGCGCATCGTTGATTTTCATGAAACGTTTCTGTCTTGGATCATTCAAGATCTTCTGCGATAAAAAATGTTTGAAGATTTGTCTGTGGTAGATTTTTTCCTCCAAAGTCCCGTGAGTGACTAGACGGTACACGGTGACCTCGCGCTGCTGTCCTATGCGCCAGGCTCGCTCACGCGCTTGCACGTCTGTCATCGGATTCCAATCTGGGTCGTATAGAACAACGCGGTTTGCGCCAGTGATGTTCAGTCCTATGCCTCCAACTTTAGTGCTCATGATCATGACAAAGATATCTGGGCTCTCGTTGAATTTCGCAATCAAGTGCTGGCGCTGAGTAACAGGAGTCTTCCCGTCCATCCGCAAGGACTTGTACTCTAACTCATTCTGGATCCAATTTTCCAAAATCTCCAGCATTTGGACAGTTTGAGTAAAAAGCAGCACTTTGTGCCCATCTCGCTTCCACTGTTTCAAGATTTCACCCAAAACAAGCATTTTGCCACTTCTGGGCACCGCGCCGTAATCACTAGGCATTAGGTCAGGATGATCCTTCAACAGCAAATCCGGATGATTGCACAATTTGCGAAGGACCGAGATAATGAAGAAAATCTGAGGGACGCCTTTCTTCGAACTTTCGTTTCCACGCATTCGTGCTTGCCTCACTTTATCCGTCTGCAAGAAATCCATGTAGACCTGGTACTGTTGTGGCGTGATGTTGCAAAACAGGATTTGCTCTTGCTTCGGCGGGAGCCGCACAATATCTTGAACGTCGGCTTTCGTTCTTCTGAGCAAAAACGGCAAAGTTTCTTCTCGGAGAATCGTCGCTGCCTGGAAGGCTGCCTCCACCATCCTTGGCGTAGCGTTCATTTGCCCACCCGCCTCGATCACGGTCGAAAATTGCTGCTCAAAGACTGGGAAAGTTCCCAGCAAGCCCGGCTGAACGAAGTCGAAGATGGACCATAATTCAGAGAGTCGATTCTGAATAGGAGTACCCGACAAAACAATGCGATGGGGCGTGTCGATTTGCTTGCACGTCAACGTGATTGCGGCATCCTTGTTCCGGATTTTGTGCCCCTCATCCATAATCACGTAGGTGAAGGGGAACTCAAAGATGGACTCGCTGTAGATCCGGAAAGTTTCGTAGCTCGTGATGCAGACGCCGTGATTGTTCGTTGTAGACCGCATCATCTCCAACTTCAATTGCATATCCACGGCGCGCATGATGCTGACCCTCAATAGCGGATACCAACTTTTGATCTCGTCACGCCACTGCTCGACCAACGTCGTGGGACACAGAATCAAGATTCCGCCAGTCCTAGGGGGTCCTGTCCCAAATCGCCGCGTTGTCGCCGTCTGCAGTATGTTACTACAGTGTAACGCGGCTAAAAAAGCGACAATCTGAATCGTCTTGCCCAGTCCCATCTCATCCGCCAAGATTCCTCCGACTTGCTTCTTATGCAAGCTAAACAGCCACTTGACTGCGGTCTTCTGGTACCCGTACAAGTTGTCCCATATGAAGTTGGGCACGCGCAACTCGTCTTGTTCGACCCAGGTGGTCCGTCGATCTAGGTCCGCAAACGTGTCAGCTTCGAGGTCTAAATTGCCAGCATCGGCTAACGTTTTTGCAAAGTACTCATCATCCACATCGTCAAAAGCCCTTTGTCGAGCGCGCTCAGCCTGCTTAATGAGCTCTTTCTCTTGCGCGGTCCGCATGTGGGCAGGTTTTTTCAGGACTTTGGATTAGACGTTTACCTTGAGGAGTGTCGGGCTGTTTCAAAGTTGTCCGAATATTACTGTATACTAGGGGAAGTTCTGCTTCTGGGCGACACTGAATGCGTGTCTAGTAAGGACATGATCGGATCATGATTCAGAAATTGAGAAATGAATATGTAAGCTCAGATTATGAATGCAAAAATGCCAGTCATAATCTTTCGGTACATGAATACGTTTCGGATCGTCCTTTTTCAACTGCTTTCGAGGTCCGCCTAAGCCAGCATGCTGATGTGGTTTCTTCCCATGACCTGTTGGCGTCAATGATGTTGAGCGTGCTCCACTTGGTGCGGCGTTAGAAGCTGAAGATCCACCTGGCGCAGCTCCACCTCGTCCCCTATCGAAAAACATGTTGTTGTCGCTACTACTCGAAGAACTACCACCTACAACTCCCACTTTTCCTTGTCCCTTTGTACTACTTCTACCTCCAGCACCAGGTGGTGGTCTCATGACCATCTCCCCAGTTGTACCGTAGGCGATTTGGTTCCGCCTTCGCACGTCTAACTCGCCAAATGTTGGCTTTTGTCCAGAAGCAGCGAGACGTTTTTGATGTCGTTCCTGAATTTTCTTAGGATCCATTCCACCTTGAGACTTGGGTTTTAACTGCGCCCCCATCAACGGGAAGAGGCGTTTCTTAGCCATCTGTAGTTTGCGAAACGCTGCGTCGTCTTCAGAAGACGAGGAGTCGTCTATAACGTGAACATCGTCTTGTTCTGCATCCCGCCTTGAGGTGTGGTCTCCACCGGCGTCGCCATCTTCCGCCTGTTCGTTTTTTACTGAATGAAGATCTGCTGATGGCCGAATTGATGCTTCAAGTTTCACTGGTAATATCCCTCCATCTTCTCTATAATGAGTGTGATGCTCCACACCGTCTCCAACATCTTCACCATCATCTTCTTCGTTTTCCTCTCCTTCTTCTTTCTTTGTTTGACGTTCTCCTGCATGAGCACTCGGTCGGACACCGGTCAAGTTGAAGAGGTCGTCATCGTCATCGAGTAATTCCAACTGAAATTTCTTACTCTTATTCTTTTTTGATGAGTTTTTCTTCTTCTTGTGGTCGTGGGAGGTGAGATCTAATGGAAGCTCCTCTTGTTCATCTTCTCCTACTCCGCCAAAACGTTCCTGCTGAGGCGCGTGTTGATCCTTGGAGGCAGTAGATCCCGATCGTTCACGATTTAGAGCTCCTCCATCCTTTGACCCCGAATGTTCCCGCTTCAACTTCTGTCTTGGAGACTGTGGCTGCTGCTGTGCAGCGCGTGCGCGCGCGAATGGTGCAGTAGGGTACTGATACACTGCCGCTGAAGAGGACGTTGATGTGGTTCTTTGTGTAAATCGCTGTCCTCCACCAGCACCTCTGGCAGAAGAAGACCCACCAGCGGCAGAAGAAGACCCACCAGCACCGCGAAGAGACAAAGGAATGTCAGCCCAGCGATCAGTCAAGTCCATTAGGATGTTGTCGGACCCACCACTTCGTGTGCGATCACGTGTTCCTCCTGGGGATCTAGGTGTGTCCATGTTCTTGTTGTCCGAATGATATTGACGTCCTCCAGCTGCCGAGGACATCGAAGGAGTTGACTTTTGATTTTGCTGCAAATGCTGCTTCGACGTCATTTTAGCACTTGTGGACGGCTGCTCCATCTTAATGTTAAGTGTGGACGATGTGGCCGTGGCGCCACGTCCTGCTCTTGCTGACAGCGGAGGAATATCAAACTCCGAGGACGATACGTCATGATCAAGACGTCGACTTTTGGTCGAAAAAGGGTAATCATCATCTTCATGATGAACTTCATTCTTCACTTGGTACTTGCTGTCCAACACACCATGACCGTCACTGACGAAATTGTTCGGCATCCGCGTCTCGAGTTCACGTTTTGCATTTTTCTTTACAACCGCTTCAGCATCGACCTCCTGCAACATGTCTTCATCTAAATCTCCGAATAACTCCTGCTCTCTCCTCCGTTGAATAATGCGACCGTCTTCTTCTTGCTGCCCAAAGTGCTTCATGCCAAAACCTAGCATCTTCTTCTGCTTCTGTCTATTCCTCAGATGATCTTGACCTTCTTCGTTAGCAGAGTCGGAAGAAGAAACAGATTCCCGTTGTTTGCGTCCGCCTACTTGGAGATCGGCAACTACTGATTGGTTATTATTCATCCACTCCATGTCCTCTTTTCGGTCTATGATAGCCTGCAATCGCCGTTGCTCGCGTAATAGAGTGGCCTGAAACATCAAATGTTGAATAGACGATGAAAGTAGTGATTCTCTTTCATAATTATTTACCCAACAAAGCTACTTTACGACATAATAAAGACGAGTATTAAAGATGAACAACGAGATGACGGAGACCTCCACCGAAAATCGAAAACTACAACAGCTACATTAGACCACAAGCAGGAGTACAAGACCTTAAGGAATATTAAGCAGTACGTGTTTCTCCTCCACTTTTTTTCGATCTCGTTGTGCAGCTGTTTTTTTCGTTATCAGGTCCATTCGTTGGCGGTCCGGCATCGTTTGATCCAGAAGCAGTTTTTCGTGACACTGCGCCTCGACCTTCTTCAAGCGAGCGACCTCGACATCTGCGCGTCTGGCATCGCGTTTCACAGTCTCGATGTCAGTCTGGGCGTCCATTACATGGCGGATTTTACTCTCTACCGCACTCTGCTGGACCATCTTGACACCTAAGGACGCAAGAAGATCGCTATCACCATGACCTCGCGGCGCGGCCGGGGCCGACGAGGAAGAGGACGAAGTTGACGGATTCATCTTGGTGACCGCTGCTCTGCTGCTACGAGTGAGTGTCAACTACGCTGCTCGATTCTTGAACCCTTCACGTCACTGTGGAGTCATTCTTTGATGTCATGGGGACCGTTCTCGTGCCGAGTCATTCTTTGTTCCTCCATTCTCTATGAAAAATGTTGACTGATCGTACCAGATAAAAATCATGGATAAAATATTTGACGACTAAAAACTCCACCCGAAGCGAGTAGTACCAGCCAGTTATGAAGTAGGTCTCCCTGTGCGTCGTGTTTTTTTAGAGATGTTGAAACTAAATATTACTAAATCTACTTGATATTGCATTGGAGGGGGTCTTCTGATCATCATCATCGAGGGAAGCTAGCCGGCTAATCACATCTTCAGTCTAGGAAAGAGAGCGGATGTTGGTACTTTTTGAAATCAAAAAGTCAGAGGACGGGTTCCGAGGTTCTTCACCATTTTTTAGAACTAAGTATAATAATTATCTCGGGAAAGAAGCAGGCTGTGCGGGTACCAAAAAGGATCATGATCATCTTCGATTATAGTGAGCGAACGAAAGATTGCAAAAATAAAACCGATCTTCAGGGAAGGAGCGCGCCGTCGTTTCTTTGCCAGCTTTACTGTATGTCCTTGCACCCCAACTCCATTGAGGTCAACCAGATTCCTTCAATATCCTTGTTCTTGGCAAATTAGCATTCACATCAATGTTCCAAATTTGTATTAGACATCATCATGTCCCAATCACACTGCAAAAACCAGCAATCAAACGTAGTACAGTGTCTTCATGGCTGTAGAAGTCTATCTATACCTCCAATTATACCATGAAATGATTAAGTTCAATACTACCTCAACACGACACAGATTGCAGTAGTAGAAGAGCTCGACAATTTTCATAATTCTTGGGATGAACATGAAGTTCTTTGCCCTCATTCATCAGCTAATTGTAGTTCATCAAACGCGTGTATGATTCAGTTTAGTAAGGTGACGAAACAAGCTATTCTAACTCGATCCTAGCTCAGCACAATGATCATCGTAATTCCCTTTTATGCACTTATCATTAGACAATGAACAGAAGATGGTCGCCCCTATCATCACTGTAGTAAATAGACACGATAAATCTGCACCCCACGCACAAGTAAGACTATCTTCAAGAAAAATATGCATAGATTTAGTAGATCATGAAGGTGTGAGAGCAGGTTCATTTAATTTTTCACGAAATCGAAGAAAGGTAATGATGAAATCGAAAAAGGTACTTTGACAGTGTCAATTAAACGGCAACAATGGTCATAAATCGAAATGGTACTTCCAGGTCATCGAAATCGATAAAATGGTACTTTAACTTTAACAGGTACTAGTGGTACTACTTTTAGCGGTCATTTTCATTCATAGTTCTTTGTTGTAAATGCAATCGTGGAGGTAAGTACTTATGTTAAACCAACGCCTTATTTCATTGTTTCTCTTTCTGACCCTCTACTTGGACGCTTCTGCCTTATCCGAGGGGTGCATGCAGAGTCGGTCCCCTCGCTGAACGCAACATCGGCAAATACAGGTGGCTCGATTTGTTAGAGGGATGAATCATCTGGATCATGATTGCCTCATACAGTTACAGCTGATATACGAGAGCATTGAACAATCTTCTAGGAAAATGCAGACACACACGCACCAACCAAGACGAGCTAATGAAATGAAAACCAAACAATCTAGCAAGTTCAACTGTGAGAAGCAGACATCTCTTTCCAAGCCATAATATTCAGACAGTTATCTTTCGCAACGTGTTGTCTCGTTCGGTGCATCCAGAGCTCTCTGCCGCGACCTGGCTCGCCCAATCGGTAGCTGAGATACGGATTGCTCTTTGCACCAGTCCCGTAATAATGGTTGTGCGTAGAGTACCGGTTTTGGATATGAACGGATTTAATGTCGAATGTGTAAGAAATGGTCTACCACTTCCTTATTAATCTGCATCACGCAAGAAAAAATGATCTGTACTTTTTTTATTTCTGCTCCGTATGAGCATGTTCTTGTAATCATTAACTTCAGGAACCACGTCAAGAATCATTGTCTTTGCCATCATCATAAACATGAAAGTCCGGATCGTGCCTGTATTGTCGTATCCAGTTGCTGCCCAGGCTACGCGCAGAAGCTGATTGGGATACTCGCGACATAGCGCTTCTACTTGTTCCGAGTATGAAAGGGGATAATTCTTGGTGCATAACCAGCATAATCTTGGATGATGTAAAACAAGAATGTATAGCTGCGGTGCTCTTGGAGTGAACGAAGTACAATTCTCTCGATGTACGAAACGGACAGAGATAGTACACCAACACGGACTTACACACTACAAACTGAAACTACACAAGTTTATTTTTTTCATCTTCTCATCTCATCATAACAGCTGACACAGTCGAAATCGAGTGGGCACTGTCTGGGGGTGTGCGGTTTACCTCTTCTCCGTCGCGTCCGGGGTGTGGCTTCAACGCACAAGGTATGTCCCTCAGGATGTTTTTCGAAGGTACCTTTTCTCCCGTCAGTAGTGCATCGTTGTAGAGAGCGCGAATGCGTTGTCTCTCGCCACGGGTCAATAGATACCTGAAGGTGTAGATGTGGTGCTTGTTGGAAATGAGTAGTCAAAATTCTTCAGTAGTACTGGCTTTTTGTTTTTTCAGTGACCACGACGCTTTGAATCAAGGACCGACGTGCGTAGACAAGCGCCAGAGATGCATTAGAGGACCTCAACATCTAGGGTCATAAGGCTGCACAAGCGATTATTTTTATGTGGATGTCTAAGTCTATTATAAAGAAACTAGTAAGTAACAATTATCATAGGTGTCAATAACTCCACTTACAACTACTTACACGTAGCAGTACCCACACTCATGATATGCAGCTTCTGCTCTAGTGAGCCCTGCTGATTTCTGCTCTGCTGCTGTGTTCTTAATCGCTGGATTGTATTCGTGGAGGTTATGGAGACTCTGTGTTGTTGCCCAATCCCGATCAGGCACCGAGCGCGCAGAAGCTACGATGGTTCCTTCATGCCGCCTCCGCGCACTGGAGCGCGCGCTCTCATTGTAGAACTCCGCCATCACTTCTTCTCGTCGACAACAATCAAGAAACGAAGACGAAGTCTAAAACTGGTTTTACAATAATAAGCTTCTCAACAATTGAATTTCTGAGTCTTTCTGAGAGACTCACCTACGACGACCACAAGAACTTGCAAATATTTATAAAACCACGATGAATATGTTGAACACGGTGCATACTTTCAGTACGGGTAAACGAAGGTCAAAGTGTTCTTCAAGGGGAGTAAAGGTGGGTTTTTGTATGGTAGAGGTGAGTGACCTTACATGCGTTCTCACATTCCCTTGTCCAGTCACCATTCCTACAGAGAAAATCCGATTTATCCGATACCGAAAGCGAAGCCGTCGCGATTCTTGATCTTGTGGTGTCAGTAATAGTACTAGTACTAAACCCAATCCAGGGGAGGTATTCAATATTCTTCTGAAAAAGTAGTACACCGATTTTCAACTACAACGGCTATCGTCCTCTACTCGAATGGACGACGACTTTTACAACGGACTTCTTCAAGAAGACAACGACAGAAGAAAATAGGACGTGTTTGCGAACAGCACACTCAAAGATTCGACACTACCCTTCTTAGGAAGTTGATGTCCTTAGGAAGTCTCAAAGGATCTTTCCGAGTCTCCAGCCACTGTCTTTGTAAAATCGAATCCATGAGCAAACTTTGAGAGAATCTGTAGACTACATCGGAAGTGCAATCTGTATCGAAAATTTTATCTACTGGATCTGGAAAATCGTTTTGACTGACTGCCGAAAACAAACCAGCTCCGTTCGTCGGTGGAGAATCGCTAGTCCAGATACGCAACTGTGAGGGATCTTGATACGGCGTTCTCGAAGAACTAGAAGATGTTCTTGTAAAAACTACTTGTTCCGCATTTGATGATGGTCTGGAAGGAAATAATCGTCCAACCAAGGTAGACTTATTTGGCTTGAAGCGTTGTAGCAATCGTTTCAGCGGCTTTTGAAATGCGCTTCGTAGATGAAATCCCGTTGCAGGGTTTGCATCCACTATGCGCTAGATCTCTCGCGATGCCAGCTCCTCCGCCAGCACCGATGGACTGGTAGATGGCAACATTCTTTTCTCAAGTAGAGAGTTTTCCAGTCAAACCTCAAAGTGTATATTTGTATTAAAAGCTTACTTCAAGAGCACTACATGATCACTTCGACAAAGAGAAGCAGCAGAGCTTGAGCTTCCTCGTCCGTCTTACTACCTCTGCTGTCACTAGATAGATGTCGTCGAACAAGCGGCATTTTGATATTCGATGTACTTAGATGTTCACGCAGCTTCTCGTTCAAGTATTTCTCTCTTCGAGTGCAGCTCTCAGGAACAGATCTATTCTCGTGAATAAAAGAGAGGTGGGCGAGTTCATCTTCGCCATGTCGTACTTGTAGCCGCATCAAGCACAAAGTCTTACTACTTAAGAGGGAGATCACACATGGATGTATGGAAAAAGGGAAGAGTGTATAGAACGCGCCGTTAATGAGGACTGCGCTAGGGAAGAGTGTATAGAACGCGCCGTTAATGAGGACTGCGGAGCGGGACGTCTTCACTTTCGTTGGATGATCCCGTCTGCAGAGTCCTCATCTTCGATTGGATCATGTGTTGCCCCGGACACATGATGCCCCGATATTATGCCCGTTTTTATGCTGCATGAAGCCCCGCCACGACGAAAACATCAACCGTGTAAGTCAGTCCGCGTCTCGTCCTTACATACTAGACTTGACTTGGCGCAGCTCCAGTCATCTCGATCCCTCCGCCTCCACTTGGTCTGTTCTGCGCAACATAAGGATCGAAAGAGAGCACTTTGTACATACAGAACGACGATATCGCTAGGTTCACTAGGTATACCATGCTCTCTATGAAAATTGCAAATCCCCAGTAGCCTTTTCCTTCGCGGTGATTAGAAAATGGCGGGGCGGGTTGGGGTAACTCATCTTCACACTTCATTCATACTACTTGCTGGAACTGTCCTGGTTCGTCCTGTTACTTTATTTTTCTAGTCTTGTTCTTTCAAATAGCCCACTGCTTTTCAGATTCGTTGAGAGAGCGAGAGATCCGATGGTGCAACCAAAGATGATGATTGATGAAGTAGCTGCTTTAGCCGTAATATGCACGTATCGATCGGTGTCGTAACGCCCGAAACCTGACAAAAACGTCTTTTTTTTTTATTCGGAATCGGATTCCAATTTTCAACTGCATTAAATAAGTAAAACACGAACATCAAAATACCATTTATTGCTCCCATAGGCAAGGTTGCGCAGAGTAGCGTGAGTAGCATCGCGATTGCATTTGCTACCTTGTACTGCGTCAAGAGTGAGGAAGACGATATTGCAAGGCCTCGGTAATTTAGAGGATCAAGAGTGCTGGTGAGGAAGACGATATTCCAAGGCCTCTGGAACTTAGAGGAGCTATGTAGCGGTATCGTGTTCATGTACAATAGGAATGAATTGCCAATGAGACCCCATATTTCGGCCCATTTTTGTAGGGAGTGCCGCCCAGGTAGAAGAAGTAGCTGTAGCAACCAAGGAACCAAGAGATGTACTTATTTCGGCCTTAAGTAACCTTGGTAGAAGACAAACATCGCTGCTGGTGGGAGTATGAGGCAGTTCAGCAGCGCGAAAAGGAAAAATTTCGCTGGATATTCGGAAGCCGACAGGACAGTGATAAAGGAGTTGAACAGAGTGAGCGCGCAGACGAAGCACTGCAACTCGAAAAACAGTTTCATTAACCTGGAAGATAGTGGTTCGTTGAGCAGTTCTTTTTTACCTTTGTAGCGATCAGGTTGACTTCAAGAACTTAAAGAACTCTGAAGGGCTCTGGTATGTGGTAGCCTCATTTTGATCATAGGGAAAACAAAAAGAGAATCCCAATCCTTGTGATCAAATTCAGGCTACCAAATACCAGAACCATTCAAACTCGAACTACCAGTATGTCGTCGTCCAAGATCACTTTGTATTTTCAGTAGCCCAAGAGCGCGAGTCAATAAACCAAAATCTACCTACATGTCCCCCTAATAGCTGCAGGTAGCTCCTCGGTTGAGTAGTGAATTATCCGCAGATGTGGTGGGTAGTTGTAGTCCTGCCAATTTATTCCTTGCTTTGATTAGAGGGTCGTACAGTTATCGCCTCCGCGGACTGCCAATTTCGTACGCTTTACGAACTTATATAGAAGTTGTTACTTACAACTGCTATACTTCTTACTTAGCTGAGATCATCTGTGTGTGCCCCACCGTGAGTTTACTTATCCTGAAGTTTAAGGAGACTGTGACCAGAAACTTTAGTCACTCCTGACAACCTCCCCATAATCCTGTTGTGGCTGACTTCCAAAACCATAGGCCCTTCCGATCGGATTCAGGTTTTGCATGCCATTTTTTACGTCGTTACGCATTCTCTTCTCCAAGTAGTCCTCCATTCCCCTCTCCATGAACGAACCGCCAGCACCAGCCGCCATCTTGTTTCTTCTGACTACGAGAAGCGAGGGAATTAAGAAGGTGATGACCAAACAGAGTGAAGAAGGTACTGTAGAAGATACTAGTAGTACTACGACGCAGACGTACAACTACTACCTCGATGTGGTAGAGATGATAGACACTTACTGTGTCAACAATGCGCTAAATGTCTCTTCTAGCTATCAGAGGTGGTGTACTCGTACTGGTGCAGAGTCATGTACTGCTGCCAATAAAGGTGTCGTCAATGCATGTTCAACTCCCCAAAATTGCTTGGTCGTATCTATAATCTACGATCTACGTTTTTTTAGGGAGATAAAGAGACAGACAGACACGTCATGCTCATATTTTGTTGAAAGCTATAAACGGTAGAAAAGTGATGTTGACCTTACTTCACTCAATGTCCATGATGTGCTGTATCTCTCAGTGACCATAATTTTAGACCATTTCAAGAACGTGCGTCCTCCCGGTTCTTAGCACAACACTAACGGTCGCCTTCGCAGTCAGTGACTCCTGCTCTTCAACGTGACACCTTCAATGACATGATGATGACATGATGATGAAGATCACATAATAAGTACTTTCGAGTGTGCTGGGATTCTCATCTTCTGCTCTTGGTTCTATCTAGCCAACTACGTGTAAGTACGTCTACGTGCTTCGTTGTTCAACATCAAAAATATCGTCAGAAAACGACCTTAAATCTTTTCTTCTTTGACGGTTTCAAGCTGCCGCCTCAGGCTGGCCTGCTGCCTGTGCCATCAATTCATCTAAGCATCAATAAGCCATCAACAAGCATCATAATAGAAGACAACGAAGAACGCTGAAAAGTTCGGGATCGGGCACCTAATTAAATTGTAATAAGAAAGAACTATTCTATTTTTGAGAATGAATCAGTTGTACAACCTACTTCCTGGTGCTAGAACATAGTTGAACAACAAGAAATCATTTGAAAGCTACAACACAATCGACAACGACAAGGACAACCAACTTTTTATACAGACGAGACTGAAATATTTCTTTAGCTTGGAAGAATTGGCATCCATAAAATTCATTGACCATCACAATTTACTTTCGAAAAAAATTCTTTGCATCAACAAGAACGACATGATTGCTATCTAGGCTAGATCTGTTGAAATAAGCTTTGAAGCAGAGAGCTCAGCGCTTGAATATGTACTACGATGTACTACACCAGATCTGTTGAAATAGATGACAAGAAAACATGTCAAGAATATTATTTTGAAAAGAAAAAACGACGAGGATAATATACACGGAGATATGAATGCAAAAAGAGAATTTTGACATCCACGAGAGACAACATTAAGTAATCATGAGAAGCAATCAATATACTCCCAGGAAAAAGAACACCACTACATCGAATGTTAGTACAATGAGCAGCAATGAATATAATCGACACTGATATTACTTACAACAGCAGCTGTAGAGTCGACGAGCAAAGAAAGAAATCATAATTAAGAAATCAGATGAATCAGATTGGAGAAATCGGTGAACATTCCATTGTCTAGAATAGATATCGGGGATAAGAGAAAGAAGTGAAAGAATGAGAGAGATCGTAAATTCTCTACGATGTTGTCACAGCGACGCAGCTGCAAGCACTGTTGAAATGAAAGAAACACTTTCTGAATCATGGAACAGCGCGGGACGTGCTGTAGTTCCCTTTGAAGATATGTTTCTTGCACTTCAACTGCAGCAGGCTACGAAGGTAGTCAAAAAGTCAAAATCAGGGGGACGGACTGGGATAAATGTTAATCGAATTATTTGTATGTTTTAATTTCTTCATACAACAACAACATCTGCCATCATGATCTAAAATTCGTAGTGTACTACAAATAACAGACAATTTATTAGATGAGCTACGTCGAACGATTCTCCAGCCTCAACTACATAATCAACTTCGTCATGCTGCGGGCGTACAGAGAAAGTGGTTACGTCAATCCTCGTCTTCGGTATTTCGATGGCGCATACAACACTTAGTTACACAACAATTAATCCTATCGTATCATAAGTAGCAGCTGCTTGTGTTTCTTCAAGCATCGTTGATAAACAAAACTACCTGAAAGCTTTTGTTTCAAAGGCAGTTTCTCCAGACGAGCCTTATAATGTAGATGCTTGTTCAACATCAACATCTCACGTGATGTGTCCCATGTGCGATCTACCAAGTAACGGGCGGAACTCGATCCCAGAGGACGATCTCGAAGGAGTCGAAAGAGGCTAATTTTAACGTACTACGTTGGAATTGAGCATAGTTTTGACTTCAGACCATCATCGAAAAAATGCAGTGAAGCAAGATCGCAGCAAGAAAGGATCGAGCACACGAACTATACGCCGAGCAGTCGAAACTACTAAGAAACAAACCGATTAGAAACCAAGGACAAATGCCACGAGCAGATAAAAATCTACGACCGGTGGACTTAACGTTTCCATTTAGGACCCTAACTCCTCCTCAATTCCCTTCCGGTTGTTGTTTTTGTGTTTTGTTTCTTCTCGAACGGTTTAGCATCGTCTTTTCTTCATCGTCTTCACTTCTTCTCCTCCTTCTGCATTTCGAATGGCTTACGCAGCGCAAAAGCATTGCGAGTGATCCGCAACTTTGTGATCACCAAATAATATCGCGAGTCTTGTCATCTGCAAAAAAGTAGAAGAAAGCCGCTCCGAGAGCGCCATTCACTCTCGCTACACGTCCACTCTAAAAAGGAGAAGACCGATGTGTTTAGACAAATTAAACACTATCACTCGTCACGATGATTTTCGCCCGATTCACGCACTAAGAAAAAACCCGATTACAGACCAAGTAAGAAGCGATCGCCTGGTCCTGGTGGAGCAGGGGCCTAAGGCAAATCCAGGCTGTTGGGCCCTTGTTGATACGATTACGACTCATCATTATCTACGAGGAATACGATTACTTACGACTCAACATTAATATCTTTATCGTAATGAGGACCACGGAAATGAGAAGTGAGGAAAACTATATTAACTACTCGCGAGGTCATCTTCTCGAAGTGGTAGGGCAAGCTATTTTCATGCCCTTTTAGGATAACTTGAATTCTGTTCAACGTTTGTTGTACCATCTATCCTCGGTACATATTTATTAAGTGTAGTAAGTCATTGTTGGTTTATCTACTTACAAAGAAAATCATCTTCAATGCAAATCAACATGTAATCACGAACATGTTGTACCTATCAAATTGATTGTTCGATACAAGTGTAAAATAAACGTTCTGCTAGTACAAACGGTAGATGTAGAAGTGCTCGTACTATACCGTAACGAAAAATCTCATACTTACTAGTGTAGACATCGGCCATCGTGGGATTTTCCCACTAGTAGTACAACGGTCGTCACGTGTCTATCCTTTCATAAATAGTCCCCAAGGAGCACCACGACAGGGAGGACTACATATTTAGTATTGCTATTGTAAGTAATTCTCACGTATTTTTGTTCTCGATACACTGCCGAGAGGTCACAAGAAAAAACTCAGTCTATACATAAGTAGTCATGGACTTGGACACGAAGTGTAATGTAAAAGAAATAGACGGAAGATGGACAAGTTAGTAGGTACAATTCCTGAAAAATATTATATTTATATTATGATCATTACAACTACTCATAATCACATCATTCTACCGAGTCATTCTATGATCATGTTCCTATCGCAATCGTGTTGATTACACCGCGATATTGCAAGGGGAGGCGGCCACTGCAATCCCCAGTCGTGGTGTCAAATCGGACTATGCCTGAAGATGAAAGCGCAACGTATAGGTACCTTCCGCAGTCAGTCGGCGCACAATTGATCATCCGGCTATTGCGTGGCGCGTCGAACTTTCGCACGCAGGGAGTATGAAGGGCACCGTACTAGGAGACGAGAGGAAGGACAAAAATGATGTATAAGGACTAGCCTGCGATCATTTATTGAGGAGCAAGGAAAAGAATTAGCTTTATTGCCAGTAATATAAAGAGAAGAAGAAAAAGTAGTTAGTAGTTAGCAGGGAAATTACTAACACTGCTTTCAATAGATCGACATCGATTCATGGACACGGACACGACCGGACAAGGAGAAAAATGCTTACTTTTCAATCATAACTCAGATCCCGCATGCACCACTTCTTGATCACGTGCGCCAGGACAACATAGAGATACCTGTAATTATATTGATCATGTTGAAAGGGACTTAGAAGATGAAAATCAACACAAACGGTGATGTTCGAATTTTTCAAAAGGGTCATCAACATCCGCCTAGCTTGCTCGCCTCAACAAAGACAAAGTAGGGTTAAGAAACATATTTATACTGTCCACACTTCGAGAATTTGCATGCGAAGATTGTCCTGTAATTTTCCTGTCCTTCTAGCGCCAGAGACGCCGGCCCACTGCTATTCCCACTTTCGTCTACATCGGTACAGATAGCAGTCATATCGTCGCTCACCGTCGCCATTTTTCCACAGCTGACCGCAACGTCAACCACGTAGTCTCGATGACCTTGATACTCGCCGATGAAGCGGCTATTCACTGTGTCAAACTTCTTCACAGTGAGCCCGCTCGCGACGTAGAGAGCGCGTTCGGACAAGGCCATACCATAAACGCATTGCGGAACGTAACTTCCTCCCAACTTAGTAGCCAAGCGGCCTTCGATACTCTTGCGCTGAAGTGGGAACAAGGTCGTTGTGCAAAACCGATATTGTAATCAGGAGGAGTGTACATATTTATTATACTCGAGGATTGTTTCTCAAATCTCTTCAGTGAGTACTTCTAGGACAGATCCACAACAGGCGTAGGAATACCTGTCCTCTCGCTCCTGCCATATGATCAGGACACTTTTGAGAGTCCCATATTGGTCGGATGACTGACTGAAGAGTCTCCACGTCTTTCGCTGTTTGGCTTGTAGGATCGCGGAAATGAAGAAGGACCGCATCATTTACAGTTTCTTCTGACTAGTGTTCATCTAGTTGTTTTGTGTAGAGGGCGGAGACGGCAAACTTATTTACACTTGTTCTTGAGAAATCATACGAGTAGTAACGAAAGAACAAGTAAAAAGTACGTATATTTATATATTCATAGATAGGTAGACTTCATGATCTTCTCATAAACACTAGCCGAGCTAAGCAAAAGCCAGCTGGAACGTGACCAGCCCCAACTCGATGGCACCTTTCGGACTTTGGTTGGGAACATTCGCAACCGCAGTCCATCCCCATGTTCTAGTGGCAGTGAGGGTCCACCTCCATGACGATTTCCTGCTCCCACTGTCGGTATAATCGGTGGCACAATACTGTGATTGTCATACATCGAAGAACGGGTCGTGTTGAGAGCGGTGTCGTACATTGACCGGACACCAGTGACAGTCGAAATAGGCTCTGGTTGCGCCGGGACCGAAGATGCTGCAGGTATGTAATTGCCGTTCGCTGAAGAGCAGGTGTTCGCCAGCACATCATACATCGACTGGTGATGCAGATGATGTAGTGTTGATGCAGATGATGTGCTAGTACTGCTGTTTATACAAGTCGAATCGTACAGTGAGAAAACCTGCTGCTCTCCCGGAGCACCTCCTCCGTTACCATTACAGGAAGCAGGCAAAAGGTTCGGCGGAATAGCAGGGAGCGGAGGTCTCGCTAAATGCTGTTCTCCGCCAACTGAATGCTGGTCGTGCTGGCCTGCGGCATTGACGTGGTCAAGGACCTCCCCATTGGTACAACTACTATAATATCCCAGTTGTTTTAATGGACATGCTGGAGCGACGCCGCGCTGTGCGTCCTCTTCATTGCTACCACTAATTCTACCTTCCCCCGAAGCTGCTGCGCCTATCTCGCTCTCAACTGCTCCAACATTCGATGCAGACGACGCAGCACTTCTTCCTATGCCGCTAACAGTAGAAGTGGACTCGAAGTCTGGTGGACAACCATGCATTACAAATTCCACTGAGTCTCGGTTGCCTCCACCTCCAGTGCCGCTTGTTCCTACAGCAGACGACGTACTAGAGCTAGCTGAGGGCAAAGATTCGATCATTTCCGAGATGATCTCGCCTATGGAGGCAGACTCGTCCTTCAGAGGTTCTGAGCATCGAGAGGCGGACAGAGGGTCCTGCTCCAGATCACTTGACTTGCTCCTTCCTCGTGTCAAATCACCTGATAAATTCATCGGTGGCACAGTCGCAGGCATCCCCATTTTAGAGACTTCTGAGTCCTCCTCGAGGACCTTGTTGCCAGCAAACTGATGATCATCCCTAGTTGTAGATGCAGGTGAAGCTGTTGGGGATATCGCGGAAACCAGTGGGGAGATGAAGGGAGGCCGCATAGTCCCAGGAGAGCCGACGACGCACTGAATCTGGTCCTCGTTGGAGTTGCATCGGCGACCAATGACGACGTCGCGATAGCTCGATCTTGCGGTCCTTGTTTGAGGGGGTGACGTTGCCCGAGGACTTCTTGCTGCTGAAGAAATCATATTCAACAAGGCACACGCAGCATCCTTCGAGGATGAGGAAGAAGCTGCTCCTGCAGATGAAGGATGTCCACCTTGAGGGTTACAACACAAAGTAGAGGAAGACGAAGAAGTTGTAGATGTCGAAGTCGATGTAACTGTAACTGCCGGTCCCGAGGTACAAGAACTAGTACTTCTCGGAGGATCTAGTACTTCGTGCTCTGATATCGGACTACAGGCAGAAGATGAGCACGAGCTGGTGGCTGTTGCGGTTGTAGAGCAAGATTTGCCATCTTGTTCAGGAGACTGTTGTATCTCTCTTGTTTTCCTGCTACCCGCAGTTGTAGCACCCTGACTTCGTTCTCTTTCTTCAGTAGAAATTGAAGGTGGCGATGAGCCCACTCCTATCGGCGTCTTTGCTTCTTGATCATGTTCTGGCGAAGATGATGGGGGTGGTACAGCGATGTTGTGATCATCTCCTTCAGGAGGGTTGTCGGCATTCGTTGTGGCTGGCACCGGAGGAGAGGACCCGTGTTGGTCATCGGAAGGTGGTGGAGAGCTAAAGTTTGCTTGCCCCTGAAGTTTCGGCTGAGCTGGCCTTGGTCGTTCTAAAGGTGGAAATTTTATTGAAGCAAAAAAGCTATCTTCCTCTGGTCGGTTGCCTTTCTCTTGCACTTCCGTTGTCGCGCTAGTGTTTCCCTCCGTCTCTGTTGAGGCTTGATGTGGTACTGGAGGAGGTTCTGCGCCGCAAGCAGTGCTGTTGTCCTGAGCAGCCTGGGGTTGCGTCTGCCCTTCGCCTTCTACGTGTGGTCGTCTTTGCCCTTGACCATCTTCTGGTAATGACGCTCCGTCAGTCAGCATTCGCTTGTCACCCTGCTCGCCAGAAACCACTTCATCTGATGTTTCTATTGTCAACATTGCCCTCTTTATCGTTTCACAAGAAACGAGAACACCGTCTACCATCTCGCATTCTAGGATGCCCCAATTTGATGTACTCGCCGATGAGGTTGGAGGTGCTCCTCCTCCTGCTCGATTGTAAATGTAACTCCTACCAGACGCAATAAAACGTCCTGAGGATGTACTAAAAGTAGAAGAACTACAGATGGTGTCCACTCTTGCCCGCGTAGTCTCGTCAATTTTTTCTACTAGAGGGCCTGCTCCACCCTGAGGGTTTTCCGTACAGCAAATTGCTAAATTCCAACGCATTACCGAGTAATCGTAGCTACTGGAGTAAAGAAACGGCCCTTCTTGTTCGTCTTCTTCTTCTTCCGCTAAGAGAAGTGCTGAGATGCACGTTTTATGGGACTTCAAGGTCCGAACATGTTTTTTCAGAGGCACATCGAACATTCTTATCGATCCGTCTCGACTACCCGTAAACAGCCACCGTCCGCATCTCGACTGCACTACTGCAGTCGCATTTGCGTGTTCGAAAAGCTCTGTGGTGATTAGAGGTAGGTTTTTTTTGCTATTCGTTTATCCCGCTTGTTATGGCTGTCCCCACCTATTAAGGGAGAGAGCCATAACAAACGGTAACAAAAGCACCTTTAACCTACCCTTAATGTGAGATACAAGTTCTCCTGCTGGCTGTTGTCTTCACGTAATGCTTCTAGTGTGCTGGAGGATGTCGCAGGACAAGGCGCGGACACCGACTTGGGGACTGGAGTTGGGCGAGCTCCACCAGTAGTAGTGGGGTCTATGAAAGAAAAAAGTGCGCCCACACTCAAAAAAAGTGGCTAAATTATACCTACTTAAATCCTAGCCAATTTCTTGAGTGTGAGTGCACTTTTTCGTTTCATAGGGTCGACTGCTATCGTAGTCGTTGCCGACGAGGATGAAGAAGATGAAGAACAAGCTACAGGAGCATTCTCTAGTCCTAAAGAGCTCGCTCTTGCTTTAGTGGTATTTGTTGCTGCCCCGCCACCTCCACGACTCGCAGCTGCCCTCGGCGGAAGAGGCAGTAGGGCTTTCGACGCCTTGTCCTCCTTCATCTTCGAAATAGTAGTCGTATCTTCAGTATACACCGCCAGAACACCTCTAGCGCATGCAACCCACAGCGTGTGCTCTTCAGGTCTAAACGATACGGTAAAAGTCTCCACATCTTCTCCTCCGCCTCCACCTCCTATAGCACAAGTAGAACTTCCAACTACTGCATCATCGGAAATTTTTTCGAAAGGGTCATGTTCGTAAGCCAGAGCGATCCGTCGCCACGACAATTAGACGCATAGGAAATCCATCTCGGGGATCGATCATCTGGGTGCCATTTTCCACCTCCTGTCTCTTCTCTTCCAGAAGATGACTTTGGAGATGAATTCCCTACAACACCCATAAGACAAGCGGGGTCCGCAGCCGTGTTGCTCTAGCAGATGCGCAAGCCGAAGTCGAAGTTCGAACAACGGCGTGCCACGGAGAGCCCGTGCTGTCACTCTAGAGCCGTCAGGGAGAATGCAGATCAACAGAACTACTCTTTTCTCCTTCCGTTCTTGTATCTTGGCGTTCTCAACTATCAACGAATTGATGATCTCCGCAGAAGAATCTTTATGATCTTCGCTAGATGCTCCCTCTCGTTCTCCGAGAGCAGGAGCTTGGTCGTGGAGGTGGCCCTCCTGGCTAGTATCTTCTCGATCTCCAGAAGCAGCGCTATTGGTGCTGTAGATACCTGCTAAAGGGTGGCACATTACATTCTTCAGAATCAGAACATCCACCACCTCTTTCCTCCTAGAAAGAGAGTGCGGAATGGTGGTGGAAGATGTAATCGGTTAACCCTTAAGATACCCGGTGGTGGAGGCGGCGGACCGTTGGAGGTCGCACTACCGGAACTTTTATGTTGATTCATGCCACTACCTCGTGGATATGCTTGGGATTGGGACGATAAACCAGAACTGCCTCCTAAAGAGGCATTGATGCTGGATGAGGTGGCATTCAGTTTAGAATTAGGAGCATGCGAGTTTCCGCCAGTGCTTTGTGATTGATGTGCAGTGGCGCTTCCTCCTCCACCAGATTTTTGGTGATAGTTGTTGTAACTACTAAATATCTTGTAATTGTCGTGGTTTATTTGGCCATGCTGCATACTTCCGTGATGCTTGCTACCAACACCACCACCACCTCCTCCTCCAGAAGTGTTCTTATTATTGTTGTAGTTGTGTCCAGCACCTGCTCCTGCTGGCCGATTAATATAGTGATTACTGGTTGGCGGACTACAAGTCAGATCGGATGACCCTACACTCGTAGTACTCGGACTCGCTGACGAGTACGGATTTTGATACTGCCCTCCACCGTGTCCGTACTTAGAACTTCTCTTGTTGTTGCCTCCTGCTCCATTGTTCATTCCATTTCCTCCTTGTAATGAAGAACTTCTAGAAGCACCATGAGCACGCAGGAGGGCTTGTTGTGCTTGCTGTTCCGCGTTAAAGTAGGAATAGTGATTCTTTCGATTACTCTTGTTGTTTAAGCTTGGAGTTGAAACTGGTGCTGGTGGCACGGGTACTGGTGGCGGAACTGGCACAGCAGGCGGCTGCATGATGTTGCTAGATGTCGTCGCGGTTGTGTTGCTAGACGATTTGGAGCCGGATGATGAACATGATGCAGTGCGCGCTTTGTTCATACTTGTGTTTAGGTTCCCGAGAACAGCACCATCATTGTCGATAGTTGACGTTGTATCTCCTTTTGTGTCTGCAGTAGATGAAGCCACGCATCCGCAAGCATCAGGATTGGTCCCGGTGTTGGTGTAGTCAGCGTCGTCAACCTCCTTAGTATTGTCACCTGCGGTTAGATTTTCGGAAGTCCAATCCGCAGGCGTGTTCGATGCACCGCCTGTCGTGTTCGAGTTCGATGCATCTCCTGACGAAGAATTGGCCGTTGAATTCCTAGAAGCAGAAGCACCTCCATCTTCTCCAGCTCTAGCCTGAGCTCCTCCTGTGGAGCTACTAGAACAACTAGTAGATGTAGTAGTTAATATTGAAGAGCTAGAACTAGTCGTAGATGTAGTTAATATTATTGAAGAACGAGCAGTACAACTGTAGTTCTTATTCTGCTGAGAAGTGGTAGATGTTGAACAGCCTTCTGTCGTAGTTGTGTTGGACGTGGACGACGACGAGGAGAAGGAACCTCCAGCTCCACCTCCTCCATGTTGCCGAGCATTACTAGAAGATGAACTACTCGAAGAACTGCTTGTGTGACTTCCTCCTCCAGAGGAGGAGGACGAAAAATTTCTGTTCGAATTAGAGGACCTAGACATCATGTAGGACGAACTAGGGCCATGCTGGAGAAAGGAAGGAAACATCGCTGCGCCCCCATGATGGCCAAACGGAGGAAAAGCTTGGTGGTACCACGAGGCTTGGTTGTAGTGCTGTTGCAGATGGTTTTGGTAGCCAGCACTACTGGAGTTCATGTGGTGTAGATAGCCAGCACTGGGATAGGAGTGGTGCGGCCCACATGCAAACGGAGGAGGCATGACCCCTGAAGAGTTGTTGCCTCCGTGTTGTTGATTGTGGTTGTGGCTGTGCTGACTGTGGTGACTCCTTGAACTCGATGTTCCTGGTGCACTGCATGTGGACGTGTTACTTCCCCCGCCAAATGTTAGAGTAGGTAGGATAGTGAAGCAAAAATCATATTGCGAAGATGAACCAGTGAAAGAACAGTAGAACATAGAGAAAAACATGAAGATGAAGATGAACCTCCTCCTTGAAGATGATCCATAAATTAAACAAGAAGTTGTGTCGATTCCGGGATCGTTTGTTATTTCTGTTATTTGATGATGAACTTCCAGAGCCACGGCCTCCACCACTCGATGCGCTTCCACGACGCGAGCCGTTGCCACCTCCGCCACGCTTGTTGTTACTGTTCTTGTTGCTGTTATTGTGCTGTGGTTGACTAGAAGAAGGTGACTGGTGATCATGTTGGTTGGAACCCTTGATGCTTCCACTTACAACACTTCTAGTAGCTGTTTTTGTAGTTCCTGCATGTTGAGCATGGTCTTTTGAGTTTGATGTTTGCGCAGGACTTCCTGTTGATGAGGATGTGCTGCTAAGGTGGCTGTTTGAAGTTCCTGCTCCTGTTCCTGTCCTGTTGCTAGAGTTATTCATGTTGGGTGTGTCAAGCCTGGAGGACGTCTGATGATCACCTCCACTTTCACCATCGCCGGCACCTACGACCAGCCCTACTCCTCCACTAGTCACCGTCTCCGGTAGATCAGCATCTCCAACATTGTCACTAGAACAAGTTCCACCTGCTCCTCCACCTGTAGAATCTATGCCCTGCTCTCCACCAGCACCTCCAGACGACGACAATGCTGTCGAAGAACTCGTTGTACTTGGGGAAGAGGAGGATAGTGGGCCTCCTGCCTGTTCGGATGCGCCGTCGTTGCCTGCAGCCTCTCCAGCTGCACTCCCAGTTTCCGAAGTCTCGCCTCCCATCTGGTGGTGAAAAAAATATATTTGTTTATCTTGTTTGCAGGAGTAGAAATGAGAGAGAATATGCATCCAAGTCGAGTTGTACATGCTAGCTACAGGCTTAGCTTTACTTCCAGCACCTACAGTACTGGCGGCATTGCTTTTATTTAGGTACATCTAGTAAAAGCACTTCTAGATGTAGATTCTCATTCAGGAGTAACAAACAATACCACACTCGAAGAGCTTGAGTCACAGCGGCCGACGGTGGCATCGTAGAGGCTCTTCTGCTTTCGCCACGGATTGGGCCTTGTGCCCTTCCAATAGCTAATGTGGTTATGATTCATACGGATGAATCCGGAGTTTCACAACCACGCACTCGAAGAACTTAGTTCTTCTTGCTAGTAAAAAACTAGTACTCAGTAGTTGTACTGGATTTTTAACAACATGTTGATTTTGATACAATTATTCCAGATGACAAAGATGAAGATACAATTTATTCCAGATGATAGACTACAACAGAGTTAAGATTAGGAGGACTACATCAAGAATATTACAACAGAATTTATTAAGTACGTGTGTAGGTACCAAGTTAGTTGTGTGCAGAAAAAAATAAACCGGATTACAATATTGTCATTGTGCGACGATCGAATTATTCCATCGTCGAATATTGCTACCTAAGTGACAGTGAAAGACTCCTATCTAAAAGACAAGAAGAAAAATGTAAATCACACGTGCTGATCATTAGAAGAAGTGAAAAGGAAGTATTTTATGACAGGAAGTCCTCTTGGAAAAACAAGTAAGTAATCCAGGTAGTTGACATGAGATGACCACGTCAACGCTTTTTAGCGTCTTTGCTTTCTTGTGTGTGACGAAAAGAACGTAGCGTGGTCCACCATTTTCATCGAATCATATCAATGACAGCAAATGAAGACGAGGGACAGGAGAAATGGTTGAAATTTCATTTTCATATCATGTAGGAATTGTAATTCTTGAACAGGCAACGAGAAACCTCCGCTGTAATCAATCAGAATCAGTTGTATACACTCACGCTATAACTAACAACTGTCGGTTTCATGGTGGTCATTGTTTTCCTTGATGTTCGCTTCCATTTTCTTCTCCCAAGCCTCTAATGCCATACAGCACAATCGTGTGTGATTCTATGAACATGCACGTGATCGACTCCAATGAATACACACTCACTCCAATATGAATATTTCCCCAATCTATCACGTGTGAGATCGCAGCTATCACTCTCGTCACTATCTCTTTTCTGCTCTAGTCCCTCTCGTTTCTACTCATCTCGATCATCACTCGGTGCAGAGGAGTACACCTGCGCAGAAGAGTACTCCTTAAAGCTGTTCCAATGCGTGATCGAGTCATGATACGGAAGGCTGATGACTGAGGCTAATATGACTTCTCGACCATGAGTGAAAGAAAGGATCATGTTCATGTTCCTGTCAGACATGAAAGATGAAGGTGATTTGTTGTCAGCAACAGCCGTGACTGACTGTTGAGGAGGAAAATGTAAAAGTAAAATGAGGTTGATCTCGATGAGTAGATCTCAACATAATTCTGCTGTTCAATCGCCTTCCTGCTAGAATGAAGCGTCCGTGATGACATTGCATCAACAACTTTCGAGGAAGGATGCTACAAAGAATGATTGATATCCCAAGGAAAAGAAAGCAAACTTATCAAAAAAACTTCAAGATCAATACTTACACAACACAATCTTCACATCATGATCATTCACTTCCAACCCAAACGTAAAAAATGCACTGAAACAAATTTATCAGAGCAAATGCATGTATTCATCAGAGCCTTGATCCCCTGTTAAAAAGGAATGAACCTCTTTGCCAGCCTTGCAGGAGGTGGTTACCTTCAGAATCCTTCGGGGAATCTTCATTTGTGATCTTCTTACGCACTGCTCTTCGTCCTCAGTAAGGACTCGACTTTTTCAAATAGCGACCTAAAAGGCGGCTGGTCGGACCACCCGCACCCGACATATCGGAGCCGGAACGATGCTGCTTCATAGTTCCCACAATGTCCTTCGCCAGTACTTTTCCGAGTTCGACACCGTACTGTTCGTGTGTGATAGTTTACCAAGTTTTGGAATACAACTCAGATGAAAGATCCTAGTACGTAGGCAAAAAGAAGATGTAGGTCTGATTTGCGCCTATTCGAAACATCAAAGCTGCTCCTGCTTAATCAATCATGTTGCAATTTTTCATTATAAAATACCTGATCAAAGCTGTTGATGCCCCACAACCAGCCTTGGACTGCGGTCCGGTGTTCATACAAGGCCAACAGCATACCCACTGCTCGCGCATCGCATTTTCCGTCGAAGAGTAACATCGTCGACGGACGATCTCCCGGAAAGCACTTGTGCGGCACTAGGCTTAGCTGACCGTAGAATGAAGAAGGGAAGGTGCTGGAGGAAGTTTGGAGCAAGAGGTTTCATAATTTCGGGAAAACGATGACGCATCTTTTTTCTACTTTTCACCGTAAATGTGACTGAATTACTTAGATGAATATCAAATGTCCAAACTGAAGATCATAAATTCTGATAAGTGATATCGCCATTCTTTGCGACGACCTCCTCTTTTGTTTGACCAAGCGCCAAGGCGTTAGGTTGTGCAAAGAAGTTTGCCATCAATTCGTCATGGTTACTGAGCTCGCGTCCTGGACCTGTGACAGCATTCTGGCTTTCAGTGAACCCGATGAATTCGGATGGGATCACTGTGGTTCCCTGATGCAGCAGCTGATAGAAACTGTGTTGCGCATTCGTACCCGGCTCACCAAAGTAGATCGCGCCAGTATCTCCTTCGACCCGCTCGGCTGTGTCAGCACAGTAGTTAGATGAACAGGCACAGGAGTCGCTGCTTACCCTATTACAACATGTAGTCGTGTAGAATAAATATCAATCAAGAAATGCAAATACGCGTATTTAATATGGGTGGAGCCAACCTAACTAGGAAAAGTAAAAAGAAATGTATAAGTAATATGTAGATCAAAGATAAAATAGCTATAATTATAAGAACTCTACCAGCATTAAATCAAAATCATCAGCATCACCATAGGAACCAACTTCCCGTTGCTTTCCATGTCGAGTTGTTGAATATGTGCGGTGAACCGATGCAGAGCCTGGCAATACGGCAAAATGGCGCACGTGGAGAAGTTCAAAAAACTCCGGTTCCAAAATGCTACCAGGCCCATGAGCACCGGCAAGTTTTCGGCAAGAGGCGCGGAAAAAAAGTGCTCGTCCATCTGTCGCGCACCCGATAGGAAAGATTCGACAATATCAGGACCGAAATGGAGAGAGATCTTAGATGAGGGACAGCACGGTAAAAAATGCAAATAGCGCTGAGTGAAGTGGGTTTTTGAATCGCGTTGTAAGAAGATGGCATATACAACTGTGATAAGTGAACAGGCCAACGCCTAAACCACTAAGCCAACTGCGCAGAAATCCCATTTATCAACTGCATGAAATTTAGTCTCCACCTTCATAATCAAGGGAAGAATCCCGATAGCGGAGCAAACTGAGAAGCGACCGCCAACCCAATCCCAGAATCCGAAGGTTTTTTGGATTCCAAACTTTTGCGTGAGCGGGATATTCGTAGAGCATGCAACGACATGCTTGCTAACGATATCGGAATCGGACAAATCGGCTGAACCGCTTTTGTCCTTAGAGGTTGTAATTTCATCTTGTTGCAGTGTGTCATGCTCATGGTTCTACTGGTCTTTGGTATAGCCTGAATTTGATCCTAAGGGTTCTCTTCTTGTTTTCCCCCTTCTGATCATCAAATTCAGGCTATACCAAATACCGGAACCATTCATGCTGAGAAAAGAGCAAGAACCTTTGTTATTTACAAATACAAAGCACTCTTTCCTAATCTTCAACACTCTGCGCACTCCGTCGAGCATCCACTGTTTCACGCATTCTGCGTTGAGAATGGTTTCTGCGGTCGTGAATGTTTTTGAGCAGATGATGACCAAGGTCGTCTCTGGATCGAAACCGGCTAAGGCACGACGAATGTCAATCGGATCCACGTTGGCGAGAAACTGCGTCCGACGTCCACTGGAATGGGCCATGGCTCTTTCTTCGGTTTTCAAGGCGAAAGTTAGTAGAGAAGGAAGTTTTCCCCGAAGGAAAGTTCTTGTGCTGGGGCGAAGGTGGAGCTGGAGAGCAGATGAAAGTCCTCCTCTGTTCTTGTTTCATCTATTTTTTAAGTTGTTCTGGTAAAATAAATCTTCTGACGAGGCTCCTTATGGTTATGGTCGTGCATGAATGATCCTACTTGAAGACAGAGCATAGCTCCAACACAAATTCCACACCCAGGTAGCTCCCGCCGATGCCGACTGAGATGACGTCTTTTAGCTCCTTACCAGTACAACCAAGCCATTTGCCGGAACGCACCTGCTCTGCGAAGTCCCTGATCTCGCGTCGAACGCGGAGGACCTCACTGCTAATCTCTGAAGCGTAGGGAGACGAGCTAGACGCTGAGGACAAGGAAGCGGTCTCTGCCTCAGCTTGGGCGTTCCCGTTGGGAGTTAGACGAGGGGCCGCGGAGGTTCTTCTTGTGCCACCTAGCTAGAGCTCCTGCAGATAAATATAAAAATGTTTGAAGATCATAGGAAACAAGGCTGTGCTGGTCGAGGATGATTTTACAACTTTTTGTTGACAAAATCCGTCAATCTATGTCTCTATGATTGTTCTATTCTCTTGTCCAAGACGAGCCATAAACTGGCACTGAAGCCCGGATCCTGTATCCGCAACGCCGTGTGCAACACAGCGCGCCCTTCTGTGGCGTTCATCACATCCCCAGACTGCATTGCCAAAATCTTAGTCTGCAACTGGCATTGTTCTGATGCAAATTGCAATAATTTCGCGACAGCCTCTTCATTCAGCTTCTGCCGTGTAAAATCAGCCGTGATACCCAGATTGACAGGTCGTGCACCGCCATCGACCGCAGGACCCTGAAAGTGCTCGCGAAAGAGATAAGATTCACGCGACGCGTTTCCGCTCGTGACGAGTTTGCGCAAGTGCGTATCTTTCAGCTGCAAAGCCTGAGCACGAAGCTCCGAAACAAGCTCACTGCGACCGGCTGGCATTTCTTGTTGTTCCTTTCCTACTACTGTCTGAGACAACAACAGCGACTGCACAACCTACTAGTAGTTCGACAACTAGAAAGAAAGAACTAGTAGACCTAGAAGTAGTACAACAGCTTCTTCATCCACCTCGATCTGGCATCAGGAAAAAAAAAATCATGAACAAAAGGTCACAATGAAATTTCATGTATGCACCTCTCCTGTGTTTGTTCTCTTCATGTATAGTTATTACTACTCAACATGAGGAATCGTTCGCAGAACACGACAAGAGGAAGAATGCGTCTGAGAGAATTCACCCCATCTTCTAGAACCCGGATGCGTCATGAGCACCTACTTTTTAGCTATAATGTCGATACTTGAAGCGCGCATATTATGGGAAAACGAGGCGTTGGGTGGGCTATGACGATTATGTGACAGGAGCAATGGATTCTTCTGGGGATGCCAGTATTAAAATTACCTCCTCCATTTCGTGAGGAGCATCCGAAAGCTATTTCATCTGATGCCTGATGTTCATAGCCACACTGTTTCTCAACTTCTCCGCTAGTTCTGACGGCTTCGCTATTGATGTCCAATTCTTTATTAGTGCCGTTTCTCTGAAGAATCTGTCAATCTCTTCCTCTTCTTCACCCAAAAACCAACTGATCACTTCCAAATTTGGTTTTTCGATCTTCAAACATTGGAGATACCTCAAGATCGCTTCGCACCGGAACAAATTGTCGAAACAACTGCACAAATCTGCTAAGGGGCCGCGGGTCTTCTTTCGTAAGCGGAAAAACTTGGGAAATAGCTTGCAGCGAAAAGCGTCTACTAAAAGCAGGATGCCTTTGTCTTCTACAGGGTGTAGACGGTCGGATTCGATGTGGTCTAAGCCCATGAAGACGTTGTAGACACCACGCAAAATGCGAAACTCCTTCTGCTGTTCGTCTGCTTCAGCGTCTAGTTCTAGTTGATCTTGATTCTTGGTATAATTACTAGAACGCTTATTCATCTTTTCCTGCTGCTTGTTCCGTGTCTTATAAATGCTTTTCAACTGCATTGCACACTGGTGAAATTGTCCGAGATCTTTGTAGTGCAAAGCCCATATCGCATTCGCCGAGTACACTTGGACGGCAAAGTCGCTGTTGTTAAGGTTCTGAACCAACAGGTCCTGTCGGATGGCACGAAGTTGATCTGACACATAGTTCCAACTTTTATTGGCTGTGTCCTCACCTACTTGGAGACGTGAAAAGGCCTGCTTCAACACTTCGAGAGGCCTGACGTCGGAGGCTTTTGCCTCAGAGGTGAGACGAAGGTAACTTTTTTCGAGGTTTATGCTCTTCCCTGACACTGGTCCAATCGTCACTACTTCTTCTTCGTCAGAGAGCTCTTCATCGTCTCCGTCTACTTCTTGTTCCTGTGCTTGTTGTTGGCCTCCACTGTGGACTTGGTTCCCAGTACTTCTAGGACCAGCTGCATCGGTTTTCTGCCTCTTAGCATCAGCACCTCCAGATAGATCTGCGACAGGTCCTCCTGATTTACTTGCGTTTTCAGCTTCGAATCTTCGTCTTCGTGCTTCGCGCATATCATCTCCTTCACTCAGACCTGCCCAAGCACATTTTTTCTCCGGTGCAAGCTGGGTCGATAAGCTCATTTCGTTCTTCAGTTGTGACGATGCACCTGTTGTAGTACTACCATTGTCATGTCCAGCTCTCGGTGTCGGAGCACCAGGAGCATTGTTACTAGAAGTCGAAGCTTGAACTTCCTGCTCACCCCAAGAAGCTTTCTTTCCTTTCCCCTTTTTGCCTCCTCCGCCTTTCAACCCTCCATATCCGCCCACAGGTACGCGATTCCCACTCTTCTTCAAGATCTTCTTAGTCGCGAACCGCATAGTCAGGGGTCGTTGTCTTAGCAGTTCTTCCACTTGTTTCCGGGTTAATATACTCGTGTCAATCCCGTTCATCGTGAGCAAGCGACTATTCACCGTGATTCCATGTTGCTCCAGATCTCGAGGTTCGTAGATAGTTACTGGTTCCCTGTCCACAGTCACGCGGCTGACATCACCCAAGTCCCACTGAAAGTCAAGCGTGGCATCGTGGTTGGGCAAGACGATGCTTTTTCTCGAAGTGTTCTCCAAGTCTGCATACCCATCGAAAAAACGCTTCTTCTTCGTAATCTTGATAGCAGAGGAGGACGAACTGTCGAAGGAGGAACTGGAAGACGTAGCCATTTTTTCTTGGAGGTGTTGTTTTTTTTACCCAGGTGTTGTTTTTTTTACACAAGAAGTCGCTGAAGATGTAATCTTATCGGCACCTTCATCAACGAACAGAAATTGTTGTTGGACACTTCTCGCTGCTCTCACACCACCAATAGTATATCACCGATGTCGGTACCGCTGTATCACTACTACACGTGTATTACTCAAGTTATCTGTCGTTGTACAGCCTGAGGAATATTACACCTTTGTTACAACTTTCAATAATGCGTAGAAGTGTGAGTGTCGCGTCGTGCGCTCAATAGAAAATGTAGATTCAAGGCATGCATACCAGGAGCGAACACAGACTAAATTCCAGAGGAAGTATCTCTAACAGCCACAGGAGTTCATGGATCTGGATATTTGCGTGGATCACTAAAAGGTACTCCTTACACTCGCGGGCGGCAAGCATTACAAGGATGAACAGAAAAAATGCAGAGGATATTGATTTCGCGCAGAAAGACAACGACGAGTCAACAGTCATTTTTACGAAATTTTCGTCATTAGATGTGATCTTGGTCTTCATGATTCCAAACCTCCCGAGTTGTTCCAACATTCTTCTTCCAGTATTTTCCGCCAGAATTCCACTCTTTCTTCATAGATGTTCCCGAAAAAGATCGTGTCAGATTTTAGACTTTCCAAAGGCAACACTGTCAAATCACCACCACCTTTTCCGAAAACGTTGAGCCACCAATATTAGACCTCCCACGAGCACAAATCAATCTTGGAAGGCATCTTTTACGTGTTTTCCCAAACGCCATGAATCAGGATGCTTCCTTCCCAAGGTGGATCTGTGCAACAAGGAGCCTTAACAAGAACGAGTCGTTGTAGCACTACTTCTTGTCCCACCACCGCTTTGAAGTCTAGCCCTGGCCAATTGCGCCACTAAGTCCACGGCCGCTGGTTGCCGACTAGCTTGCAAATAGACGCGATCACTGGGCGTTCCGATCTTAGCGTTTTCAGGGATTGCCAAGTAAATGACCTTTCGAGCCTGTAGAACAGCATTGGAGCCACGTTTTAGGCAATCTTGATCAATGTGGAACCGCTTCTGACGCTGCTTTTGGACTATCCGGGCACGCTGGAGGATACGGTGAAGGAAAGTTGTAGAATTTGTCGAACCAGATCCGGTCGGTATCTCCACGTCCTTGGGGCCATCTGATCTGCTTCCAGCTGAAGAGATGAAGCTGCTTGATGACATTTCCCCTTCATCTTTCTCGCCTTGTTCTAGTACCTCAAGCAACAGTTTGTCGTATTTGTCTTGCCATTGTACGCCTAGTAGCGGACTTCTTTTTCCTCCCATAGTTGTACTAGTAGAAATAGCAGGTCTACTTGGTAAGCTTGGGCAGAAGCTTGAAGTCGAAAAGGGCCTCGAGGTCCTTCTGTACGTGGACGAGACACAGGAGCAATCTGTTCCACCACGCAGTGGCTGCACCCGAATGAAGGAAAACTTCTTGGAAGATTGTTGTAGCAAAGTTGGTGGCATCATCATGTGTAATATTACACGAGGAGCACTTAGGCCCAGCGCTTTACTTCTGATGTGGAAGAACTATTAGAAGAATAACTTTTTTTACACGGCGATCTAGATCATCACCAGTTTGCGAAGTCGTGTCTTCAAGTTTGTCTTGTTTAGTGTCGAAACAAGCCTCCGACCCCAATGACGCATCCCATGAAGGCACCGGCGCCCGCAGCCTCCTGCTTCAATCCGTGAAGAGAACCTCCTTGTACAACACGACGTGATACTGCCATCGTTGCACCAAGAATGGCGCCGAAGACGACTCCTTGTACTAGCTGGCCAGCCCGTTGGCGCCAATACCCCTGTTGGCCACAAGGAGAGACTGGGAGAGGCGCCATGTTGCTCATGTAATATGTTGATTACAACTTTTGGGAAAATCGAGTTCGAAAATCAGATTGAGGAAAGGAGAGTAACAAGATTCTTGTTATTACTGTATTTACTCAATAATCGTCAGTAGGCTCAGTTGTACTATTAACTTGATGGTAAGTTCATGAATCGGTTGGAACCCTGTACGACCAACGCTTTAGTCGGTTAACATATCCTGAGTTTCGTCGAATTTCCCGACTGGTTCCAACGAAAAAGATACGGAGATCCCGCATACATAATGGCAATTCTTGTGTTTGTTACGCGTTGTGTTTTTAGTGTTCTTCCACCTTGTTCTTGTTCACCACAACAAATAGGAAGTTTCAGTTTGTTGCTGAATCTGTCGCCATTTAGAGCACGAACCATACCAAAGTGGACCAAGAAGAGCGAAAAAACCTGCTTTTCGAACATCATGCCTCTTCGAATAGCACATGCAGCAGCCTCCTCTAAGTGCTATGCTTTCGATGCAGAGGAACTTCTTGTTGACGAAACTTTTACAATGAATACATAAGAACAGGAATAGCACCAGAAGATCGATGTCAATTCATTCTTTTGGAAAGATCAACAGCATCAGCAAAAAAAGAACGAGTTGTGAAATAACCTGCATAAGAATTTTCCTCTAAGCAGTTTGGTATAAGATTAAGAAAGAACGATGAACAAGATGATCAAGAAAATAGGAAATACTAAATAATATAGTAAGAACAACGAGGAATGAGAATCTATCTTATCTGCAAGAAACTATATTTCCTGTGTCTTCGCACTGAAAATGAATGGTTTCAGTCTGTCAGTATTCGTTTGAAATCGAATATATTTTTCATCTCCTTCTATTCTTAGAGGCTCTACCCAACCTCACGACCTGCGCCTCGATGAGCTCTTCCCCAACGTCGCTGCTGTCTGGGTGAAACCCGGAGCCGCCAGGGAGCATCAGGCGATCGCGCCAATCTGGCTTGTCATTTTGCGGGTTGCGCTTGGCAACTATGGGAACAAGAGGTGTGTTTTTGCATGTTCGCAGACCCCGTGAGATGATTCGCCACCTAGTTGAAATTTCTGGAGGTGCAGCTGACAAAGCACCAGAGCCTGAAGAAGATGACGCTGCAGTACTAGTGCTGAACGAAACCGGAATTAGTCTATTTGAACCCTCTGCGTTGCCGTCTACAATTCGCAAGCTGTCGAGAATCTGCTTTTCAGTGAAGGGAATCTGCAATAGCTCCGCACCGAGGCGAAAAGAGGGACTGCACAAGACGAAAATGCCGCGATTTGGTATGTGCGCACACGACAATAGAGAGCTCTTATCTGCACTTCTCGTGCTCCCGGAGCCGTCTTTCACTGGGAAACTGTTCGAAAGTGAGAAAACAGGACCACAACGCAACGCATAGAAGAAGGTCGGATAGTTTGTACTATTGGATGTGGCTTTATCCGTCGCATCGACGTAATCATGATCCTCTGCTCCGGAGCGTTCTTTCCGGAGTAGATGCACTGCGCGTACGCCAGCCCTGGTGATAACGGCGATGACACTCTGACCCGCTTGTTCTTTTCCCACCCGAAAACACGTTTGCAATCGATGCTTGAGGCCGTAATCGTAGTGATTGCTGTCGGACACATCGGAGAGGAACGAGAAGCCCGCTTCTGGTCCCTCTTCAACGTCAAAAGTTAGAGATCCAATTCCAATGTACTGTGAAAACCACCTCGAACACGTCAGACTATGCATCTAATATTGCTATTGCAATTGCATCAAATAAAAAAACTACTACGAATAATTTATTACATCTTCACAACACGCTAAAACTATATTACAAGTACTTCCTTGTTGAGAGGCCGTAAAAAAATGGAAACAACTCCCCGCGTCTTCCCCGCGTCTGATCGAATGTCATGTATGGGCCTCTGATGACACTGTCCGTAGTGCCCGTAGAGACTAATACTGATAACAATTCAGGGCCAGAGTACTTTAAGATCACCGTACTTCCACTGCGCCCTGCTCCGCGGAACTTGATGAAGATGCAGCTGATCCACCTGATGATATTCTTGCGTTAGATGTAGTAGATCCCCCATTACCATTGCCTGAATTGGCGTCGTCGACGAAAAAATTTACCCAATATTACACGTCGCAAACTCGATCTGTCGGGATCATTTTGATCCTTCGGTAAGAAAAAGACACTGCCTGCGCCGGCTGAGGTTATCAATGGCAAGCGAAGACGATGCCACTGAAAAAACGGCTGGTCGTTCGAACAATCCAGAACAAACAAATCGTCCTGAGAGACACCGAAATGTAGAATGTGGTTCGATGTGGGAGACGTAAAGATCTTGCTTCCACGCGAATCGCTGTACCAGCGCGTGCTGCGCGGGACTGTATGCGGTCCTTCGCCCCGTAAATCCGCGTAGTACTTCAACGCTAGCGACGGCATTTGCAGAACCCACGCCGCGCTGCCCTTTCGGGATGGATCGGTACTCTGATGAAAACTTGCAAGGGAGATGGCTCGATTGCCAAAAATGATGTCCTCAAATATTGGAACTTTATGTTTATTCCAGCTTGCCGTTTTCCCAGTTTCAACGTGCCTTCGCTCCTCTTCGACCGCGTTCCCGAATGAGTGCTGGTATTGTTGCGACACTGCCGCTAAAAGTTCATCATGAGCACCCCGCATCGCACTCATCTGACGCCCGCCTTCTCGTCTTACGGTAGAAACAGATCCAGAAGGAGCGCTGCTCATGCTCGCTCCCGCATTGGCATTACTTGTGCCTCTACTACCAGAATGAGTTCTTCCCTCTTCATCTTTGTCTTCAGAATCTGAGAAACCGCCGCAATCGTGTAGGCAGGTGTTGCAATGCGTCGCACCGCAGTCCTCACAAACCGTGTAGTCCTTGTGATCAAGCGAAGCTGGTGCGAGATCCTTCGGCATGCTGAACATAATTGACTTGTTCGTAAGTTGCCCTCTATTATTGTGGGCTCTTTTACCGGGTACATCGCACTGGAATTCTCCCACAAAGGAGAAAATCAACTGCACTACCTCCGTCACGCCAGCCAACAAGCCCATGCCTTTTCTTACGCCTCCGCATGATGGCTTTCTGCTTACTCCAAGAAGAAAAAGATGCAACTTATTTCGTGTTGGGTCAAACATGCGGTGATTCACTGGAAAATGTTTACTGCAAAAACCTGGGCGGTAAAACACGTTTGCCGCGGCGTAATTGAACGAATCGTAGTGCCCGACAAGTGTCAAATCGTTGTAGCGCCTTTTGCCGCCAACACTGGGAACTATTTCAAGATGTCGCTTGCCGCACTCCGCACAGCTTCGGGTGTTCTGGAAACAAGAGCAGGAGCCACTTTTTTTCAAAATTTTGAAAGGACAGTCAGGACATTTGTCGAGGTCGGGGCCCGCCTTCGGTGCTCGTCCACCGCAGCCGTCGCAGCCAGAGTACTCAATGCAGCTATCGCAATACACTCCGGAAAAGATGTCTTGCTGGGACGAGGCCCCTCGTGCCTGAGCGTGATCAACAAGAAGGCCTGTTCTGACGATGTTATCGGACACTGTACAGGACACTTTCCGATTGCAGAGCAAGCACTTCTCGCCAGGACATGCGGTGCAGTGGCTCGCGCAGCACTTCCCGCATCTATAGATTTCAAAATCTGGATTGCCGTCACTGGTGCTAGCTGCATTCCCACTAGGGAGGTGCGAAGATGATTGCGCGTTGTTGCTGCTGCTACTACTACTATGATTTTGTTCTCCAGCACGCTCTTCGTCGGAGGAAGACTCTAAGGATGAAGACTCTTCGTTTACATCGCGTCGCCTCTGAGGAACTTGCATCTGCTGTGGTTGCGCGCGACGCGGAAACTCGACAGGCCCCCCTGTCCCACCTGGAGCTCTATTGGTGTTTCCACCCTGTGGATTCTCGTTACGGTTCCTTCGCCTCTCAAGACGTTCCGCTTTGGTTTCAAAGCGGAAGGGTTCCCGAGTACGGCCATCAGCCTTCATTCCGCAGCGCCAACAGTGCGACCGCATCTGGCGCGCGCGTCTGTCGTACTGCCGTTCCTCCTGACGCGAAGGTAGTCCATGAGTCCTCCCCCCGTGCATGAGGCCCTTCATCATCATTTCTGCAATCGCCATATTGTTGTTCAGGAGGAATGAATGGACAAAAAAAACAAAAATTACTACTTACTTACGGTGCTAACGTCACAAAATCAAATGTAGCGTACCATCCTCGTCGCAGAAGAAACAAGAGTTGTAGAGTCTACTTGCTCCCTTTGACATCAGAAACGAAAACTAAGAACTTCCGACATACCCATCACGCGATCATTCTTGTTTCCGAATTTTGGAGAAAATACAACAAAGCATGGCTATCCCGGTGCCTGTTGAGTGTCATTCAATGAGTTATTCTGGAGGTCATCTTGGTCGTTGAATGCATTCAACAACATGTCTGTGCATTGCAATATTTCTCCTGTGGGTGTGTTATATGACCTCCTGCGCCGTCTACCGTGTCGGAGCATGTATACTATATATTTATAAGTACTAGTCAATTGAGGCATGCAGAGGTTAGAAACATTCCACCTCGTGTTGTCTCACTGTTTCGTCGTAGTGGCTTATGAGGCGATCCTGTTCATGGCTAGGCATTTCGACGTATTCCCTAAAATCCATAGAGAACTCTCCAAGACCCATCGTCAAACTCCGCAAGGTCTTGGCATATCCGAACATTTGCCGTAGGGGAACGATCACCTCTAGCATCGGGGGTTAGAGGAAGTTGGAAGATGAAATTTTGGAGACTAGAAGGTAGTTTTAGGTAGTTTAGATTCATAGGTTGTAGATGTGATTATGATATTTGGAAATAACACGTCGTTCATAATAATGTTAATGTTTCTTGACTTACTTACTTTGCTTCTTGACTGCGGAAATCAGTATCAACAGCACTGTCATAAACATTATCACTCCCCACTGGCGTCGTATTCTGCACCGTCCCTTCGCGTTCGCTGAGTCCCTGCAAAACCGCTGGCTGCGCTTCTCTAGGAACAGTGACTTCCACATTCATCTGCGGTTCTAGGATGTGAGGGCCTCCCTTGTCCAGGCAGTGTCTTACAGCCCCTCTCATTGCCATCTGAAACGCGATGTCACTGCTGTCACACTCATGCGCCTTGCCATCAGTGACGACGCATCGCAAGTGAATCAAGGGGTGGCCGCTTAGGAAACCTTGGGGATTAGAAGATGTTGGCGAAGAGTGACTATTCTTTTATTCGATCCTGGTTCATGATCATCATCATCGTGCTCTTGAAAAACTTAAAAATCCAAATGATTCGCATTCGCCATTTTTCTTTATTTTATGTCTTAAGTCTAAGTACTCGCAATGGACGAGTCTCTGCTATTTCAAATACAATCGATCATGCCATAATCTTACACGCTTCCAAAAACCCTTTTTCGATAGACCCATGGTAATTTTTCGGCACGTCATTCCCAGACAAGTTGTTTACGAACTCCACGTAGTCTCCCAGACTACTGATCGAGCTGTCTCCACCTCCAGCTAAGAGTCCACCAGCGCAACCGCCAGCACCTAACTCTCCTGATTTTGCTAGTTCTGCTGCTTTTGCGATCAGGTCTTCCTCCGGAATAGGTTCAAAATACCCCATAACCTTCCCGTATTGCCCTTTGCCACCACTTTGCCGCTTGTATGTGTAGTCGAACGGCGTTTTCTGACTGATGCACTCTTTGTAGCTGACCCGCGGTTCACCCACTTGGACGTTTGTGCAGTTGAATTCGCGGAGCATGCGTTCGAGGTAGATTTCGAGGTGAAGTTCTCCCATGCCTCGCAAGACCTGCTCCTTGGTCTCCGGGTCAGTGTCCAGGTGAAAAGTGGGATCTTCCCGCTTAAATCTTGCAGCTGCCTTGTTAAAGCGCACACTTTCGTCGTGGTTCATGCTTTTCACCCCCAGCGACATCACTGGCGCCGGCACATTATGACAGGAAAAAGTGTACTTAATATAGATACCTCTCAAGAAATAAAGTCTCAAGAAATAAAGAGGCCTTTATTTGGTAAATGAAGTTAGCATTATATATTTAGCAAGAGCCTACTTTTTCGAGAGTCGTGAGTACACTTTTTCGCTTCATACACATGCATACTGGTACAAGCAATTTTGGATCGGCCGTCAGTGAGTGTGGTTCCACTCGGACACTCTAGACCTGGAACAGCTACTATATCTCCGGGTCCAGCTTCTGGGACTTCCCGAGACTCATTCGAGTGCATCTTCACCAATTTCTTCAAATTAGAGCGGAGGACCCTTAATATCCATCTTCAGACTCATCTCGGAGCTGTTTTTCCCTTACGGGACAGCCTGGAGTATGTTGTAGATGCTTCCGAAGATAATAATTAGCGCAAGCCTTAATCAAAGTCGTCTTTTTCCCTGTGCGCAAGTCTTGGATGCTCATGCCCTTCTTCAAGCGTCCTTGGTAAATACGCACGTAGGTTAACACACCCAATTGGGGACTGTCTTGGATTTTGAACCCGTACCCAATCAACGGTGCATCAAAATCTGGCTGGAGAACTACAGAACGAGGTCCACCTGCTTGTTCGATCTCTGCGTTGTTTTCTTCTCCTTTCGATCCTCCACCCATGTCCAGACCCTTATTCACTCGATCCAACGGACTTGGCAGGTACATCCCCACACCATCTAGAAGCTCCTGGACACCCTTATTCTTATAGGCAGAGCCGCAAAAGACTGGACTAAATTTGCGTTCTAGAGTCAATTTTCGAACGGCAGATTGGATTTCAGATGGTGAGAAAGCATTCTCGCCTTCCTCTAGATACTTGGCTGCGAAGTCGTCGTCTAAGTCTGCTAGCGTTTCTATCAGTTCCGTCCGCACTTCCTCCATTTTTTCGCGGAGAGCAGTGGGGATATCGTCCGAATACTCACGGTGCTGGCCCTGGTCGCTGGTAATGAAGGATGAAGGACAAGGAACTACTAAGGATTCAAGGAGTTTCAAAGCTATAACAGGACGAGACAACTAGAGTTGTCAATCTACTGTCGATTGTTTGTATAGCACAACAGCAGGAGAACATGAACAATAAAAGATTCTTTCAACATAACAGAAAAAGTGACAGCGCGGCGGTGGATGACATCGATTACACCCTCAAACTTGTCCTCTGCACCGATCGGGACTTGGACCAGAGCGACAGTTAAACCTAACTTTTGCCGTATCTGCTTGGCCACGTAGAAGGGATCAGCGCCGTTTCGATCCATTTTATTGACGAAGACAACGCGTGGGACCTGGTAGAGTGGCAAGGCTGTAGGGGGCTATGGAAGTCGAATCAATGGCGTTGTGAGTGGTCCTCGAATTAATTCTTGTTCTGGACGATAAATTGAATTATAATCAGGAGGTCTTCTAGAAAAATTATGAGCATTATAAATAGTACCTCGTATCTCGTCATCTGTCTGTGCACGGTCAGCGTTTGCGCTTGTACGCCTCCAACCGCACAACATATTTAGAGCCTGCCAGAATGCATCTTGGCCCCCTCATCTTGACCCCTTTTAATACCTTGTATTTCAACACGAGAATACATCAAGGGAAAAGGGGACACTAAATGTTGCCGAGAATGATGGAGAGAATGGTCATGGTCATGTACTTCAGGTTCGACCCTTACTGGCCGCCATTTTTGAAGCAAAACTTACACAGAGGTAAACTCATTCACGAGAATACAAGGGACAAGGGTACACTAAATGTTGCCGAGAATGATGGAAAGAAAACTTACACAGAGGTAAACTCATGGTAAGGCCATATGATGGACACTAAATGTTGACCATAACATATCATCACCGCACCATCCAATACCCTTAGTGCTCTCTCCACTTCAATTTGGAAGTCGACGTGGCCAGGAGTATCAATAATGTTGAATTCGTTGTCTCCCCAGTTGCAGAAGGTAGCTGCACTCTGGATTGTAATCCCCCGCTCTCGTTCGAGCACCATGCTGTCCATCTTCGCGCCTACGCCGGATTTTTCCCTTAGAGTCTCCGTCAGTGGTGGATAAAAAACAACTTATAACAGAGCAGTTTATAAGGTTTCACGGCTCGCATGGCATGGAGTGCATGGATCACATGGAGTAGCATGGAGCTAAAGGGGGAGCTTCTTGCGCCCCTTAAAGCTCTGCGCTCCATGCACTCCATGCTACTCCATGCACTCCATGCGCCATGCGTGCTATAAACTACTCTGTTATAATATATCATCTACTTAATATGGAGTCAGTGTCAGTGGTGGATAAAAAATAACTTAACTTAAATCTAAGTATATAAAAGTGCACGAGCTGTACTCTTTAATACCTGAGCAAAATAAGGACTACAGCTCGCTGCGCTGCACAGAAGTGCTAGTACGACCACGTGGTCGAAGAACAACTACAACTCTCCGTAAACCTCTGACATCATGAATCTCCTTTATTCGACCAGTGTAGAACAAGATTCGTTCTGTCAGGGTCGTTTTGCCGCTGTCGATGTGCGCTGAGATACCGAAATTGCGCATCATCGCTACCTTGGCTAGTCGTGGATCGGTTGACGGGGTGGGTCTAGGCTTGCTAGATGAAGCGGATGAAGAAGCGGCGGTGGCGTCAGATGATGCAGCTGAGGCAGAGGTGGACATAGACCTTGATGTTGACCTGCCACTAAAAAGCAGACCTCCGGATAAAAGGCCTATCTGCGAGCAGTCTGAAGACCCTTTTGCTTGCGTCCATCCAGGAAAGCCGCCAGGACATAATGCGGCATTGCGGTGCGGCGCGCCCGCACGAAGAAGGACTCGCTGTCGCCCCATCACTACGCGTCGTTCACAAGCTGCCGGTTTTCACGATGCAAGCAGAGACCGAAAATATTTCATGAACATTCGCGTGCTTGACGATGGCGTGTCAACATTTTTGTCTTTGAGTGTCACACATCAGCATAGCGCACTTTCCTCTCTTGAAAAGTTCTTTGAAACGAGAATTTCTTAAAGGAAAACGCTCTCTCTCTCTTCATCTTGTTCTCTGACTCGATCTCTCCAATTTCCCATCTCGCTGCTTGTCTCAGAGTGTCACTTTGGAGTGAAAGCTACGTCGTGGCAGTGGCACACACACACACACACAACTTCACCTGAAGATGTCTATAGCCGCATCCTCTTCTAACGGACGAAGACTAGACCTTGCTCAATGGAGGGTAAAAATATCGTAGAGGATGATGAATGGGGAAAGTACAAGCCAGATTCTACTGAGAAAGGCAAATCAAATGGGGGCAAGGGAAATGTCGGAGTTTTTTCAAGTTTAGGGCTACCTCACGTCTATCAATGATGAAAAGTATGGAAATTCTTGCCTGCGCATCTTTCCATTCACAGAGGAAACAACGACAACAGAGTCCTTTGCTTTATCAGCTGAGGAAATGCGCGCAAAATGGAGTCGTGTTGAAGAGTCGTTTGTTGCAGCAGCAGCAGCAGCAGCTTGTCCGTCATTTTCTCCTATTGTCAACAAAGGCTTCAGCTTTCCACAATCGACTCGAAAAACATCATCTGGCAAGTCGGTCAGCTCAAGACGCCGACGTTTTTTGCCTTCATCCTCCTGGTAAGCTTCTTGATCTTCAACAATTTGAAGCTCGTCAAGTTCATCAGCGCTTTGTCCCGATTTCGCGGCCACGAGATCATAGTCCTCCATAGTCTCGAGTGTATCCTTATCACTAGCGTCCAGAGGTATAATTGAGGATCCTCCGTTTCGTATCGACTTCGAGGATACGCTGGTCGCTGGTGGCACTGCATCCTCGATGATAGTACCTGGAAGTTTCCGTTTCTTCGACGCCAGAATAGATGCTATAACATTTTTCACTGCCTGTCGCGTCTTTGGTCTCTTCAGTTGCTTCACCGTGGATGAGGCTGCCTTTCGACGCTCAAAGTAGCCGAATTCGCAAGCACGACCAGCACTCTCCGCATCGATAACCACTGCTTGTCCGACGGCAAGTGTCCTGGATAAAGGTGGTACAACATGGACTTTTTCATCCTCGCAGTCCTCGTCTGCAAAAACGACATGCTTGGAGCTCGTCTGGATAGGAGCAGTTGGAGTAGTTGCAGCAGGAGTATCACTGGTGCTGGTCATTTTCAATTGCGTCGTTCCTCTATTATCGCCAAACCTTGCTCTGTGATGCTCAAGATCTCCTGACGAGGAAGCTCCTTCACTCATCGCAACATACCCACAAACCCCTCTCCGCCTCTTCTTCTTTTTCCTGGCTACTTCTTTCCAGCCTAAACGCTCAAGGTCTAAAGCGGCTTGAGCCTCCGCTTTGTCCGCTTTGCGTTTCTTCAAAAGCTCGCGACGTTTAATCCGCTGTGCTGCGCCAGAAATAGGCTGTCTGCGGTTGAGGTACATTTCTATGGAGTCGCTCCTGTGTAGTTCGTGCTTATCAGCATTTCTTTCATCGCACGCCGGTTCGGATACTTCTATACGTGAAACCTGTGTGTGAGGCAGATCTTCAAGCGGAGAAGACTCAGCTTGACCTTTGCTAGCTCCCTTGCCCTTCGAATTCGAAGAGCCCGTGCCACTGCTTCCCTTCTGGCCACAGCCTTTTCCTGGTGCTCGATGAAGATGTCGTCCTTTCTTATAGTCACCAGTGCTCTCCGATTTCGCCTTCTCATGATATTTCATAGCCACTTCATGACTCGCGAAATAGACATAGGCTGTCCCGCGACAATATCCGTCACTATCTTGAAGAATCGAGGCTCTATCCATCTCAGGGAACTGGTGCCGAAGTGTCGTCTCCGTTGTGCAGGGTGGTAAGGCGTGAACTACGATGGAACGAACATGCGCGAAGTCGATAAAATATTGTGGAGGCTGTTGAAAGCCTTTTCCGCATCCGCTATTTTCATTCGTATCAGGTCTCCTCTGGTGTGGTCGTCCCGCCTTGCCCTTCGACGTCGAGAAGACTTGCTTACCCTTCTTGCCGTCAACATGCGCATTTGGCTGTGGTGCTCCTTTCCACGATCGCTGGTGGTTCTTGCCATCCAGCGCTTGTTTATGCCCTTTCTGGAGGTAGTTGTTGCCGACAGGATCAACATGATTTGCTGCTGGCTTAGGACCATGTTGCCCTTCCTTCTGGATGTGGCCGCCATTCGAAGACGAGGCAGGCTGACTTGGCTTTGCAACACTTGATGATGGGGTGGCTTTGCTTGTTCCCACCGGACGAACAGCAGCACTACTAGGCGCGCCTGAAGCCTTTTTCTGCTTGCTTCCCGTTGTAGCTCGCTTTGTCGCTGTCGTGTTAGTTTTCGTCGAAGTCGCTGGTTTGGAGGCCGTGGGCACGACGTAAGAGCCGCTTATGAAAGCGTCGAGGTCGTCCATTTTTTTTTATAAAACCGTAGTGTACTAAGGCTAACCGAACAGGGAACAAAAGATAGTCAAAATCATCTTTCCGCCGCCATTTGCACCCGCAGTTATGCACCTGTAAAAAAGAGAAACAGTGAGTCGTACGAACGTTAGTGTTAGAAAAATCAGATTGTGAACATTTTCAAATCCTTAAGGCTGGAGCTTCTGCGTCGATGATCTGTTCTTGATCTACTAGCTACCGCAGAGGATTCTTTATCCATATTTCATTTTACCTTCGTCTATTGCCTTGTGAGTGAACTTTTGTAGAACAATATCATCGATCGATAGACCTGCTCGCTGATCATTTTTAGGTAGTGGTTGTCCACTATCGTGTAACTTTTTGGCTTTCATTCCATATCCATCACGCCCTTAGCACGCATCGATCCTTCTTGTTTCGTGTCATAAGAAGAAAAAGAACTTAAGAAAACTACAACTACTAGGGAAAAAGAGTTCACAAGATTGTACGAGTTAGAAGAACAAAAATTTCAAGTTAGAAGAACTACAAGAACGCTGCTTTTCTATTCTGATGAAACAAGAAAGATAATACGAATAAACCAGAATAATATTGTCAAATTCGAAAAAGATCTGCTACAAGAACTTTAGCTCCATCTTCTAGTTATTACAACACGCGCTAATATTTCTAGTTCTAAATACTAATGTACCTACTCTTACCATGAAGATGAAACGAACAACAAATGCGTAGTATCATTAAATTTTTGTTGACAGCAACGATCTTCATGTTGCGGACATATTATGAGCTGCAGGTAGAAGAGCCTGAGCCTCAAGCCCTTCTTCTATCGCTTTCCTGTCGCAGCTCCTGTAATCTTGCCTCAAGTTGCCTGGTTTCCGGATCTAGAGTGTTTCGCTGATCTAGATGAGAATACTGGGAGGACGCAGAGCTACTGTGTGAACCACCTCCAACTAGCTGCGCGATCCCTTTGATGTCAGTCGTGGTCTGCAGAGGATCTACTGTCCCGATCGTCTCTAGTTTTTCACACACTGAATTCAACAAACTCGCCGTGTTCAAATTCCGCATGCGACAGCTCTCAGGAGCTGGCGGGAGGGCAATTACAGGTGGATAAACTGATGTTCCTCCTCCTGCAATGTTGAATAGCGGATTTTGCTGTACTAGTAGTTGTGATGTCGATGCGGAAGAACTCGATGACCCAGATGAAAATCGATTCTCTAGTTTGTTCTGTGCATTGACACCTTGCCCATCAGGAGCATCTTGTTCTGGTGGTGTTCCCTTCGCATTTGGAGTCGGCTCCTTCAGTGTATGGTGCTGTTGATGCGAGTGCGATGATCTATGATGAAGTCGGTGAGGACCACCTGCTAACAATCCTTGGTGAGACACAAGGAGATTGCTGTTGAAATTTACCTTCGCACCAGAAGCCCCACCACCTCCGTAAAAAGCAAATGGCGCAGCTTGTATTTGTTGTCGCTTATCATGCTGTTGCTGGCCTGGTGGGCGCTGTGGAGGATGAGCGGTTGTATTCGTTGACGCAGGTAAAAACAGCTCTTGAGGAAGTATTGTAGGTGTCTTTCCCACAGCAAGTTGCTGTTGTTCTTGCGGCAGCATCTCCTCCATCCGACCTCCTGTGGTCAACGTGCTTCCTAAAAACGCAGGAGTTTTCCCACTGCTAGCACTACTTCGAGGACTTCCTAAGATTGTTTTTTCACTTCCAGTTGCACTGGCCATATCTATTGGTGCTTGAAGGTGAGCTTGAAGTTGAGGTTGCTGGAGTTGCACAGTTGTTGTAGTTCCACCTGGCCTCGAAGGGAGCTGAAGATCTCTAAGTTGGGAGCTAGTGGCACCAACAACATTGGGATTATGTCTCATGTGGCCATGTTGACCACTCTGTAGTTGGGGTTTTACTCCTTGTAGTTGAGGCATTTCTGCGTTTGCAGTTGTTTGGTTCTGCTTTTCTGGTCGTGGAGCCACCTCTCCTCTAGTTGTATGCGCGTTTGCATAGCTCATCACATTGTGGTATAAAGCAGCTCCCGGATTAAGACCTACAGAAGTTGTTTCAGGTGGACGGGCTGGAGCTGGTTCATTCAGATTCTGTTGTATCTTTGTGAATGTTGTTGCTCGTCTTCGTCCGTCTAACAGTAACATGTTTTGGATTTGGTCCTCTAGTGGTGGTTTGGTCCATATCCCGTGTGTGATTTCCACTGGTGTAGGATAAAACAACTTCACAGGCTCAACACTGCTCGCTTTGTTAGTTTGGCTCTGAGGCTTAGGATTGATGGAGGACAGGCCGCTTGCTGTACCAGGTGGCGGTTCTGATTCTTGTTGTTGTCCTGGTCCACCTTGAAGATTCTTCGCTGTGGTCGTTGCAACAGCACTCTCCTCACCTCCACTAGAAGAAGATGCTTGTTTTACACTGTTTTGTTGGTCCGCGACACTTTTGTTGCTAGAAGAGGTTGCTTTCGTAGCCGCATTTAATATGTCCTCTATGGCCGATGCTGGTGGTCCTATGTTCTTGTCAGCATCACTAGAAGTAGGTGCCCCTGCTTGACTACCATTGATAGCTCCTGCCTGTTGCATAAGCAGCATCTGTTCTCGTATGTACTGTGGATTTGTCACATTCAAAGGTGAGTCAGGTTCTTGAGGCAATGTTTGCTGTGCTACTTCTTGAGGAGGAATGATGCCGATCTGAACTACAGGTGGGTGCTGTCCCGTGAAGCTCTGCATTGCAACGCCATGCGGCTGGAAAGAACCAGGTGGAGCGACTCCAGTTGGTGGCACGTTCATTCCACCAGCTGCTCCAGTTGGAGGCGGCACCTTCATTCCACCTGCTGAAAGAGCTCCGCTACTCGTACTACTTGTCGCTGCCCCAGTACCCACGTGCACTATCTGCTGCCCTCCAGTACTAAAGGATGGTCGATTTTGGACAGGCATGAAGGCAGAACTCATATGGGAACCCACACTAATCCTTGGCCCTGCAGAAGATCTGCTTTTGGGTGAGTGCCTCACCATCAAATGTTGGCGCAGACTACCCGTTAAGCTTCCGCTAGACGCCAATGGGACCACTATGTTGTTGGAGGTGGTACGTAAAGCAGTTGTTGTTAGAGGTGGTGCGTGATTGATTGTCGTAGCTGCGTTCTGATTGATGTTGCTCGTACTAGAGGGATGCTGTGAAAACAGCTCGGCATTCCCATTAGCAGGTTGGCCCATAGGAGGGGACGAGTCTCCCGCTTGAGGTCCCTCTGCTCCAACACTAGCGTCGCCTTCCAGCAAAGGTTGCTGCACCGCAATTGTACTTGTGCCCGCTAATGATCCTCCAGCAGCAGCGTCAGTGGTATTCTGAGTCGTTGTCGTTTCTGCTTGTGGCCGCTTCAAAATCGGTCGTGCGGCTACCACTGGGACTGGCGCGGACATCATCCTGCTCATGTTATTGTTTCCAGTACTACTAGAAGAAGCTCCACCATACGATGCTCCCGCGTTGAATTGCTGTGGCTGCTGCTGTGCTCCTGTCTGGAACATGGTTGCAGTAGAGGGCATTGCACAGTTGTTGAAGTTGTTCAAGTTATTCACGTTGTAAAAGCTACCCGCACCTCCAACATTCCGAAGAGACCCACCTTGAGCAGTCGGAGTAAGCAGCGCCTCGATATCTGCGCCTGCCGGATAGTGAACACCCTCTAGAAAAAGGTTTCCGGAGAGCCTCCGATTGTCATCCATCAGAGGCGGGCCGCGCCATGCCGCTTTCACTTTAGACTCGATGTTTCGATACCTCACAGGTTGTGCATACCTCCAACCCCTTGGCCCTAGATGCGTCAACTTGTCTGTATTTTTTGCAGAATGGTCCGTAGGCGAAAACGCAAAATGCTTGCTCGTCTTCTTCCCTGGAGGACGAGAACTGAAACAACTCTGCTCTCCCTGTAGTTGCTCCTTTGAGGTAGACTGTTCTCGTCCACTAGGAAAGGACATGGCACTTTGTTTACTAGCAATATTACCTCCCGGGAACTGTTGTTGGAATCCGCCAGCTGTTGGCGAAATACTGTTATTGCCAGTAGCCGGACTGCCTGCTTTACTGCGGTTTGCACTCGCTGTTCCAGATCTCGCAGGCGGTCGATACCCGAATTTGCACGCCTGCACTTGTTCTAGGCTAGCGAGTTGTAAGCTAGTTTTCGTCGTTGATGGAGGTAACATTTGCTCAATGTCGACGCGACTCAGGTTGGCAGGCGTCAACTGTGAATTCGACTGCTCCCGTGATCTGCCTGCTAAATACTCAGCTGCGTAGTAAAACCGCTCCCCGCTAGCGGAAACTTCTGGCTTCATCCGTCGAGCTTGCTGCAAAACAACACCACACGCAGTACGCGACATTCGCATGCGCGATATAGAACCAGAATTGGTCGGATCTGGTCGGGAGATTGGTGAGAAGAATGACACGATTGTCTCAGATGAGAAGTACGTAGAGTAAGAGCTGTCCGCACAACCAGGTCAAGATTTTTCATTCTTGTCCTATTGTAAGAAAACTCAGTCTCAGCTCTTCTTCTAACTGTTAGAATCTAACAACAAGTTAATCACAACCTTCAGCAAATCCACTAGCGTTCAACACATCCCCGCTCTTCGTCCCTTGCCTGCTATCCGGTTGAAAAGATCCCGCCAGAGCACCTCCTCCTCCTGATGTGGCCGACGCACCTGTAGCTTCTAAACTAGCCTGTTGTCGGAGTTGAAACAAATGGTCGTACGGGTAGCCGTAGGCTTTGCCAGATCCTGGAAGCGGTACACCTGACGCTGACGTGCTAGAAGAAGACATCGATAATACTGTTAGAGGTAGGTTTTATTTGGTGTTCGTGGGTTCATCTCCCGTTTGTTATGGCCGTCCCTACCTAAGGGAGAGAGCCATAACAAACGGTAACAAAAACACCTTTAACCTACCCTTAATACTGGCGCCTGTGGTGGAGGTCCCGGAAAAAGCGCAGTTGAAGATACTCCAACTCCTCCGAGGACATCTACAACCTGACCACCATGATTACTCGTGCTACCAGGAATCCCATTATACTGTTGTTGCATTCCTCTATTGTACTCAGCTAATTCATGCTCCAAATGTGTGCCCGTGACTTGCATCAGCTCTAAAAACGTCGCTAGAGGAAGCTGCTCACGCGGCTGAGAGGTTCTCGTAGAGACTTCAGCATGATCTCCATCTGTTCGTGACGCTCCAATTGCTAATATCCTCTGCAATGCCGGACTCCTAGGAAGCAGAAATTGTCGGAAAAGCGCCTCCGAGATGCGCAGTCGCTGAAGCAGATACTGACATCCGCTATGCACCGCTTGTGCCTGTGCCTCTTCCGTTTCCAGAATGCCATTTCGAGTCGGAAGATCGAAGGTTTCTGTTTTTATGTGTTGTGTGTAGAATATTTTGTTCATCATCAAGGAATAAATGTGAAAGTAGAAGCTTGTGAATAATGTTAAAAATGGCATCGTCTAATTTTCTTCAAATAAAACACTGATCACTTCTCGTCAGCATACGTCCTCTATCAACATCTGGAAATTATCTGAATACTTACCAAAGATTTCCAGAAATCGATAGTAGTTCATCCACCAGGGTGGCGAAGGCACGGTCTCTGTCCGAGATTGCGGCGTTACGAATGGCCGTGGCCGCCCCGTCGGAGTTTGCTGCAACATTCTTTCAGAAATAATGGTGTTTGTATTTCTTTGTTGAACGGGCCGATGTGTGCTATTCAGTGAGCATGCTAGGTCTCTTCATGCTGCCGGTGCTAAACCGACTGCTGTCACACATGACATGCACGTGTTGCTTCTAGGTATTTGTTGACATCAACACCAAGGAAAGTCAGTACTAGTGATGTAAAGAACCCTAAATTAATCAGACATTTCTTCTAACCGCCTAGTGAGAGTTCCAGCAATAATGAGAACGATGTTTTTTGGTCATGTACTGAAAAAGCTTCCAACGAGTTCGATGCTTTTCCGAAACTTCTAAGAAATCCAAGAGATAATGGGCTTTGGGGGAAACTGCGTTAAATCTTTTCTCGCTACGCCGACAGAAGCTCGCAGCCAGCACACTGCCGAGTGATTCACTTCGTGTGTCTGTGTCCAAATCTTCTCACTTTCGAATTACGGCATCGTCTCTAGACCGAACGAGCGAGGGAACAACAGAATTCGACCGACGTCTCATCCTAATCTTGACCATTACTTATTCTCATTTCTTGTTCAATATCTTTCCGCTAGGTGTACGTCGCGCATCGGCCATCAACAACAGTTGTAGAGGACACATTCACCATCTCTCTAGATTTCGTTAGTTTTCACAGCAGAGTTTAAGTTCTTCTGTTCCTTATGAGACCAAAAGGACAAAGCTCTGTTCAAATTCGTGTTGTACTAGCGGAAAGGGGCTGCTGTCGTGTAATGTAAGTACTTTTGTGAGAGGTCCTCTTGGTTGTTGACGAGACAGCTTCACTTGGACTTATGCACCTGGTTCCAACAATCCTCCACCGTGACCACCACCAGTGCCCGCGCCACCCCACCTGATGTATTCTTCTGTCTCCGCAGCCTTGTACTCCTCTGACAGGGATAAAACGGTTTCCTTACTCACATCGAATTCCTCCAGTGAATCTGAGAACATCGCCTCCTGCCTATAGTTCTCTAAGAAAGCATTGCGGGATCGGAGCTTGTCATACTGCTTGATGCAGCGGTCAAACAAGCCTGCTATGGCTGTGTGATTCGCAAGCATCAAACCAGATACCTTGTTCTGGTGCTGGACGTACCTGTGGTGAGCCTTGGAAATTCTTTTCAACAAGATGTTGAAACTTTCAAAGGCAGACAGAGAGTACCTCCATTTCAATCGCAAACTACAACTATTTTTACTCTAATCTTTAATATCGTCTCATCATCATGTCACAACTACTAGTCTTAATATTTATGAATATAGACAGTTTAACATTGCCGAGTAGATTCACATCATCATCATCATCATAGACATTTTATTACGGCGATTGTCTGCTCAATGCAACTTGGATCGACGCTGGTCCCCACCGGATGAATTTCGCTAGTCGTCGCTCTCGTATCCTCTGGAGACTTCGGTGTACCTGGGTCGGATCCACTTCACCTTGGATGATATTCAGTATCGAGATGTACACGCCACGACGCGTCGAACACGACACCATGATATTCTTGGCGTGCAAGAGTCGCCGCATCACATCGAGAACTGTGGTCTTGCGGACAGCGGTGATTTGCGGCCGTTAGAGGATGAAATCATTTTTGAGGAGTATCTGAATCTTTTTTAGCACCAAACACAACATCAACCTGTCAGCTGTCTGAGAAGTTGATGTGAATAAGCATGTAGACCTTAGAATATTATCAAGAAACTCTCAGTGTAAGTAATCTCAAAGATGAAGTAGAGGAGCTGCTGATGATGTGATGAGTCATATATTCTCATTCATTAGTTGCTCTTTCCATAACTATCGATCATCAATGGCGTGTATCCGGTCATCAGGAAGTGGCATCTTGGTGTCGGAATTAGGGATGCCACTATCCCGACTAGGTCGTTGTTCATATATGACGGATACCTCAAAGTCGTCGTTGACGCAGCCATTACCGTTGAGACGAGAGTGTTTGTCTGCGCAAACGTTGGATTTTGCAGCTTCAAGCGATCCACTGCAATGCGGTTCAAAGCGGTGTTGTCTAAAACCACCACGCAATCACTGTTGAGCGCCAGTCTCTTCAAGGTCAAGACACTATTATATGGCTGGACCACAACGTCACTGGTTTCCGAAGACAGCAGTGGGAAGACCGAATAGGTCATCATCAGCTTTTTGGGATACCTGGAGGTGACGAAGAGGAAGATGTGCAGTAAGACCGACGAACATGCAATAAAAACTACTACATCTACATCTACCTAGTAAACAACCAAATTCCATCGGGATAAAGGTGTCGAGTACCTGTCATTGATATTTTCGAGTATATGACTCCCCATACCGGATCCCGTACCTCCTGCAATAGAGTGGATAAGCGTGAAACCCTCGAGCGAGTCACTCCCATCTGCTTCTCTATCTATCATTTCGAATATCTCCTCGCAATGCTTTTCTCCCGCGTGAAAGCCCTTCGCCTGTTGGTGAGGAAATCTGGCGGAAATGGAAACGGAAACGCCGATGAAGCATTCAGCTTTTTCGTAAAAAAGTCCTGACATCGACGCCCTAGTATGGCATCAAAAGTCGTATGAGTTCGAAAAACTGAAATAAGCAAGTAACTGATCAGAATAACCGAGATACTGATGAGAAGGAAGGATAGCCTTGATGCTATAAGCTAGTGCCTCCCTTATTTCAGTTAGTAACTCGGTTATTTTGAGCTTTCGAATAATTTCTAGTACATCAAATCCCAGTGTTGGACTTAGACGTGATTTTTCTAGTCTATTGTCCAAATGTTGTAGTTAGACGTGATTTCTCTAGTCTATTGTTTCTCTAGTCTATCGTTACCCAATTGTTCCCTGCTCCTCCGCCTTCTTTGCTCATGAAGATGTTTTCCGGGTTTCTTAGAGGAAAGTCTTGATGTCCTAGGTGGTTTTTCATCATGATGAAGATTAGTAATCAATCAGTGAATCAACCTGACTTCAAGTGAACAACCTGACTTTGTCATCAAGTGAACAACCTGACTTTGCGTTCCTTGAAGAATACAACATCTTCATCATGATGAAAAACCACTGCAAGATCCTCATAAGTTGTAAAGGTCTGAATAAGCGGAATTCTGGATAGCGTTGATAACTCTGGGCTCCAAGTCGATGAGCAACGCCCGTGGTATGTAATGCTCGTCGTCTGCTTGATAGAAGAAAACATCTGTTCTTAGAAGAGGCTGTGCTCTATTTTGCTTTTTATTTAGTCATGTCCCATTCTAATTCTTTTCGATTTCATCCAGCTTCTATAGTTTCTTATGGAGCTAGACATCAATGCGCTAGACATCACTGTCATTGGTCAATCCCAGACACAATCAAATCTGTAAAGGTCATGACGAGTTAATCACCATCCCAAGTAGACTTACTTGCCTTAACTTCCTATCATCCGCTAAATGCGTCGCATAGTCTTCCAGAATTCCCTTTTGGTTGATCCCATGCTCAGCGCAAAGCGTCTTCCAGAACTCCATACCGATCTGGTTGCCGCATTGGCCCACTTGTAGAGTGATGATCTCACGCGGCATCTTTTCGGTTCTTCTCCTTGTCCGACGGACAGAAGGTAAAATAGGATCAGATTGAAGGGGACAAGTCTGTTGTCCTTGTCGTTCGACCTTGGAATATTATGCCGATGACAAATGCTGTCCACCGCACAGTTGTTCGTGTAAGGAGTGCCTGCGAGTGTTCGCCCACCAGCAGGTTATCGCCAGTGAAATACCGTCGAGATTGATGAAGCGGCTTCAACAGGTTCAGGCTTCGATGCGGTCATGCGCCAGCTGCTCGATGTAAGGCAGAGTGGCACCTACGGAGAACCAAGGACGTTGTCGGTTCGGTCATATTTCTTCATCGTGTTCATGATACTATTTTTTACCAGGACTTAATACACAACTACGTTGTAGTAAAGATAAAGACAACCTCAACTCTATTTTTTTTTTGATGAAGATCTTGATCGTCGTGACAACAGGAACAGTAGACGAGAGCAGTTATGAAGTACACCGTACATATGCGAAGATCTGGTGACAACAGGAACAGCAGAGACCAGTTATGAAGTACAACACCGTACATATATGAACAAGATCTGAGCAAAACCGACAATGTGCACAGCATCCTCCTGTGAGTCTCAAGTGATCAAGCCAGACCCGCATGCTGCTTCATCTTCTAACTATTTGGTGCTCGACACGAGCTGCAGGATGCAGAACACGTAGATGGTGCACCATCAAGAGTTGATGAAACTCGAACCTGAGGCTAACGCTATTGATGTTGATCTAATATTTATAATTATGCGTCATAATAATTGAGTAGTAAGAGGAAAACGACAAGGACAAGAGTTTATGGATTCGCGTAAGCATCAGGTTAGTCATACACGACTCCTTGGAGATGTGTCCACATCGCCTATTCGCCTTGGCTGATGTGCGTCTTGGAGACGGGTGTGTTTAATATGGTAGTTCTCAATGATCTTGGATATCTGACTTTGACAGGAATATGGTTGGGTTGTTGGGGTTCCCAGCATCATCAAATTCGTTGTAGTGAATCATCCTCATCAACACGTCATAAACCCGTACACACACAGCAGTAGGCCCAAAAAGCCACTGTTTACGTAATTCCACACTTTTGTGTTCATCGCGTACATTGCCAGGATCATTGACGTGACTCCATATGCCTTCTTGATCCATGCGAAACCGCCCGTCTGGTCATTCACCGTGAGACACACGATCATCGGCAAAAGCGCAAGAGTGAATTTTATCACAAAATAGGCTTCCGGCATCGGTTCGAGGAAGGTGCCGATCGATACTAGGGAAAGCTGTGGTGTGCCGAAAGCACCCTCTAAAAGACCGGGAATGCTACTTGGAGGTTCCACGGCAGTTAACGGAAGATAGACGAGCGACAGTGCGAAGAGGAGGAGGCAGAAAGCGAACTGCCCATTTCTTGCGAAGAGGGACTGGATGTGAGGCCACGTCTGTTCAGAAGAGGGAGAGAGAAATACGAACCTTGACGGAAAATGCTCATCAGACCAAGCCAGAGCCTTCAAAATAGAGAATCCAATCAAGTTGCTAATAGTACCGTTGGATATCTCGCTACTTGCAGTGTTCCCATCGCTAAGCCTACACTGTACTTCGCCAATACTAGTGGCCATGGCGCCGTCTGCCCAGTCAAGAGCAGAAGGACTAGTAGCCACCAGACATGCCACCTTGGCTCGAGGGTGAAGAGCTTTACTTGTAGGAAGTCGTCCCGGATCTGGTGTGGGCCGATCTTAGGGTTTTGCTCGTGATAAAGACACTGCATCGCTACTAGAGTACACTCTAGACCGAAGATCGCGCCGCCGACGTACCTCTCTAGATCGAACCACGCTGTAAGACCAATGGCGAAGGCATGGAGAAGAAGGAAATTCATCAGAAACGCCGCTGTGCCGATGAGAGCCTCGTAGGTGTACCTGGTTGTAGGAAGACGAGCAGGGAAGATAAGGGATCATTGTGTTTGTGGAAAAATTACGTTCCTCTATGGTATAGGGTTCTTGTCTACTGCTCAAATTCAAGAAGTACGAGTACCCATATATCAGTAGCACGCTTCCTATCAGGCATGTTCGGAGGAATCCGCAATATGGCTTTATCCAATGCAGTGCTGCTCCTGACCAGTCTATATCATCTGGCGGACTACTTTTAGAGGTATAGGAAATCCATCGCGGGGATCATCTGGGTGCCATTTTCCTCTTGTCTTTTCTCTTCCAGATGACTTTGGAGATGAATTCCCTACCCCCATAATACTTGATGGAGATGGTGTACTTGTTCCCGAACTAGATGTGGAGGTTCCTCCCACTGTTTGCTGTCGTAATATAGGACTCAAAACCGCCGAACTGGGCAATACCCACGTTTGCGTATCTATTACCTCAAACGTCTCCAGCCACCAAGCAGCCCAAATGGCGAGAAAGAGCGAGAAGCAGAATGGCGGTGCCTTCTTCGTCTGTGAGAAGACGTGCATGAGACTCAGAATACTAATGGAGCATTCCTGGGTGAACCTAAGAGGACTTTTGTCCTCTGTTGGGTTGCGGACAGCTGACATTTTTCTTGGTATTTGATTCAAGAATAGGATAATTCTACGTCTTCATCAAGTAGAACGGTTGTAGAGCAGGATGTGAATTTTTATCATGTAGTGAGCGAGTCGTACTTAATTTGTGTGTCTTACATCTATCGCAGACATACCGCGACGTCAAGAATGACTTTCAACTTCGTTCATCTTACGCCGAAAGCTGTAATTATTGCGACTCCCGTTAGTACCTGTATTAGATACATGCCCAGAAAGCGGGCCCATCAAGGGCCCGCTGCGCTGGGCATAGGTTAACAACTAGACAGGTTGACGACTAAGAGACAGAAAGACAAACGAAAAAAGTCGCCAAGTCTGCTCGCCAAGGCTGGGAAGCTGGCCCCCACTGTGGCGAGGCTAGTGAGGAGGTTACCGCTATGGCTACTGCCTTGGCCAACTTGCTTGCTAGGGGCAAGCCAATGGGCGCCAAGGCTGGCCCGCTGAGCGTCATGGAGTCCATGAGAAGGCCACGCCTGGACATATGTAGGCACAGAGGTTGGGCCCTTTTGAGTGTGATCATGTCCAGGAGAATCCTAAAGCATAGCAGGCCCATGGGATGGCAAAACGCTGACACTGGCGAGCGTCATGGACGAGGCCCATGAGAAAGCCACGCTTGGGCATATCTATGCGCAGAGCCAGAAGCTGGGCCCCAACCTTCAGGCGCGGGGATGTGTCTAGGAGGTTGGCTGTTTCATGGACATGACGCAAGACGCCCACCACGGTCCGCGCCTCAGACATGCAATGGCCCACAGTTATCATTCTCACACACAGGCATCGACGTCCTCAGCCTTCAGCCTTCACCGACGGAGATGCATGCGCCTGGCCTTCTCATGGACATGATGACGCCCGCCAGGGTCCAACCTTATCTACTTTCTCACAGACATCGACATCCTCAACGGCTTCGGCTTTCGCAGGCAAATCTGTATACCTTTGGCCTTCTCATGGATATGATGACGCCCACCAGGGCCCACCCTTCAGACACGCAAGTGCTCAAGGCTATCACTCTCACAGACATCGAGATCGACATCCTCAACGGAACGGCTTCGACTTTCAAACACAGAGATGCACATCTTTGGCCTTCTCCTGGATATGATGACGCTCACCAAGGTCCACCCTTCAGACGTGCGCGCCTCCCTTCACGGCTAGGGCTATCGTTCTCACAGACATCGACATCCTCAACGGCTTCGACTTTCACACACAGAGACGCATGCCTTTGGCCCTCTCGTTGATATGATGATGCTCACCAAGGTCCACCCTTCAGACATGCAAGTCCTCACGGCTATCATTCTCACAGACATCGACATCCTCAACGGCTTCGACTTTCATACACAGCGATGTATGTCTTTGGCTTTCTCATGGATATGATGACGCTCACCAGGGTCCACCCTTCAGACATGACGCAAGTCCTCACGGCTCTCAATCATTCTCAAAGACATCAACATCCTCAGCGGCTTCGACTTTCGCACGCAAATATGCACACCTTTGGCCTTCTCATGGATATGATGATGCTCACCAGGGTCCACCCTTCAGACACGCAAGTGCGCACGGCTATCATCCTCACAGCCATCGACATCCGCAACGGCTGCGACTTTGAAGCGCCGAGATGTATGTCTTTGGCCTTCTCGCGAATCAATATGATCACGCTCGTCAGCCTCTGCCTTTTCAAGTGCTCACCCTCTCCCTTACAATTCTCCCGCTTTTGTGCTGGTTAGAAGTATACTGGTCAACCATCTCCAAGGGCTGCCGCGCGCTCCTGTGCCGTGGTCGATTGCTGTGCGCGGAAGGTAGTCGCGGAAGGGGAGCGAGCTAACTTTTTTCCAAAAACTTCAGGGAGGTCGTTCAGTTTTCTCTGTATTTGAATGACCTCCCTGAAGTTTTTGAAAAAAAGTAAAGGCGTTGGGCGATATATGACAAGGGTAGCGGTTGGAAGTTCGTCGGGGCGATTCGCTAGGGGTGGGCGCGTAGTGTCTTGCTGCAGATGTGGCTGGTGTACGTGAGTAGCCTACAAACTAACAGCCGCGAACACGTTAGCACGCTCTTGACACTTTTGACCTCGTAGTACTAGCAAGGTCCTTAAGGAGCCGCTGTTATTAGCCCAAGTTTATAACAGCTTGTCCTTAAGGGTCCTCCTTAAGGGAATTTTTTTCCTCTTAAGGAAAGTTATAATAACTTTTTATAATAAAAATTCCTTAAGGAAACTGATTTCCTTAAGGAAGCGCCTTAAGGAAGCTCCTTAAGGGAGCTCCTTAAGAGATTTCTGGGAATTGCTAATACTATAAATACTAATATCTTTCAGTTTTTGTAGACAAAAATCGGAAAATGTCACTCATCTGCAGAAGGAATCCAGGAGGATAAATTCTCATTGCAGCGGCCCTCGTGTTCATCATGTTGGATGCCACACAGATTGATATCGGTAAAATCTGAAAAATTTGAATTTCTTCGTCTATCAGAAATGAACACCAACTTCAAAAAGAGCACTAGTGCGTCAAGAGTTCTCTTAGAGATGGTAGAGATCGCCACGCTTGACTCAAGTTCATCTTCGGTGGAGGCACAGGATCGATACACCTAGGGATATGGAGGGATATGAGCAGGACCACGTCCTCGAGATGAAGCGATAGTGATTTTGATTTTCATCAAGAAACCACTTCTATAATTTTCGGGCTACTTGCCAATCTGTATCAGCAACTTCATCTGGTTCTGGTAACTCTTTGATCTGCTTTCTTATTGACTCCAGTACGCGAAAATGTGGTAGTTTTCTCGACGCAGCGTCGTCGTCAAGAGCCAACAAAGAGAGCAAATAGCGCAAGAGCCAACAAAGTCTCCGCGCCGCAGCGGGTGTGAAACAGGACACAAGCGTGTTTTTACGAAGAAGCTTGTCAGCATTCGATAGAATTTTTGTGAGAATTTTTCTATCCGTGGAGGTCTTCGATTTTTTCGGCGGCTCGTCGAAATTGCTCCTGTCCTGCACGTCAAGAGCTAGAGCAGCAAAAAGCACATTGCTAAGAACTGTGACTGACAAAGGAAAGCTCGAAGCAAGTGTTACCGCGTCGTCCAAAGCGTCTCTCTCTAACTTATTTTCGACGTAGTTGTTCATGTTCGTGGAACAACTAGTAGCTGCACCGTTTCTTGCACTTGCAAGCCAAGCATCTACCTCTGTTACTGGATGTGGCGTCCTCAAAATCCGGTTCCAAGCTGTCAGAATACTCTCTGCGGCTAACGAAAAGTCTCCATTGCTCTTCCGCATCTCAAAAGTGTAACAAGCCATCAAATGCCCAAGAAGAAAACCTACTGAGGGTGAGGCTACCATCTTAGGGGTATGTTGAGGGGTACTTGTACTGGAGACATCGAGTTGTATAGCATTGTTCCCAGCCGCACTTTGATGAACTTGGGTCCCAGCAGTGCCTACCTCCTCAACTGCTGCAGTAAACCCAAGCTCTTTGCCCAAAGAGAGACAGTCTGCCTTGGTTAACATAAGCTCATGAGGAGACGATGTTTCTCGTACTGGGTCTGTGGCATCAGCATGATCTTCAGAAGCAGGAGATGTCTTGTTTGAGGCTGGGGTTGTTGAGCTTGAGCTTCCTTCTTGTTCACCATCGACGTCTACCATGACAAATCTGCTTATGCCTTCTTCCAGATCCATTTTCGTCCACCAAGGTGTCCATTGTTCCGTCAGCACTACTTGAGCAGAAAACTGCGCCAGCTGTTGTCGCTCGCTTTCCGTCAGACCTAGGCTTTCTAGAAGGGTAACTTCGTCGACGTCGACTCCCTGCGAGGAGTTCAAGTTTTCCAAAGCAGTGACCAAGTCCCGTAAACGTTCAGGATCCTGGAGCAACGTGCTTTCGCCCACATGCGATGCATCTAAACCTTCGGTGCCGTGTTCTAAGAAACTGAGCTTGCTATCCTCCAGTTCATCGAGATCCGTATGCAGGCCGCTTCGTATGCTCTCGACGTCAGCGTAGTGGTCGTTTTGTCCTCGTCTCAGGCGACACGCAAGCTGGCGCTGAGAGCTCTCATCAGCACGACCTGTATCAACTTCTCCAGCACCATCAACATCTCCAACTGTCTCCTCAAAGTTTTGATCCAAAGTCTGAAGTTTCCGCAAAGCTTCCTCCATACGACGGCGCTCTTCGGGGTTCGGCTTTTGCCGTTCTCGCAGCTCCTTCTCCACCTGATCCCTGAAGAACTCTTCCGTACACCTAGGATTATGCTTCGCGTAACAGGCTAGCCCACAGTATCGAACGTCGCACTTCGGACATCGGTGTGCGGGTGTGGGGTTGTTGCAGACAGCGCAACAAGTAGGACTTCTAAACGACGTAGTTAATGAAGACGAGGGCGTTGGTGTACAAGGTGCTGTAGCGGTAGTCTGATTGTCTTCGTTCATATGCAGAAGCTCTTCTTGATCGACCTCTTCTACCAAGCCTCCATCTACTGCGTGTGCGTCGTCAGTATCTCCTTCGTGGTCCCCTACATCCGACGCTGGTGTCTCAGCTATAACTTCTATCAAAGCTCCTCCAGCTCCTCGTGAAAGACCGCTGTCGTGTTTCGGGAGTCTCCCCTTCTGCCGGTCATCTGTCGGGAGAAGGAAAACCCGCTGTGTCGCCTTTGGGAGGCTGCGCTGCACAGACAGTCGCTTCTCTACTTGAAGATATTTGTCCATTTTTCTGATGTCTTGCTCTTGCAACTTCGAAATTTCTACAACTACACCACAAGAACATCATCCATAGTGGGAGAAGTCGAAAAAAACATCATGATCTCATCCCGTATTAATACATTCCAGTCCAAGTCTCTGCCTGTAGTTAGTCAAATAGAAGTAACAACGTTGCAAAGGTTCATATCAAAGAAAGTGGAGTGATCCAGCGCGACAGATCGCCTTCGCCATCCTCGCCTTCTGTTAAAAGATTAAATTCAAGTTCAAATTCAAGTCCACGAAATTCAAATTAAATTCAAATTCAAATTAAAGTACCAGCGCATGAAATTGGAATCATCTTCAAGTCCGTTGATCCAAGAGAGAAAGATACCCATTTTTTGAAAGATCGAACTCATCATGTCGTGGTCCATGTGAAGATGATCCGCAGAACAACTAGATGTTCTTAGGATTCAGATGGATCTTGTTGTTCTTCAATTCTTCTCTTGAAAGATTGAAGTACCAGCGGATGAAATTGAAATCATCTTCAGTCCGTTGATCCAAGAGAGAAAGATACCCATTTTTTGAAAGATCGAACTCATGTCGTGGTCCATGTGAAGATGATCCGCAGAACAGGTAGATGTTCTTAGGATTCAGATGGATCTTGTTGTTCTTCAATTCTTCTCTTGAAAGATTGAAGTACCAGCGGATGAAATTGAAATCATCTTCAAGTCCGTTGATCCAAGAGAGAAAGATACCCATTTTTTGAAAGATCGAACTCATCATGTCGTGGTCCATGTGAAGATGATCCGCAGAACAGGTAGATCCTCATCATGATAATTTCTAAAAAGGTTGAATGTTGGAATTATTTATTATCTAAAACATTAGCGTATGCACTTACTTTTTCAATCAACAATATCAATCAATTTTCAATACTATTCAAGGCTAGATGCGGTTTTTTATCAACATCGTTCATGGTAGTTGTTCCTATTATTTTTCCAGATCTTCACATTTGTAGCTTAGGTTTCGAAATCTTCATTATGTGTGTGTGTGTGTGTGTAGCAAAGTATACCACAAGTAAGTGGGAAAGTCGGGCACAACAAGACCCCGCTAGCGAGCGGGTCTGTCTTTAGCTTTACTCCAGTGTGATTCTTAGGTTCATCACTCAGGTCAAAATAAAGGTTGTTTATGGTTCTTAACATTATACCTCCTACTGGTTACTAGTACTGGCAAACTTACCCTTACCAAGTCAAGATCATGTAGATCAAGAACCATTCGCCCCTTTCCAACTTGCCGGCTACCATTTCCGTCTTCTTCTGCGGAATCTTTCCGATCAAGTAGTTGATGGCGTCTTTCTGGAAACTAACAGTGTCCTGTTCCAGGTCCGTCATGCCTTTCTTGGGACTAGCCATACGCTCTTCGATTTTGTCTAGGGCTTTGAGGAGCTTCTGACGGACGCCGCCTTCGGTTTCACGCTGAATCTTTTGGGCTTCTTTGATATAAGAACGATAGGTCTTCATCTCCATGGGCAAATCGATGTTGGACGTGCCATACTTGCAACGGACCTGTTCAACAAAAATGGCATGAGGAGAATGTTGGAGAGACTTTTGCACGCCTTTCTTATTAGATCACTGACCAGGAGCTTTCGTCCCATCTACATCAACACCAGTGTGAAATAAATCAAATCAAATGCAAAAAAGTACCACGATATCATCCGTCCTGACTTCCTCGTCCTCGACTTCGTCTTCTTCCTCTTCGTACTTAAAAAGCTGAACTAATGCGCCGTCAGTGTCGACGAGAACGTTACGAAGAGCGTGCTTGATGTAGTCGCAGCCGTCAACTGGCACAATCTTGCACTTCTTTCCATCTCGCATAACAGTCGTCATTTTGTTGCGTTTCTTGTGGCGAAGGAGAAGATGTAGATGTGTCTACTTCTTCAATAAGGAACAAATTTATAAGAGCAGCTATTCAATAACCAACAGATATGTTGGCGCAAGAGGAGAGAAGAATATCAAGGATCCCAGGTTACGTAGAAGTAGTTATATCAGTAGATACCTAAAATCAGAAAATTAGGTACCTTCCCTAATATAGTGTAAGGAAGGGTATAAAGACTATGTTGAGTCTGAAGATAATGCAGAACGGGTAGGGAGCTGTTGAGAGATACTAAACCTGGTTGCATGGGATTGGGATCAGAAATGCAAATGTCTTTGTATTTTACCAAGAGTCTTCGGGCATTAACTCTCTCATCAGAACTCACAAAACATGGCTCACTCGGTCAACAGAAGCTGGCATCTCTACAGAAGTCATGTCATGTCATGATACCTCGATGTCCGTTCTAACTAACGGTCTTGAGGCGATTACTTGTCCCTCAGCTCACAACTTAACTTGTCAAGCAAGGAAGCCCCCCAGATTCAATCATCAAGACAGACTTTCGCTCCTCAAGTTTTCTCCTTCCTCATTCCGGCTCGTGCACTCCTCTTGGTGCAAATTGATCTCTCTTGTTCCTCCTAAACACCGAAAACTACAGCATGCTTTTATCCCCTCCCCCCACGGCAACGTTTCTTTGTGCAAACTTGAACTTTTTTGATTCAAGAATATCGATGTCCTTATCCTTAAAAAGAAGACCTAAGTAGTGATCCTAGCAATGAGCATTTACTCATCTTATTCACGACTTTCTTGCGTTCATTGTGATCCGTACATGTTAACTACACCTGGACCTAGATCTTCGATGTCGATGAAAACAAGAATTTTTTGATAAAGTTGGACTCTCAATGAGTATGAGACCACAAGCATGTGACTTTTATGCCAATGATGTTGACAACGAACGATTTGCGTGGTGTCACGAATGGTATCAACCAACAACATGATCATAATCATTTCTTATGCGGCTTATAGAATTTCATACTGAGCGTCGCCTTATCCGCATCCCTTGCTTTTTTCGCGTCTTCTCTTTTCTTTTTTTGATCGGCTGAGAGGCCATGTGAGTCCACTGCAGCGACGTCGGACTTCTTATCCTTCATATTAAAGTGTAAACATTCCACGTGCGTGAAATAGGCCAAAAAAGCTGCTGCTTCCATCCAAAAGATTCCATCCGCTTCCTGCACCCTGATCCCCTTGCCATTGTCTTTTACCAGTTTCCAGCTAGCGTCATGGTCGTCACTGAAAGGCCCAGTCCACTCATGGTTGTCACCCCACGGATTCCTTAGTTTCACTAATGTGCGTTTTTTCCCGTCCACACAGTTGATGTCCAAAACTTGCAACACCGAATACGCGTGGCCATCTACCAACCCGTCACTGCGCTTGTTCTCCGCAGCTGTTCCGTGCACACCCACTGCGCAAATCGGGTAGAAATTCTTTTCTGCCTTACGTAGATAGTCTATCATCCCCATCCCTTCGACGATCTCATCTGTCTTCTTCTGCGCACAGTACTCGAACCCCAGCCGATTCCCAGTTGGATGAAAGGACGCTATTGGTCTTCGCCGATACTGCACATGCTTTACTGTGTCGGCGGTGGCTTTGTCTACGTTCTGCGGCCCTCCAGCTGGTGGTGGGTGCTTGTTCTCGTCCTTCTCCTTGATCCAGCGACCATAGTCCATACACCCGGTCAAGGCGATCCAGGCTAAACCGGCATATCCTGCTTTGAGATTCAGGTAGCCCCCTGCGAGCTTCGCGAACGCTTTCTCCAGGAGCAACAACCACATCTCGTTACAGTTAGGTTGAGAAAATCTCGGAATCGGTGTTTCCGAGAAGGGACTCTTGGGATAACACGGGATGTAATCGTCGACCGTGATTACGCGCCAAGAAGGCGGCTTTTTCGAGTAGTCGAACAAGTTCACGCTGTACCTGCCAATCAAATTGCACTCCTTTTCGTGGAAAGTGTAGGTGGGGATGAAATCTGGGTACTCCGCGACAACGGCCAACGCTGCCAAGAGCCAGCAATCTCCCAGGCCACCTTGGATGCAGTCATTCGGCTCCACATTATCAAACAGCTTCACCGGGAAGTCGGTGTCGTGAATATCTCTGGCTCTGTACCACTCGACGTCTCCCGGAACCGTGTTTGGCCCTTTCTCACCCAAGGACGAGCGCGCTGGCGGAAACTCCTTGTCAATAAAGGGGTACACGTGCTGCTTTTTCAGCTGATTATCAATTAAGGTGCCGTCGACGGCTGGAAACTGGACCATGGGTTCGAAATTTTGTTGCCAGACAGCGAGTGGCGGAAACGCCACGCCTATCGAATCCGGATCGCTACAAGCCTTCACCGGATGTGGCTTGTGCATGATCGCTGTGTTGATTACTTTCCACTGGCCCTTCTTCGGATTGAAGAACATGAAAAGCTCGTTCTCGCAGCAGTAATACTTTGGGTACTCCAAATAGGATTCTTCGGCGTTTTTGTTCTTTGCGTGGTCTTTCACGCGCTTAAACACTTCATGACACGCTTTAGGGAAAATCGGTCCGTACTCCTCGATCAGTGGCAAGTACAATCCGACAACCGAAGTAGGTTGCCCTAGCTTTTTGAAGATCTGAATCGGCGAATGACGTGCCAAGTACCATTCTTTTTTCATGGCATCATACTGGAGTAGAACGTCTTCGCCTGCACGTCTTTTCGCCTCTGCGTCTTTCTCCTTCTCAGACTTTTTTTGTAGAGCAGTCAACTCAGCGGTCGTTTTACAGGCTTGGAGAACATGGATAGCCTTGTCCTGGACAAAAGCGTTGGGGGACAAGCCACTATGATGCAATCGCTGTGTCGTTCGACGCATCAAACCTGCATCTTTCAGAGTGTTTAACTCTACCTTCAAGTGTGACCTTCTCTGCCACTTCGACTCGCCCACCAGAGCACCTTCGTGCAACTCTCCCTGCTTGTAGCTTTTATCCGCCTTTTTGCTATAACTATAAACTGGAATGTTCTCCCCTTTTTTCGGCTTTTCCCCCATTCCCCTCAGCGCTCTTAAGTCGCCAGCCAATAAGACCGCGTGTGCACACGACCCCACACGCTTGCCAATGACCCACTCCGGCTCGTCGCCCTTCTGTTCTAGTGGCAAGTGGTTGTAGATGTACATTCTCGCCATGCGCGAGTACCAGAAAGGAGCACCGTTGTAGAGTTTACTGCACACGAAGTAGCGGCCAGTCACTCGCTTCTGGAAGGTGCTCTGCAAAGCGTCCACAAAAATAGCGGGAGGCCACTCGTTCTTGGACATGTACTTGTCCTGTCCTCCTGGCAGGTCGATCCAGCGCTTTAGAGAGTGGCCTTCAGAGCGAATTTTATCGTGCTCCACGCCAACGTTCAAGTTGCGGAACATCTCTGGTTAGAGCTCAAAACAATTCATTTCTTGCCTACATTTCTCCCAATCCTAAGAAGGAAATAGGGAGAAATGACTTGTAGAAATGAAATATATTGAGCCTTAATCTGGGATCAAACCCGGTACTGGCAAAGCCGGGTCATACTTTGGTTTTCGGTGCCTTACGATTAAGTTTCCCTGGTGTTGTGGCGCCATCGACGCATCTGGGGCCGAGCGAAACGAGGCTACTGTCCCTTCTGTCAAATGCAGAGCTTTCAAAACTTCATTTGTTCGATTCCCAGAATCTACGGAGATGATTGCCGCGTCCTTAGGGTAGCGGTAACTCTTCTGCGCTGAGTCGCGCTCTGCGGCACTCTCACGAGTTTCTCCTGGGTAGCCGTTGGCAACAGGCTCGCCATTCACCACAATACGAGCCATCGCCTCTTCGGCATCTTGTTCTTGCTGCTGACCAACGCCGGCACCAGCAACAGGACCATAACCATCTTCTTGCTCTTCTAAAACAAGTGGGATATCGCCTTCGTCTACTACCTCCTCTCCGGTCTCGCTAGAAGTGGGCATTGGAGGTGCGTCAAGAGCCGCTGATTCTCTCATCTCCTGTGCTGCAGGAGGTAATATACCACCAACGGCGACGCCATTCATCCCAAGCCCAACGGGATAGAAGCCATTCCCACCTCCATTTATTGGTTCTGCACCACGATGAACATCATACTCAGCTTCAGTTCCAGAGGAGTCATCTTCCAACTCTTCATCTCTAGTCTCGGCTTCTCCTTCTCCCATGGGCCTCCTGCTGCGCCCTCCTTCGGCGTCCGAGGAAGCAGCAGAAGAAACCTCGTTGCCCATTTTGTATCAGTAGAATCGAGAAGAACGAACTAGAGTAATTATGAAATGATGGTGGGTGGGTCCTCGATGGACGGGTCGATGGACCAAAAAAAGACAAATAAGAGACGAAGTTTTCAGAAAAACCGACGAAAAAAACAGTCGCTTGGTTGAAGGCAGGAGGTGTAAAAGATCATATTTATTTCTAGTTGCGGTCGCTAGATGATGCGAAAAACTTAATTATATGAGAATGACAAAAAAGATATTTATCAAGATCAAGAAAAAAACGGACCTGGTGATTAAATGATCATGAGGTGAGCGATCATGAAAGTCAACGTTTCTTTTTGACTTATTTAGAAAAACTTTTCTCCTGCTCGTTGCAAGACAGTAGATGAAGTTCGCTCACTTCTCTCAAAACAGAGTCAGTCATCATTGTTGTCACAGAGTTTTCGGTCTTGTGCTTGTGAGGCGATGCCATGCCCAATGTCTAACTCTCGAAAGTAGAACAGCACTTGATTTTTTTACGCAGACTTGTTTCAGTCTTCATGATTCTCGAGCACCGACTTTTGGAATTACAGATACAACAGGCGTGGAATCACCACTCACCACAGGTCTCCTCTCTTTATTTTTCCACCTTCCACATCTAGCCCTAAACCTGACTTAGCTCTGGAACATCAACATCAGCGTCATTATTGTTTCACGGATCAGACTTGTGAACGTGAAGAAGGCACGACATGTTGTTATTACGAAGGTACTCATTCATCTTCCTTACTACATTTATCTGCCGTTTGTTCCTCGTTCTATCCTCCGTTGTTCGTCCAGCATAGCGAAATAATTCGTATCAAACGCGTGTCTACTGCTATTCACCCCACCAACTCCCACAAACGAAAACATGCAGTTTAGCTCTGCAAAAGCTGGTGTGTTGATCGTGCAGAAACACTGTTGCCAACCCAGGTCGTTCATTTTCTGACGTAAGTGTTCTTGGTAGTACTCAGGTGGTGAGTCATACATGGCCATAGCGTGATCTGGATGTAGGTCTTGGGTCTCCATTAGGACGGACTTGAAGAAGTAAGAGGAAGAAGGTTGAGATTCTTCTGTGACTGTGGCCTTTTCGTGACGATCTTCTTTTCGACCGTCTGCGTCTGAATTGCTGAGGGCACTTCGGAAAACTTCCAAGGATTAGATGACGCTGTGGTTCGCAGTTGTTCGTGGTAGACAACGACAAGTCATCTTATTTTCCTGCTTGGTTGCTATCAATAAATACTGCATAGGTTTAGGTACATTGATCACCTGATTGATAATATGCGAGTCATAACAATCCGCTCCTTGCGCGTCTATTTTGAGTGCCACCGGGTCCCAGACGTACCCCAAATAGTCCTCGAAGTAAGCCAAGATTGCTCGCAGGGGGACTCTGGGAACTTGAGCGGTCACAGCCTGCGTCAATGACCTTATCTTCAGAGGTCTGAAAGCAACTTCAGGCGCGTTCGTGTCCATAATGGAAGACAGATTGTAAGACAAGCTCATCCTTCGATATAGCAGCTTCTGCAACATTTTGTTCTGCTTCTGGGATAATGGAAGTTGGGAGGAAAATCAGAGGGGGACGACGGGTTTCTAGGGGTATAGAGGTATAATCTTATAAATATCGGAGCAGTTGTTGATGCGAGAAGGTTGAACGACAGGAAAGGTCCTGCAGCAGCCTAGTCCTTTTAGTGATGAAAAACCCCATCAAACTGAAGATTGATGTTTTTACTTCGAAAGAAGTTGTACGTGTGATTGAAATAACCACATCTCCATAACTCACTCGTTTCTTCCCTGTCTTTATGATAGAGGTTGAAAACACTTCCCCCGATAAAATCAGCATCATCTAAAGACCATAGGCCGCTGGTTTCTGCAGTTGAAGTCGAAGAGCCTTCCTTCAGCATCTTCGCTGCAAGCTCTCGGTGCGAGAGTGAAGATACATAAGCAGCACGACCCGAACTACTCCGTCCAGGGGGTTCTAGCTTTGAGGCTACGTTGTTCGTACTGAAGGCATTACTTTTGGGCTTCAGTACAACACCGTCTACTTGCTTATCCTCTTGGTCCGGCTGGTCATAGAGAAAAGCCGACTCCTCCTCTGTTTCGGTTTCTTCTTCGTTGGCAGATGAAGTTGATCCCTTGTCGTCGAAACTTTTCTTGGTGTTTTCACCTGCACTATCGTAATGCGTTCTCAAAATGCATTCACGCCATTGATCGAACATTGCGGTTACCTCCACCTTCGCTGCTCTTTTCGGTGTACATCGAGGCCACTCACTGCACTTCGGAAAGAAGCTTTCCAAATCTCCCAATTTTTCCCGTACTCGCAAGTTTTCCTCGACTGCGATTTCGAGAAAACTGTCATAGTCAGTAGCAAGCATGTCGCGAAGCTTCTTCTTGGAAGGGAGCACTGAGCCACAACTGCCACCGGCGATTGAGAACGTGGCTGGAGAAAGAGAGTCTTCGCCGATTGCAAACGGTAATACGACTCCTTGTAGAGGGTATTCAACATCGTCGTGGTGTGCGTTGTGAAGAAGATCCTTATTTTCATGGTGATTGTGGTTCATCTGATAAAAATTGTTGCCATTCTTGGAAGATGAACCAGGTTCGTCTTCTTCTGCCGCCTCTTCATCCCTTTCCTGCTCTAGTACAACTTGTTGTATCGAGGTGGACGCTTTCAAATCCTCCACAAAGTCCTCGTTTCCCCTATTCGGCCACAATCCTTTCTTCGACGTTGCATAAGCCTTCCACGCAATTGGATTGCCTTCAAAAGCCAGCACTCGGTAGTCCGTCATCAAGAAGAATTCATCCTTCAACGCATCCACGTGCGATAGAAAAGCGTGCCGCAGGAACATAATGTTAGAGCTCCAGGGAGAAAAAGAGGCAAGGATTCCATGGAGGTGAGGAAGTGGAAGAGGATGCTTGCTTATTATCTTCTAGAAGCGGTAGTCTTATAATTATAACAGTATGTACTACTACTTGAGGTAACATAGTAGACTCTAACTTCTTAAAATGGAAAAGTAGTGAAGATGCGAACCTTAGTGACAAAATTCCTGAGATCAACGTGTCGAAGAGAAAGAGAAAATAATGTCGGAGTCTTAATTATAATGTCGGAGTCTAAATAATGTCCAGGTAGAAAAACAGGCAAGATTTTGATGGAGGTGAGGATGCTCACCCTTTCCCTGATCTTTCTATCTCCTAAGACTTCTACGTACTGCTCTGGCCAGGTGCTAGCGCTGCGAATTTGAGGCTGAGCCTGAGGATGCTTAATTTAATTTAGCGGTAGTTGTCTTAATAATGTCGGAGTCAGCGACGATAGGCAGTTCGTGCAGTCTCGGACACTGGGGGAAAACGTTCCAGACCAAACTGCCAGAAAGTTCTGGATCGCCGACGTCAGGAAGAGGGTCGGCGACGCCAGTACCCATCTGCGCGACGATGTTGTTGAACAGACTCTCTATCATTGTTCTCATCTTGTTATTTTCGCCGGGTTCATCATCTAGTACCTCCGCTCCTGCTGAACCCGAACCAGCATCGTTGTCGTTGTTCTTTTTAAACATGTGCTGCGAATATCCTCGTAGTTTATACAGGAGCATCGGATCTAAATTCTTCACTTTTTCCAGTGCCGCTGCTTCTTCTTCTGAGAATGTTGTGCTAGCTGCTGGTGAGAGAGGATCGTCTACTTCATCTATTCCATCTCTACCTCGTCCACCTCTTCCGCTACGCACTAAATACTCCTTCAACCGTCTTTTAAAGCGTACGTTTCCCTCAAACAGGTCGTACCAAGCCATGAAATCGTGAAAACCAGTGCTCAAATCACTGGTGCCCACGTCCACTAGAAGTGAGGTCTTCACGGGAGATTTAGGTTGCGCCATCAGACCGAACTGGTCGTACATCGCGACAATTTCATCACGTTCCTGTTCCTGTTAGAAGCGCAATTTAGAAGCGCACTGAATCTTAAAGCAAGTTCTTTGTAGTAGTTAGTAGATCAAGTGCAATTTTTGACCACCCATGATTGGTACACGTACATCATACTTGATGAATGAAAGAAAAAACCTATAAAACTAACCGCTCTCAGTTACCACACATCATAATCTTCCGCAGTCTTCTCACTACTGGCCTCTGGGCCTTCGCCAAAGAACTGACGTTCTAAACGCCAGCCACCAAAAACCCGCTGATCTAGTTGCGGGTCACGAAGGAACAGTCCCATTAGCTCTGGTAGAGGGAGAAGTACATGTTCCTGCAAATTCTTGTTTGCGACGCTCGAAGATGGAGAGGCAGGTTCTTCAACAGGTCGTGGAGGTGGACAAAGGTAAAACCTTCGATGTCTTCTATCAGTATCATCTCTGATGTTCGCTCTACTCCCCAGAACTTTTTGTAGTTGCCATTTCGAAGTTCGTTTCTCGATGTTTGTGTCAAAGAAAGAGGCTTTTTTGTTGCCTCCTCCAAGACGCAGACATCGCGTCTCCTGAAAAACGTGCATATCCAAATCTGTACGCACGAGGTAAGCGTCGTATGGTATTTCGAAGATGGTTGTAGTAGTACTTGTAGTACTTGTACTTATCTTCCACGTAGAATTCTGAGTGGTACTTGTACTTATCTTCAACGTAGAATTCTGAGTGGTACTTGTACTTATCTTATCAACGTCGTGTCGTTGTCTATTGTGTGCTGCCGTAGGGGGTTCCACCAGAGTCAAAGAAGTTCTTGGATCCTCACCAGTACACGTAGTTGAAGTCTTCTTCGTCTTCAACTCCAATATCCTAAAGCCATGGTGTCGAAGGACTAAGGAGAGCCTTTCATCCCTCACGACATCGGAGATGAACCGGAGCCACGTTATCGGTACGCGAACTGTCGTCAGACTGGAAGGAGCAGGAGGTACGTGCAACTCGGGTGCTTCAAGTTGCGGCGCATCATGTTGTGGTAGAACTTCTTGGGCATGTACCCCGCTCAACATCGAGAGACCGGCGACTGTTTTTGCGCTGGGAGAAAGCCATAGCCGGCGGCGGTCGCACGAAGTGGTACTGACCATGCCGAGAAATGACAGGTCTTGCAGAAGAACGGTGAAGATGGTCGTCAACCCCGCGAAGAAAACCCAGAAGGTGACCAACAGCCTCAGGTCCACAGATGCCACTAACGTCGACCATTTTGTTCGTCGTTTTTCTTGATGCTGATTCTTAGTCCGTACGGAGGACTTTCGAGAACAACTCAACCAACAACATGGTTGTACTAAAGACAAACGACTAGAAATGAATTGAAACCGCGAACGGCGGTCGTAGTTTTCCTTCTCTTTCTGAAGTGTCATCTTCAACAGTACTAGTTCTATGTGCTTCTTATGCGTTAGATCGTCTTTAGTTTTGGATTGATCCTGACAAAGATTGAGTGGAACTTTCATTTTACTCCCGCTCAAATCGTCGTCCCTAGACAATAGTACATTGTCTTCTCCAGCTCAAATCCGAGAACTCGTCAATGCGGCAACACGTGGCACTTCGGGCTAGTACCTCTGCGTTCTGTTTCACGTCAACCTTGAATGATAATCCATCCAGCCTTATGTGTATTTCAAGCAAACAATCGAAAAGAGGGCTATTAGTTAATTACATACACTTTCTTACGCTTCCGCTTGTGTTTATCAATATCAATAATCAATGAAAACTTCTAATAAATTCTATGAACCTGCTCCAACCAGTCCCTTGAGTTCTTCATCTGGTAGCAGATCGATTTCAACGAGGTCATAAGTATCGCTATTTGGATGTAGACGTACCACATACATCTCGATGACCTTGAATTCTACGTAGTTTTTCTCAAGGAGATAGCGATATAGATTTAGCTGATTCTTATACACAGCCTTCTTCACTTGTTTTGTCCGCTTCCAATCGATCAGGATCAGCTCTCGCTTGTTTGATGATGTTTCCTCCGCAGTTGTACAACTAGGAACAACGTCCTTACCATCTTGATCTGTATTCTTTCCCGCTCCACCACCGCTTTCTTCATCTTCAACTAAAACTGCGTCGACTTCAGAAGATGAAGACTCCTGACCTCCTTTAGCTGCGCCTGCACCAGGTCGAAGAGCTGTTTCGAAGATATTATCTCCCCCTGTCGCGCCAATTTCCGCAGCTGATGAGGCAGACTTGGTTCTCCTACTAGAAGAACTCGACGTCGCCTTGTTCTTTGCTACCGCTGTCGCTGTGCTGGTCTTACTCTTAGAAGCAGTACCGGAACCCCTTGTAGTCCTTGAAGATGCCCTCGGAATCGGAATGTCATGATGCGACACGTCTGCAATTACATTGTCTTGTTCTACGACGAAATCGATTGTGCCTGCAATTTTCAGCTCCGCATCGTAGATGCGCCATTCGGTCCGATAGGGCTTCCATTTTCGCGTCTCCAGTACATCCTTGACAAACGCTAGAAAGTGGGTACGTTCGATAAAATCCGGCTCTTTTTGCATATTTCGCTGCAACTGTTGCAGTTCTACTTGATCCTCTTGTTCTTGTTCTTTTACCTTTTCTTCCGCGATCGGCTGTAAGAGAGGAGGTTGAAGATTAGCTCCAGCATCTAGGCATGTAGAATCTGTAGAACGACCTGTACTAGTAGTACTTCCGAATCCGAATAACCCGCCACCGTCTTCAGTAGCACAGCCTCCATAAGAAAGCGGCATCCCGGAACTGGTTGTGCTGCTGCCGTAACCCAAAGGATAACCCCCAGATCCAGAAAATGGCATTGGCGTAGCTGCCGGTTGTCTTCCACCAGGCGCAGCAGTAGAAGGCGCACAGCCAGAAGTGCCCATAGATTAGAAGAAGAACGACGAGAAGTGTGATAGTAAATCTGAATCTGGAACCAGCAAGCGAGTTTTGGTTGAGCCATAAGTATACGAAGTCGCACCGCCCGAACCACTTGCGGAAGAATCGAAGATGTCCAGAGAAGTCCGACTCAGCTCCAATTTTGTGCTTAGCTTCCGCTCTAGAAAATGGTCCTCCAGCTGGCCTTTGCGAATTCCTTAGACGAGAACATGAAGTAGACGTAGAGGAGTAGACCAGTTCTGCATGAGAAACTGACGAACCGCATTGATCATTATGCTAACCATGTCCAAATTGCATTTTTTTCCGTCTCATCAGTCATATTCATCCGCACACCCCATCATAATTCAAATATAGCTCGATATCGCGATGCAGCTCCGTTCCAAGATGTCGTGCGAAGTCCCATCCACGCAGTATTTCTTCCTTACTTTGCTGATAGTACTCGTACGAAGGATCCGTTGACCATCTAACAGATTTGATGATCTTACTAGCGATCATGTTCCCATTGAAGCCGTTGCTGTCGCAGAACGACGTAACAGAACGCACTTGCGTAGAGGAGGAGGCTCCACTACTTGCTTAGCGCTACTTTTTCTCTATGCGTGGTTGCGTGAGCTTCCCTCTTCCCTCCTATTTCCCCTTTACATGATCCAGGGGGACTCGTCCTCTCAGGAGCATAGTTCACAAAGAGAAAGAAACGTGGGTTAGTGATCATAAACTAGCCTTAATTTGCACTCGATAGAATTGATGGCGGTTCAAGCAGACTTTTGATTGTGTACTTGTGCTGTTCTTCGTCGAACAGCAATCCGGCGTCTCGAGGATGAGCGTTCTTGATGGCAAGGTAATTGTCTGCAATCGACGTTGATGTACCGCTAGTTCCGACGTCTCCGACGTCTTCTCCACAAGGTGTTAACCTATACCCATGAAGCATAGCCAACCGTGCCAATGCCGCATCGAATTTTTCTTGCGAGCAGGTGTGGAGAGGCTCAGTTAGATGGAGAAAGAGTTCCACTGAGCCCTTACGTCGAACCCAGCCCTCATCCACTTCGAGAAGCTTAGCCTGCTTCTCTTCGTCACTCATCTTTTGGATTTCGGGTCTGATAATATGCTCAGCCTCAATCTCATCGATGATGATCTAAAAATTGCAATTAGTTCATTCATTAATACATAGGGCCGCCGCACGAACTTTTTATTTTTTTATGCCAAGATCGCCAGAAGGGCGATCCCAGTGATATCCGGCGTGCCTGCCGGCGACGGGTGGAGTTTAAACGGAGACCGGGCTCGTGGCTGCAGTGACCGCACCACCACGCCCTGAGATGGAACTCAAATAGCCCAAGTGCAAGTCTACTCCTCTTTTCTAGAGCTTAGAATAGTCTTGGCTACTTTCTGCTTGCCTTTCATTTTGTTTTTTCAAACGTTCGACACGGTGCGGTCGCGCCGATTTAAAAATGCTGCTGCCTATTCGTCGCTCGTAATCACGTTCAGAGCACGTCGCAATTTCGAAAAAACGTGTACAGTTGAAGAAGACGGTCGCTGCAGTGATAATCTTACTTTCGGCTCCTGCTGAAAATATGAATCTACATCTAGACCAAATAACTATGTATTACAGTTACTTACGCTGAGCCTGAGTATTATTAATTTATACAACTAATATCCAATCAATCTAAATGCATGGTTTTTTCTGTACACTACTACATCGCTTATGATGATAGGTGGATCATTTTTTTACAATATTTTTGTAGTTGGATGCACATTCTATTACGAATACAGTTACAGTTTGAATTTTCATGAATTAAAATCATGTCCTCTTTCATGTTACGGAAAGAGAAAGATATGCGTGGTCGGCACCAATATCTATTTTTTGCGCTTGATAGATCAATAAACCCATCTCCAGTCAGCCTTTTGACTTGTTGAAAAAATAGAAGTAGATTAGAACCGTACATCAGCAGCTCTGCTATTAAGCGATTAATCTCCTTCTGAATACTGGCTGCTGGTAAAATTGATAATTTTTCCCACGACGACGTCGAGCTCTAGTTTGTATTGCTCTGATATTTGAATGCGATGGATTGCGTTTGCGAACAATGAGTTTTTAATTTTAGTTTGCGTTACTTCATTAATGATGTCTTTGGTGTTAATTTCGAACATAACGAGATGATGAAAGACAAAGATCTAGTAGCTAGTTGTTAAGGGAATGCCTGCTTTCAATTTCCCGTTTCGTGAGTTCTTTCATGCCCTGTCAAGTTTGTACAAAAATATGTCCACTTCTACTTCCACCTGCTTCATCTTTGTGTGGACTCCGGCTCACCCCCCACTTCTAATCAAGAAACCGATAATCATCTTTTAGTAGATTTGTTCAAAGTGAGGCGACACCTGCTTCTCCCACTTCCACTCAGGCGGGATGCGCAAGTGCGTCTCCACTTCTTCCTCGCGAAGGCGATCTGTTGGTTTGGAGGTTTTTTTGTTCTTGAAGCACCCACCCACGTAGTCCTATAGAGTCAGTAAGTCTTCATCTCCGTGGTCTGCTTCTACTTCTATTAATGGTGTTCCTACTATAAATCAAATCGAGGTATTTCTTCATCAAGTACCTGCATCCTCAGACAAGGTATTTGTTCATCAAGTTGTACCTGCATCCTCAGACAAGGTATAATTTGTTCATCAAGTACCTGCATCCTCAGACTCAGACAGGGTATAATTTGTTCATCAAGTACCTGCATCCTCTTCTCCATCTGGCTTCATGACAGGTCCATTCCTTTCAGCCCAGGCGCTCATGAGACCTTTCTTCTTCAGCATATCAACCGCATCTCCCTCTTCGTTCATCAGGAGAGCCGCTGCACCAGCAGCCTCGAGTTCGATGCCCCACTGATCACGGTAATAGCCCATCACAAACGGGATCATGGCGCCGGGAGGTTAGAAGCAGGTGGAGAGGAAGAAGGGATGCTGGTGCGGAAACAGAGAGGGAACAAATCCTCACCTTTTCAGAAGTTAACAATAAACTAAGTAACAGTAGAACTAGGACTAGTACAATCAGCACCAATCTATTGTTCATAATAAAACGTGTAAACCGGTTTCGTGCGGTAGATGAAGCCAAACGTGATATCCAACAGGTGTTTCAGCTGGTAGCGATGGTCGACCATCCAATCGACGACGAAGATCGTGCTTAGTGGTTTGTCACAGAAGCTCTCGCCCTTCGAAGACTCCATATGATTCCAATAGGAATCGAGGATTAGAGAATGATCCCAGGAGGTGGAGTGGTGGAGTGGTGGAAGGAGTATCTTTGGAGGAGTTGTTCTTTTGCAGGGAACAAGAATATTTTAGCAACCGAGTATTGTGCTTGACTGCTTCTTCATGCTACTGATTTTTGCTATGCCACAACTGCGTTTGACTTTGACAACGCGAACCTAATGATCACGCTACCTCACACAAAGAAACACAGACACACTCTACAAGCTGGTCATAAAAACAAAGATGATCACGCTACCTCACACAAAGAAACACAGACACACTCTACAATCTGGTCATAAAAACACACAAACACAGAGACAGACACACTCTACAATCTGGCCATAAAAACAAAGTCCTGAGCATGACGCGGCTTTGTTTCTCCCAGGATGCAGCAAGAAGCTCAATGGGTCCTATACATGGCACTTTGTCCTCCATACGCAAAAACCCATCCTCGGAATATCCTCCGTTACCGTTGTTAGCGCGGCTCACAAGAATCTGATTCATATTCATCTGAGCTCGCAGGAGTCCGAGTCCCAGAATCCAAGTTGTTGTAGGCAACTGACTCACATGAACTAGGAAGATGAATTAGAAGTTTGAGCCTTAACGTTGAGAGATTCAGTGCAGTAAGGCAAAGTCGCGCTATGGAGTCCATGTGCGTGCGGTCGGGTCAAGCAATAGCAACTCCTTGTCAAGTCACGGCAGTGCTGGTAAGTGGTCTTGCAGTTTTCCGGTAAGTAAGCACTCTTCGGACGATAACGGAGTGTCGCAGTTTAGAAGAGGAGGAGATAGACTAAAGGAAGGCATGGTGAGGTGTTGGTCGGTGCTTCCGAGGAAATACACTGGGAGATGTTGGTCGGTGCTTCCGAGGAAATAGACTGGGAGATGTTGGTCGGTGCTTCCGAGGAAATAGACTACGGATCGATGGATAATATTGTCCAAGAGAAAAAGAAAACTAAAGGAAGGCATCGATGGATAATAAGCTTTGAAGCGGAGAGAACAGTGCTAGAAATGAGTGAAGACTATACCTAGAGGTAAAAAACCTGAACCGGAGCGCGTCCCATCATAGTACTATCCCGAAAAAACTACAGGGAGCGATGGATAATATGTATCGTCCAAGAAAAAAAGCAATAGCTACTGACAGTGACAGATATCATGACTATCTGTATCTTCATCTGTTTGATCATTCAACTCCATCCTGGCCCTATCTTTGTAATGCTAATGCATCATGATTCTCCAACTCATGATCATCAGCACTGAAAGTAAGACTGTAGAGAAAACAAAATTCAATTTCAATTTCTTTCCATCCATAAATATAAGGCATTTGAAAGCCTTGTCTGCGATTGGTCGATAGGTTGCAGATCTCAATGATCGGCATGCGCACTTGAACGATTTCGTAGGGAAGATCGATTTCGTACGTTTCGCCATTGCCATCCGGCAAAGTGGTACTCAACGCCTGGTGGAAGGGCATGAAGGACTGGTATCGACGCCGAGGAGGTTAGAAGAACCACGGGAGAGGAATGTTGAGCCAGATTAGCAGGTTTCTCTATTTTCGTAATAGAGGGTCGTCGTGAGGGAGCTGGGTTGTATGTCATGTTCATCTTAATCATCTTCTCGTACGAGTTGTACAACAGCAGGATCAAGATCGCAGTCACGACAGAAGAAACTTATATATAAGTAGTAACCGGCTATCATAATCGTAGTAAAATGCTGGAAACTTCGCGAGCCGCTGCATCACCACGGCATTACGACGCGCGCTCCAGACGTTGGAATTGTCACACTTCGTGTCCATAATGCTTACGCCTTGACATTCATCTTCCCAGTCACACAAGTAGCGCTTGCGAATGTCGCTGATGTCGGTTTCGCCCTCTTGCTTAGAGGAAAATGATCTCAGTCTCGTCTGAAATCAACGCGCCATCACGGTAATTCATTTGTTTCTGGGTCCCATGTCTGTGATCTTCACAACTGTAACTTACTTGGTTGTGTAACAAAATCTGAATTCTTCGATTCATAGATATCGAACCTATGTTGGCGTAGGCTACGTGGAGTGAGCCTAGTTAGGAAAAAACCTATGCTCCTCGGGCGTATAATAAATCTTCAAGAACATGATATCAACAGACGCACCATAACTTGAAATTTGATTCCTATACCCCACTCCCGGTCTTCCTTGAAAACAAAGGGTTTGCGTCCTTCGAACCGACCCATCGGTCCCTTGCACTGGTACAGGATGTTGTGAAAAAATTAGAAGACTTCGCAGTCAATTATCGCTATCGTACAAGTAGGTGTTGTGGAAAATATTGGTCGATTGGAATTATTGGGTTCCCCTTTTGTTCCCTCTTCAAATGAATCCAAAACAAAATAATTCAAATAAGATGTTCATCTTTCATAACAAGGGCAATCTAAACAACAAAATATATCATAACATGGTCCATGTCCATGCCAGATTGATAGTTGTGAGGACTCATTGACTAGTAGCCTTAAAAAAAGTAGCTCCTTTGTGCACGATTCCCCAGGTCCCAGCTCGCAGGCACATGCTCCGCTGCAGCTTGCATGAAATCCAAATGTCTACCGGCTTCGGCGTTTCCACCAGCAAGAAAAGCTACTATTAGAAGGGTGGACGCGAGTGTTTGTTCTCTCTGACTCTGCTGAATGTGAAAGATATCTACAGTCTGAATTACTACTGAATAAGTAGATCTGAATTCCTGAGGAAGAAGTTCATTCGTTCGACTCAGAGTGCTGAAGAACACGCTGAGTACAACAGAGTACTAGAAGCAAAATTTCATCAATGAAACTTACATTATTAACTACACTGACTAAGTTGTCATAACTTCACCGCCTGATCATCACTCAAAGTGAGCACGTCAACCACTGTGGTCGTGAACGTCTTGGTCGAGACATCGTCCTCGTCAGAACGGTTTCTGACAAGGAGAGCGTGAGTCAAGTTTTGTGGTGGGTAGACACGACGGGCCGGATCGCCATCATACGCGAATTGTCTGCCACGACCCTCATAGCCCGCACGCAGAGCGTTTTGCAATTAGAGGACGAGAAATAGGAACTATGACGCAGTAGCAGGCATCGCGAGAAAAAACGTTAGCACTATCGTTTTTTTGAATTTTTCAGAAAAGCACGACATGGAGCACTGCGACCCTGGGGCTTTCCACCTTGCGATGGCCAAGCCGGCCCTCCCTGCAAACTTATCCGCTCAAGATCCAAGGAGGCGAGGAGCCGACCGAGAGCCGCAGACGCGCGAGCGGCTGAAGGGGTCAGTTGGAGGGGGTGCCTGAGGGGGGTCCTTGTTTTCAGGGGCCCCATTTGATAAGACTTCTGGCGCCCGACAGATAGGTGATAACGCTTCTGGCGCCCGACACTCTTCGCCGAGGCCCAAAAAAACACTCTAAATAGGTGGGAACTATGATGCAGTAGCAGGGTACCACGTCCTATAATTCCAGGTTGGTGCTGCTTGTGTACCTGAGTAGGAACACTTCAAAAACCTATTTTATGTACATACAGAATCGATGGATTGAGACAGAAAAAAGAATAGCTATACTTATGACGACCAAAACTACTTATTTCTAAAAAAACTCAAAAAATTTTCAGGTACATGCGGATATGATCTGGAACCTGTTGTATTTTTTGCGGTAATTGATTTGAATTTGATCTAGGTCCGGGTCTTTGCATTATTCTCATCATCAAATAAGAGTTTGCTCATCATCAAATAAAAGAACTCAACCCAAACGCGCAGAGCAAGCGGGATCCTGGAGGTCCTAACTTGCGATATGGACATCGTGTGAGCACTGGCAAGTGGAAAAATTCCTTGGCTATCCGTGGATATTCTTCCCCAGAAACGTTGGATCTTCTCACGACTGCGCTGGCGCCTTACTAGGTAAAGATTTGGTCAGTTGAAGAGGGTAACTTCTTTTTCATCATAGTTTTGACCCGAACCATCTACTAATAAATAAGTACTTATGTTGGTCGTCGTATAAACGAGACGGAGACAACATGATGTTCTTATAACAACCAACTTCTGCCACGTTTGCAGATAACTACATCTTTATCTTATATTTTCTTCATAAAAGTAGACGCTCTTTCGGGCCACTTTCGCTGTCGTTCCCCAGTGCCCTGAAACAATCTTGCATGGCCAGACGTCAGGTCCCTCCACCTTCACACGCTGCCCAGGATGCGTTCCGAAGAAAAACTCGCAATAATCCGTAGCCGGATCGTGAGGGGCATTAGATGGAATAAAAACAACGTACGTGTTGAGCTTGAGTGTGATGTCCCCCGTGGTGTGTCCGTGTCGTAGATGGAACAATGATGATTCAGACCGAGGAAGACCAGAATCTTGAAATTCTCTCGAATACGATAAGTATGTTGTCTATAGATGAGCCAGTGCACTAGCCGTTTTTTCCGCAGCGGCTTTGTTGCTCACTATAGCGACAGAGAGAAGACAAGTTGTATGTGCTAGTGCTCTAGTGCTAGACTCTACTGCTTTTTAAGAACAAGTGTTGTTTTCTGTCGTGGTAGAACAAGCGTTCAACACCTTACTTTTTTGTTTTATATTTCATTCAAGCAAAAGCCAGGCACCCCGACAAGGATAACGCGCAAGCGCAAGCAACACAGAGATTCGACACGGATAGAGAGAACAAATTCTAGGGGGCGACATATCATAAATTGATTTTGCGTGGAGGAAAGTGTGACGGTTTTCTGTCGTGGTAGTGTTGATGTCTTCTGTCGTGGCAGAACAAGTGTTCACAAAGTTGTCACTATTGAATACATAGTACTACGAAGAACAACATAAACCTAAAAACTTGTTGCTAGGAACAACATCAAGATCAACGAAAAAAGAAGATTATAAAGTCCCCTAATGTGATTACTCGCATTATGCGCCATTCTCGCATCAAGCGGAAGTTCCGAGATATTCAGCGTCTCGTTGCGTAACAAATCCCAAGATCGCATACTTGTATTCCTCCAATGCCGCATGAGCTTCTCCTGGATTTCCACCACGTTCACCGCTGAAATCCCGAGAAGGTCGCGTGCAGTAGTTGCACTAGAAGAAGCAGTTGCACCACTAGAAGAAGCAGATGTTGCACCACTAGAAGCAGATGTTGAGAAAAATGCTTCAGAATGATCCTCCTGATCCAAGGCGTCTAGCATCAAATCCTCCTCTTCGGAAGAATTGAGGAATGTGCCATTGTTTGAGGAAGAGGATCATTAGAGGGTGGTCACATGATGCACAACAAGCACATGCACAACATGCACAGAATAAGAACTTTTGCTTTAGTACAACTCGCTCCATCTCCATCAAAAGGCACAGAACTACAAGAATTTTTGCTTTACTTAGTACAACTCCATCTCCATCAACAGGCACAGACCTACAAGAATTTTTGCTTTACTTAGTACAACTCCATCTCCATCAACAGGCACAGAACTACAAGAATTTTTGCTTTACTTAGTACAACTCCATCTCCATCAACAGGCACAGAACTACAAGAATTTTTGCTTTAGTTAGTACAACTCCATCTCCATCAACAGGCACAGACCTACAAGAATTTTTGCTTTACTTAGTACAACTCCATCTCCATCATCTACATCAAGTTCTAGTTACTACACTTGTTTTCAGAATTTAAATCTAAAAATAGCAGTTTGCACTACTTGAGGTAACATACTTAGTAAACTAGTAACAGAATAAATCCAAAAATTAAAATAAAAATTCTAATTATCTACAGCGTAGGCCTCCAAGTCCAAACATAAACAAGATAAACAAGTCAGTGTCAACATAAGAATTCTTCATCGCCGAAAAGTCCGCCGCCGCTCCATTCTTGTCGAACGACAACGTATACGGCGACCAGAAGGTGTTGTTCTTCCCGACAGGAATGTTCGACGACTGAGCGAGTTTGTGTTGGTTCCTGACAATATCCACCATTCCACCAGCACCTTTTCGAGAAGATGCAAACTCCAGAGATGCAAGAATGCTATTCCGCAACTCTTGCAGAACATGTTCCCGACTGTCCTCATCGGTGTGCATCCTAGGGTCATGGTACACAAGACCACTCACAAGAACTGTCGGCACAACTACAGAACCGAGGAACAACTTGGTGGAGGCAGAATATCCTCTTGTTGTTCTTCTTGCTCGTGAAGAAGATGAAGGGCAGATTGAGATTGTTTTTCTTGTCCTCCGTGAAGAAGAAGTAGGGCCAACATTAAGCTTTCTCCTTGTTGTACTAGTTGTAATTTTTCTGGAACAAGAAGAAGAGGAAGAGAAACAACTAGAAGATGTTGCAACTCTCCCGATCCCATCAGGAACGGATCGCCGGTCCCACGCAGAGGTGGTAGAAGATGCAGATGCCACGTCTGCTTCAGCCATCTTTTTCTTAGTTCTTGTAGTTCGTCTAGTCGTAGTCCTCTACTTAGCTTGTCGTTTAAGTTGTACTCAATTGCTCTCTCATTCTTGAAGTACAAAGAATCAAAATTTCTTGGATCCTCGATAGACTTGTGCTCTAAATCTCTCCGCGGAACTGAAAACTCAGCTTTTTGGACCTCCCAGCACTACTGGAGACAGAGTAAAATCGTCATCGACTTTGTCGTGACTGCATAAGTCTCGAATTCGAACTCAATGAATCGCCTAAAAGCGAACCTAAAGGGTCGTGCGAGAGGCAGCGGATGACAAACCGATTGTCTCCCTGCCTTTGTCATCGGGCTCTGACGACGATGTCCAGAGACCACAGAGGGTCAACCGACACGCCTTTTTTATAGAAGAGCTCTCTTCATCTCATTGCAGATAGCACGTTGTTAGATTTAGTCGTCACACCAGCGCCCTGTTGCTACTCGATTCCGCAACGGTGCAAGTGTACGATTTCGCGCCTGTGCCAATTACAGCGATAGCGTCAATATTCAATACTAGGAGCAGTACTGAGTGAACCCATGTACATGTTAAAGATTGCAGGAATTTTTCATCTAAGTTAGTAGCGTCGTATGCTGTTGCCATTCAGAAGGTGCTTTCCTTGCTGTACCAAGTAGAATATGAGTGCTCGTTTCCCTTTCGAGCGCAAAACCGTGACAGCCATTCCGTTTTTGTCCTGGCTGCGACAGTTTAGCAATAAAGCCAGGGACTTGGCTGGATCTTCATGCGTAACACTCTCCCCCCGAAATGTCTCCGGTGACTGATAAATATGCTTGTGGCAAAGAGAACAGTGCTGGAAGAATTGAAGGTTTTATAACATTAATGTACCTGATCCGCACGCAGCCATCGTGTACTATCAGAAAAAACAGGGGGAAGGAGAAGGGAAAAACAGAACTAAGATGAAAACAAAGATGAAAAAACGGACAGAGGCACAAGGAGGCCAGGGATAGCTGAGTGAGCACCTCTTGCACAACTATCTCCCACTACCAAAGGTAGCTTGTGCCGACCGACAACAGATTCATGTTCACGAAAAACAAAACAGGGGAAATTTCATAGTAAGACCAGACCACAGTCATAGACATAGGGGCAGCAGTTCATTCGTATCAGTTAGATAACATAAGAACAAATGTCAGAAATAAATAGAGGCCGCAAACAGTAAGTTGGCCTAGTACGCAGTCGGTAATATTCCGCGGAGAAGAAGAAGGATGGTAGTGTCTCATTGAACAGGAGCAGCAGCAGTAGTAACGACGAAGTAGTACTCTCAGAACAAGATGGGCTTAAGTATACGTAGCAAAAGTAGTCACAACTGAGGGAAAACAAGAGATCTGAGTGAAACTAACTAAGAGAGAAGGTTGGGAAAGAAGGAAGAAGAGGAGGAGGGGATCAAGAGCAAAGGAGAAGAATCGAGTGGGAGAGGAGAGGGAAGTTTGAGAATAGTGAAGATAAGGGGGGAGTGATAGAGAAGAGTAGATGAGGTTGTTGCCATGAGCAGCTCCACTAGTGTAAGAAGCTAGTATGAGTTGGGTCTTACTCCTTGAGTCTCAGGATGTTGTTTGGAAGATGTAGTGGTACTAGAAGCCCAGAGAGAGGGGGGGAATCCTTGCATATGAAGTCTCCATGCATTCAGCTTTTGATGTTTTCCTTTTCTCGGTCGTACACCCCGCACGAAGTTCCTTTGTGAAAATCCTTTGCCACTAATGATGTGTAGCACATTGTGTTTTTATTATCAGTATATTATCAGTAAGAACGCCTATAGTGAACACATATATAAGAGAAGATCTGATTAGATTAAAAAACAACTATGGAATCAGTAAAGGACACTACTAAGTGAAACAAGTAAATTGACCCCTAAAAATGGGGGGAACAGTAACCATTCAGAGAGAAGAAGTAAGAGGAAAATAAGAGGAAAATAAATGAGAGAAAAGCAATAAACAGAAATAGGAAAATGAATGGAAAATAAGTAAACAAAGATATAATAGTAGTCAAGAGACGGAAAGAAGTATTATAAGGAGGAGTAGCAAACAAAGATCAGCAAGTAAGACAAAGGAGAAATATAAATATATATGAACGATATAAAAGAACAATATAAAAAGAACATCGTAGTAGGAAGATATAAACTCACGACAGAAGGGCTACAAGATAGTAAGAAGATAGTAAGAATATTACTGTAATACAAAACACTAATGGACATTGTAGTTATTCCATTATTACTTCTAGTAAATGATATTATTATGATTATGTAGTTGTCTAAATAGTACTATCTTGTTTGTGGTATTATTGGGAGTATTAACTATTATGTTCCTGTTGTCGTCCTAGTAATTCTCGTCGTAGATGTAGAATTGTCAAGAGTGTTGATGGTGTGCGCAAGTTCAAGTCTGGCTTGATATGCATTCCATTGAAGTGTGTGCTTTTCTACTGCATGTAGTACTGTCATTGTCCTTGGTTGAAGTGATGGCGGTGTGGGTCCTACTTGCAGCATTAGTTCTGCATCTTCATGTTCTTCATGTACTCCATCATTTGGTAGTCCAGGTACTTCCACATCTGCATGAGGCATAGGGTGTTGTTGTTGCTGCTGCTCTGGAAATGCTGGGAAGTCCGCTACTCGTAAGCCGAGGGGAAGTAGAAGATCATCAATAAGCAGAGATAGTAGTGGTTGATGTCCTTCTTGCTCTAATACTAGATCAATGACCGCTCGCGCAACTTGAGGTTGTCCGTTGGTTTCAAGTTGTGTCATTAATGCATCCAAGTCAATATTAGCAGCAATCAGGTTGTTGAGCACTACATCAATGCCAACAATATTACCAATATCGGCAGCCACCATCTGTAGTTGTTCATCTGGGAGGTTCATGAAGTTGACTGCATCATGGGCCATTAGTTGCGCCTGATCAGCTCCGACTAGCGGCATTGCTGGATGTTGCTGTACAGGTTCACGTAGAGGAGCTGGCCGACGATAAACTTGAGGTACTTGTAGTCCATCTATATGATCAAAATTCCACCCGGGTGCTCCAAAGTCGATCAGTGGTACAAGTTCTGGCTCGAATCCATTATCAAAAGGCATTTCACGAAAAGAGACAGGGATAGCCGGATAGTGTTGAAGTAGCTCCTTCCGATGAGATGCCATAAGATGCCCTGTCTGAATAGCAGTGGTGTTGGGACAGAAAGGCTTAGAGGCATCCACCGGTATAAACGGCGTTGTAATGATTCTACTAATCCGCTGAAGACTCTGGATGTATTCATCTGTAGCTGGAACTTGGGTAGGAAGCAGCGCCCCATTGTAGCAAATTTGGTATTGATTGAAGATGACTTGTCCTGTATTGTCGATGGGTACCCAGATTGGCATATCCTGATGATCACCAATGTAGCGGTACTTGCAGTGCTTACGTCCAAGTGTTGTATCAGGATACTCAACAAGTGGAAGCTCATGACTTGCGACTTGAAAGTTCACCCACTGAGCTCCAAGCGTTTTCTTTTCTTGCAGGTCCACCATGTGACGCAGACTCTCCAACAGAAATTTATCTCCCTGTTTCGTTTCAGCTGGTAGCAGCGAGATAGGAACAGTAACTTCAGGTACCGCATATCCACGATAGTATTTTTTGATCTGGGAGAGACGAATGTCCTGAAAATTTTCATTGTTCACAGCAGTCGGTAAGAAGCTCTCTTTGGTGTAGTGGTATTCAGCTTTCCGCGCTGCAGAGTAATCTCGTCCCAGTAGTCTCGGGGTGCTGTACGTGGGAGAGAGAGGAGGGGTAGGAGTATCCTCTAATACTGGCAGTAATCTCTCCAGCAGCGGTGTAACATCAGCATCCACTTGTAAGCCAAGAGAACGGTTATCCCGTGCGGCAGTGCGTTCATCAGATTCATCAACATCTTCTCCCAGGAGATCTAAATCATCAAGTGAAGCACTCGGTTGGGCTCCTCTTCTGGTTGTAATGTTGTCAGCACATCGTAGTACTACAGGAGGTACGTCTTCACGTTGTACATCCCTATTCGTCCAGGCTAGTCTATCAGGAGAAGTATCCAGCTCGTCCTTCTCTTGTACACTACTACTACTCAGATGAAAAGTGTTAGCCTTGTCCACAGGAGTTACCACAAATTGCTCAAAAAAGTATGAGTGTTGTTGCTGTTGTGCCACACTATTGGAAATACCTGGAGGAAGAAGACGCGCAGGCGCCATTCCAAAATGTGCATCACCACAATCTTCAACTTCAGAGCGACGTAGTTTCTCAGCAACTATCTTGGACGCTCGTACATCAATGCGGAGCTCATCTATCGATTGTCTGGCAAAGTAAAGAGACGGAAAGCGTCGTCGACGATGATTTTCAGCAAAGGGTAGAGGATTTTGTGGCTGTACTAGTATTCTTCTGGATTTCGAAGGATGTCGAACATGACAGAGTGTGCATGAGCCTAACTGAGCTCTTCGTGAATGCTCCACTAATACTTGATGCGTACCATTTGTGCTTCCAAGTGTAACCACTACTCTACTGCCACATAGACACTCTAGTGTCAGCGAAGGGTCAGCCAGATGTTTATAAACTGCAATAGCTCCTTGTGCTAAGTCACCAGGATGTTCTGCAATTGTATATCGTGACATTTCTGGAATAGAAAGCCTGCGTAGTATCGTACGAGAATCCCACCAGGCTATTTGGAGATTAGTGCCATAGGTATCCAGTCGAAGTTTCTCTTCCTCTTCTTGGTCTATTGTGTCTAAGACATACCAGTGGACAAGTGATTCCGGTATTCGTATTGTACTATGATCATCTGGCAAGTGCTGTATTTCGGCACGTGCGTCAGGTTCTACAAGGGAAAGGTGATGTGGCTGCTTTAAGAAGTCTTCCGGGACTTGTCTTGATTCCTCAATTCGCAAGTTCATATCTCGAAGATAGTTTTCAGCACGGTAGTTGGACTGCTCCCAGGCTCTTACTTCCACTTTGTTCTTCAGTGAGTTGTACTGATCTAAATTGGTGCACATGGAGATCTGAGAGACTCCAAGTACCAGAAGATGCACCACGTTGTGTAGCTCCTTACAGTAACTGGCGAGTAACGCTAGTTCACTTAGGCGTCTTATGCTGACATCTTCTATTCCATTTTGACCACTAGCAGAAGTAGAAAGAAGTAAGAGGAGCACTTCCCTGTTTTCTGGTCGCGTGATGAGTTGTCGCATTCCATTATTCAGCAGTTCCCATCTGTCATCGATGTACGGAAGCAGAAACTCGAAGAGTATTTCATCTGGTAGGCTGAAGGGGTCAGTGTTAACCAATTGGTTAGCCGTACAACTAGCTTCATGGTGCTGAATATTTACTACTGAGTGGAGATGCTGTTGTTGTTCTGCCTTGTGTAGTCGTTGTTTTTTAGTCCCTCCCATAGACTTGCACCGAAAACTTTTGACTTCTGCTGTCGGTGCTTTATCCCAGACTCGCCCTACTACAGTAAATACAGGCCCATCCCCATGATAGGCTGAGGTAGAATCCAAGCAGACATCCGTGCTATTTTGTTCCAGAACCACATTCTGCCCTTGGAGACGAAGCGTTTTATCATCTAACAACTCGCTTACACAAGGCATGAGGGGATCGCCCTCCTTTCTACGTAAAGGCATCATATAGAAGTATAGTAAGCTCTTAGACTAGTTCAAAGACAGTGTCCGTCAAGACTATTTTGTTTTTGTAAAGTAGTATTCACTGACTAAGTATGAAAGGAACGTCTAGCGCTTTGTCAAGTGTTATCTTATACTGACATAGTCTTGCCTGGATGTCATTGCAGAGACCATCAGTCATACAGCTAGATGTGTTTTCTTTACTATCTATTCTCTTTGTTCTATTTTTACACCATTCACACATGTCGTTTTGGCCTACGGGTCTGTGACTATCAACCTTCACTTTTAACCTGAAATGGTGTGCTTGGTCTTTAGCTGCAGCCCAGGTAGTCCATTTTATGGATGAGATGACATCTGACGTGCTGACTAAGGGTTGTTTATCTTCTGCTGAAGTTTTCCCTTTAATATCAACACGTAGATGTATAGATGTACCACATTGACATACAAAACGAAAATGCGGTCTATGTACTAGCGTAACTGTATGCCCTACCGAGACTTCCAATAAATTGAAGAAGCCCGTGACTGGGTTCTCAGTGTTCTGAAAGGCAAAGTTTTCTTTAACTATGACCTTAGTCAGAGATTCTCTTAGCATGTGTGTGAGTGGAGTATCTGTATCAAGTCCAAAGTAAACCATTGACATCTGAGTTCT